CATCGAGAAAGGGAGATGGAGCTTTAAGTGAACCATCCACATAGGCAAAAAGGCCAAGACCAACGAGAGTGGTTTCAACCTGACGGCGCCACACGAGATAATTGGTCTTGGTTAATTTGATGGGAAAATGCTTGGAGGCAGACATGCGGATGAGGTCCGCCAGAGACGACGAACCAGAGTCCACGGAGCCAGATCTGGAAGTAGTCATGAAGACTTACTGGAGATGAGAGACGCACAAATATGTCCTCAAAAAAAAAATCTGTTTAAAGAAGGGGCTCTGATACCATATACGAACGGAGTATTTGTGAATAATTGAGTTGCAGTAGTATTCATGTGATGAGGATATTTATACACGTACAGGGCATGTAAGTAAGCCTACAAACTAGGAGAACAACCTATACAAGTGGAAGAGAACAAGTCTAATGCTATAAACAAGGGATAAACACACAAGCTACGTAACAACTATTCAAACTATGCATTCTTATCTACTTATCTCTAACACTGGATTTCAATTTTAACATTTGGGGTCGGGAATTCAAATTAGAATGGAGAGTGCATGGACTTGTAATTGGGCTTAGTTGAAAATTAAAGAAATCTGGACCAAATCTAACTCCATTTTTTAAATTCCCAAATATATAATTAGGGTCAAAATCTGAGATTAAAATTAAAATTTAAGTTAGGCCAGAAGTAAACTCCACAAATTCTATATTTGGGGAGAAAGTATACAGTATACCGTACACGTATATCGTACATGTGGCTGTACGTAGAGCTAAATACACCCGATGAATGTTCATTTAGAATGTCCATTCAAAAGAATGTTCATTTTCAACTGTAGTGTTCATTCTAAAGCCTGCTCAACATAGTGTTCATTTTGAAACAACGTAGTTTTCATTCTGAAACATATTCATTTTGAAACTGATAAGTACACAGTACTGTGTACTTATCAATGAAAGCACCAGTGATAAGTACACAGTACCCTCGAACGGAGATCTTCGAGCGACTCCTGGCTCCAGCAAGACCACCACCGTGTGGGGAAGGAAGAACAATAGGCTAGAGAGAGAGAGAAAAAAAACGGTAGAGAGGGAAGGGGAAAGGGGAAGGCCACAACGGCAAGGTAGAAGAGAAGTTTTGGGGTTTAATTATGCATGCCATTGATAATGATTAACATCTCTATTTATAGTAGAGATACCCCAACCTAATAACTATGTTGTCTATCCTGACGGTTCAAGAAAAAGCGACGAGGTAAAGAACCGTAAAGAAACCCTCGAAGGAGCTTATAGTTTCGCTCGCCTAATAAAATCTAAATACAATTATAATAATAATAGAGTACAAAGAACAATTCAAGTGAGGTCAAATTCTTGTTGCCATGCCGGTGCACGCCGAACTCTCGTACTTTGACGCCTCCCTTCGTTAATCGTCCCGCATGGCCCCGCGGCAGATTGTGAACCCGTAACACTCCCCCGCCCTTCAAGAAGCACCTTGTCCTCAAGGTGAAGCTGCGGAAAGTGTTGGCGAATACTCGAGGCGGGCTCCCACGTCGCGTCATCAAGCGTACCATCACTCCAACTTACTAAATATTGTTCCTCAGGTGACCCATTCCGAAGCACTGTGCGCACTGCATGGATGGCGACTGCCGTAGAAGAAGGTCTACCATCTACAAAAATATCCGGTAGAGGCAATGGCTTAACGGATAGCATGGGGCCACGAAACGGACGCAAAACAGAAACATGAAAAACTGGATGAATTTGTGCCCCGTCCGGCAGTTTTAAACGATAAGCCACTGGCCCGATCCTCTCCAAAATCTCATAGGGCCCATAAAACTTCAAAGCCAACTTTTGGGACGAACGCCGAACCACCGAGTGTTGCCGATAAGGTTGAAGACGCAACAAAACTAAATCCCCAACCCGAAACTCTAGGTCCCTGCGTTTGGCATCGGCCAACTGCTTCATGCGATGTTGGGCTTGCAAAAGGTTACGACGCAATTCCCGCAGGAGGGTATCACGCTCGGCGAGGATGTCATCAACAGTACCCTCGAACGGAGATAAGTACACAGTGTTCATTCTGAAACAACTTAGTGTTCATTCTGAATCATTTTTTTAATTAGAAGTTTGCCATGATATACGAGCAAGGTACATCCAACTTAACCATATAATTTGCCATATTTGGGATATTTTATGTTTAGTCCACCACTTTATAAAACTCCTTTGGAGGTTTAGCTTAATTGGGACCATTAGTCGGTTTCATATATCAGTGTTTGATATAAAAGATCTGTATGAAGGTTAATTAGCCAAAAAAAGGTTGCCAAAATGTCACTTGCTATTACTGTTGTAACCTGTCCTTTTGGCATATTAAACAACAGGTAAGGGATGGCATGAGATTCATTGAAGTGGTTCTAGTGGAACCAGACAAAAGTGTTGTTGCATTAGCTGATGCATACTTCTTCCCACCATTCCAATCTTCCTTGTTGCTCAAAACAAAGGGAGGCCCTCCGATCCCGACCAAGCTCCCGCCACGCCGAGCTCGGCTCATCGTCTACAACAAAAACACCAATGAGACGAGCGTGTGGGTCGTTGAGCTAGCTGAGGTGCACGCCGCGGCCCGCGGCGGGCATCACAAGGGGAAAGTGATTTCTTCCAAAGTTATTCCCGATGTTCAACCTCCCATAGTATGTCTTGATAAGTCTTTAATTTATGTCCCAAAATTATCTTCTCATGTGAAAATGACACGTAGATTATGAGGTAAAAGAAAATAATGTAAATGCCTGTTCTTAGTTTTTTGGTTGTGGTAAAAGTGAAGTGAACGATGGTAACTATGTAGGTTTTTGAGGTTAAAAGTGTATTTTTATTTTATGGAGTAAAAAACTGTAAAAGGTGCATGCTGAAAAAGGAAATGAGAAGCTATTTTGGGACAACCAGAAAAGGAAAGTGTGAAGCTAATTTTTATGGAAGAAGTTTATTTACTATAAAATTGTTTTGTAGGATGCTCAAGAGTATGCTGACTGTGAGGCAGTGGTGAAAAGTTATCCTCCTTTTATAGAGGCGATGAAGAGAAGGGGCATTGATGATATGGATCTTGTGATGGTTGATCCTTGGTAAGTCGTCGATCCTTTTCATAATAAAGAGTGTAAATAAGCAATCATATAAAAAATTAAGCTCACCAATTACATACTTATTCCGTTCCAGAAAACTTTACCTCTTTAACTTTCACCGAGTTTGCGAAAAATGTTGAAAAGTGGAAGTGTATGGTTAGAATTTGTTTATATGAGAGAAATCTTGTGAGCCACATGTTCATTACTAGAAAAGAAAATGAAGTAGGAAAGCTTAACTCTGAGTGAAGTATGAGTAATTTTCTAATGTGAAATATTTTAGATATTGACACGAGTAGCACGACAAATTGTTTGCCAATCGATGAGTCATACGACTTGCGAGAATGCTGTGATGCTAGATAATGGCTACACAATGTCACAATCCTTGTTTGAGAAATCTTTGGATTATCTAGTTTAGCTCAAAGGTCTCATCAGCCGTAGCGACCCGTGTGTGGGGTTAATATTCACTAGTTGTACTCCCTCCGTCCCATAATTATCTTCCGGGGTTTGATTTAGCACGATGTTTAATAAAGTGGATTGTGGGTGATTTTGGTTTGTGTAGAGGAAAGAGAATTGATATTGACCACATATTTATTTCTTTAAAAAGAAAGAGGAAGAAAATTTTGGGATAACCCAAATAGGAAAGAAGGAAGATAATTATGGGACGGAGGGAGTAGCTATTATGTGAGCACAACAATGAGAATGGAATGATCCCATTTTGGGGTATTGAATCCCATCTCTTTCATGAAAAGTAATATGCAAGTAGCGTTTGTCAAATAACCAATTCAACCAAAAACTCAAGCTTAGGTTTGAAGGCATGAGAAATGTGTTATACTCTAGTAGTGTTACGATGTGCATGTATTGTAAATGCACAAACACTAGTTTTTTTGCATCAAATGGCCGAAACTCATTTCTTCATCATGCAGGTGCGTCGGCTATCACTCCGAGGCCGATTCTCCCAATCGTAGACTCGCAAAACCACTGGTTTTCTGCAGAACAGAGAGCAATTGCCCGATGGAAAATGGATATGCAAGGCCGGTTGAAGGAATATACGTCCTTGTGGATGTGCAAAACATGGAGATTATTGAGTTTGAAGACCGAAGGCTTGTTCCTTTACCGCCTGTTGATCCGTTAAGGAATTACACAGAAGGAGGAACCCGAGGAGGAGTTGATCGCAGCGATGTCAAACCGTTACACATTACTCAGCCAGACGGGCCTAGCTTTCGCGTTAGTGGAAATTATGTGGAGTGGCAGAAGGTATTGTAATCCTAGCCATTCAACGACACATTAATATAAAATTATAAATGACTCAAAAGGAATGCATGAAGATCTGGGATTGGAGTTTATGTTGTGGTGTTTTTACCTTGGGTTGTCGCTTGTGCATGCACGCTTTCTGTGCTTGGGGTCTAGTTGTTAATGTCAGTATGTATGTTTCTTGTATCTGTACTCTTAGTTTGTTCGTGCTAGTGTGTTTACTATATCGGTGCTTCTGTCTGGGGTTTCTTGGAAACATCCTCTCTACTTCCAAGTAGGAACAATGTCTGCGTACACACACCTACCCAAGACCCTATTTTTGGTGATATTTTACTGGTTTTGTCGTTGTAATTTTCGTATATTTTATTTGACAGCGTTGGCGTTTGTTACTTTAGTTACGTGTTTGTTGTTGGGTTTTATTTTTACTGTTTTTTTCTCTAAAATCAATTCAACAGTGGAACTTTAGGATTGGATTTACGCCGAGAGAAGGTTTGGTGATACACTCCGTTGCATATCTTGATGGTAGCAGAGGCAGAAGACCCATAGCCCACAGGCTAAGTTTTGTCGAAATGGTTGTCCCTTACGGGGATCCAAACGATCCACACTACAGGAAGAATGCATTTGATGCAGGAGAAGATGGGCTCGGGAAGAATGCCAATTCACTCAAAAGGGTCAGTAAATTCATAAACACACTCTCCTTATATCATATTTGTGTGAAAGTTTACTGGGTTTGTTGTTGTTTCTGCTCTAAATTAGTATCCTAATTACCTTTTTCAATTCTTGTTGGATTTAACGTGCATAATAAATGGATGCCATTGTAGGGGTGTGATTGTTTGGGATACATAAAGTACTTTGATGCTCATTTCACGAATTTCACCGGAGGGGTGGAAACCGTCGAGAACTGTGTGTGTTTGCACGAGGAAGATCACGGGATACTGTGGAAACACCAAGACTGGAGGACTGGCTTGTCTGAGGTTCGCCGCTCAAGGCGTCTCACTGCCTCTTTTATTTGCACCGTGGCCAACTACGAGTATGCCTTCTACTGGCATTTCTACCAAGTAAGTCCACCCCTTCCGATTGATCTCGATATCATGTACTAATAAAATTATACCCATAGTAATTCATTACTTGTAGGCTGATGATGTCATTTTTTTCTTTTGAAAATGATATCACTAAAAATTGGGACATAAATCATATAATACTTCCTCCGTCTTGAATGAATCGTCTCACATTCCTTTTTAGTCCGCCCCGAATCTAATCGTCTCACTTCTTTACTTTCCTAATAAAGGAAAGAATATGTGCTCCACAATCTTTCTCTTTCCTCTAATCAAATTTCAATCCCTCCTTTTTTTATGTTTCAACACTTTTCTTAAACTTTGTGAAGTCAAGCAGGGACGATTAAATTGGGACAGAGGGAATATTTTGATGTCGTTAAATAATTCTTCCTCAGGCCTCTTTTGTGTAATCTACTTTAATTGTATAATCAAATTTAATTTTTTAACAGGATGGTAAAATTGAGGCACAAGTTAAACTTACTGGCATTCTAAGTTTGGGAGCTCTACAACCGGGGGAGTCACGAAAATATGGAACCATGATTGCTTCTGGGCTATACGCCCCGGTTCATCAACATTTCTTCGTAGCCCGAATGAATATGTCCGTGGATTGTAAACCTGCAGAAGCACACAATCAGGTCTGTCTATCTGTCAAAACACTAAAAATCATAAAATTTTAGTGAATTGAAGCAATTTTTTTTCCTTTCTTGGAAACTACCTCTCTACTACCTAGTAAGGGTAAGCATACCCTCCCCAGACCATACTTTCGTGGGATTATACTGAGTTTATTGTTGTTGTTTGGGGGTTTGATGTATGTTGCACCTTACCTTATAGGTGGTTGAAATGAATGTGAGAGTTGAAGCAGAAGGGGATGAAAATGTTCACAACAATGCATTCTATCCCGAGGAAACTTTGCTCCGGTCTGAATTGCAGGCCATGCGCAACTGTGATCCGTTTTCTGCTCGCCATTGGATCGTAAGACATACCTTGATATGACTTTATATGCCTTGTTTGTTTTGTAAGTTTTTGAACTATGGAAAAGAATGTGTACTAGTCACCCTGAAGTGTTAGAAGTGTCACTTTAGGATTAGGGTCCCTTATCAAAATCTCGACATGAGATGCATTTTGAGACCTATATGTGAATTTGCAGCTTGTAAAATGACTTAACACTACAACAACAACAACAACCTAGTATAATCCCAACTCCTTTTGGGGTTTGGGGGGGGGGGGGNAAACAGGGAGGTTGTTTCTGTTGAACCCTGCATTTACTGTCTAAAACTTCGTAGCAAGTAAGAAGCAAGAGAAGTTTAAACGTGTCATTTTGATTATGGTTCATTATGCGTTCGAAGATAAAACATTTTCAATAATGATAAGTTTACATCCGTTGGTAGTGGAGAAGTTTAAAGTGTCATTTTGATTGCGCGTTCTCATAGCAAAAATGAATTCTATTTTACACACACACACACACACTCTATGAGTATGGGTAACCTCTTACACCATGTGGGGTTTTTCTTTGGGTAGGTGAGGAACACAAGAACATTGAACAGAACAGGACAACCAACAGGATACAAGCTGGTTCCTGGTCCAAATTGTTTGCCAATGGCCGGTCCGGAGGCAAAGTTTCTGAGAAGAGCTGCATTCTTGAGACACAACCTGTGGGTGACTCAGTATGCCCCGGGAGAAGATTTCCCCGGGGGAGAATTCCCGAACCAAAACCCGCGCGTAGGGGAGGGGCTGGCTTCTTGGGTTAAGCAGGACCGCAATCTTGAGGAATCTGACGTTGTTCTTTGGTACGTTTTCGGAATCACTCATGTCCCGCGGCTAGAAGATTGGCCTGTCATGCCGGTGGAACACATTGGCTTTATGCTTCAGGTAATTGAGAAATAATATACTCGCTTCGTTCGGATTTAGTTGTCCACTTTCTTGTTTTTTGTTTGTCCGGAATTAGGCCATATTCTCTTAACTGATGTGATCTGATTGGAATAAATTCTGTTTTGGTCTGATCTGAATGTGGTTATATTTAAAGTTGTTTATGATCTGATTCCAATAAGAATAAGTAATAAGAATCAGTTGAGGAGAACATGGCCTTAGTTGTCTGCTTCTATATTCAATAAAAAAACTGTGATAAATTGTCTAAATTATCCAAGAGATAGAGTATGCTATGCACATCGTTGACGTGAATAAGTCACAAACTAATTTGAAGGATTTATTTGACATTTTGAATTCATTTTTCAAAATTGAGAATTTTGAAAAAAACAGGACAACTAAATCCAGACGGAGGCCGTAAAGAAACGTTACTCCTTGACTAAGTCCGTGTTTGGGAACAACTTTTTTGGTCAGCGTTTTGGATACTTTTCTAATGGTGATCTTTATCGCTTTAAAATTAAACGTTACCGTTAAATTTCCCTTTTGGAAATGCTAACGTTAAACACGGAGTCTGTTCCCAAACTAGGACTAGCAAATACCATTTAGCTTCATAAAGAATATATAATTTCATTGCAAAAAACGACGTTACAATTTCTATATATGTTGCAGCCGCACGGGTTCTTCAACTGTTCACCGGCGGTGGATTTGCCTCCGCCGCCAGGATGCCAGTCGGAAACAAGGGAGACATATCATGGAGACAGGGCTTCTTCTTCTCCTCCTCCTGGTTTGATTGCTAAACTCTGAAGAATGATGATTCAACCAATACTATAAAAAAGAACACAGAAGAATCAAATTTTGGCTTTTGTTTTGTTGTTGAATGTGATAGTAATTTAACTTTGGGTTTGTTTTGAAGTATCATTAGTATTCATGTGTAACATTTTAAATAAAGATATAGCCAAGTTCTAGTTACATTGGTTTGTTTTAAATAAGAAAATATAATAAAATTATGGTTTTGTGCTGTAGCAAAAAAAGAAAGCTTTGTTTTTACATAAATCTTTTAGTATGTCTTGAAAGTTGAAACATTACCACAAGTTTTAAACATTACCACAAGTTTGGGAGGAATCTTATATGATGTGAATGTTTCTACCAATTTTCTTGAATGTTTTGTGTGTAAAAAACTACTCTTTGTCTCAATTTAAATTGCATGTTGTTGATTAAGAGGTTTGACTAAAATTATTTTCAACTCAATTTAGTTGAAAACTAGTATGGAATTAAAAAATAAATTTATATATTTAAAAATTCTATCAAAAGATGTACAAAATAAGAGTTGACAAAACTATGTTATTTTATCAAATGAATAGTGAAAATGGGTGAAGAACGTTGTTAAAACTTGATCTTGTGAGTAATATACAGACAACTTAAATTGGGACAGAGGGAGTATTAATGTATTATGGTAATTCTAGGGACTCAAAATCAAGTTTTGTTTGTATGTAATTTTTTATTTAGAAATCTTTGTGGCCTTTGATTATATGATTTAACTATGGCCCAACTCTATAGAACTTTTTTTGTGGTTATAATTTGAAACTTGTACATGGGTGACTATTGCATGAATTATATTGAGTTCTAATCATTTCAAACTTGTACATTAGCTTCTATTTGTAAAATATTCCTTTTTTTTGAAAGGTTGTAAAATATTCCTTCTTTCAATTCAAAAGATAATAATCCTTGACCAATAATACTCCCAAAAAATATTTATTTTATCCTCTTATTTCAATTTTTCTTAATGACAGACGACATGTCTATTTGACATTATTTTTAAGTTAAAGTTTTAGACTGAATTTTTTTAATCCCAAACTCATGTGATTTGACAAAAATGCTATCTTCAAACAACATAAATTGTGCCATGTGGTCTCTAATCAAGAATAACTCATCCATGACAATAATTAAGAGAACTATGTTTACCGTGCAATCCTTGATAAAGATCATGTTCTTCAAAACGTATTTTTTGCTTTGAAGAACATAATATTTGATGTTAAAATAAAGAAAAAGAAGCAAGTCTCAGAGAATAAACCCCTGATTAGTGGTCACCCTTATGATGTTTTGCTTTTGCACTTTTGAGCATTTTTTGTGCTTTGATTTAACAAGACTGTTTTTTTTCCTCTAGACCATAACTTCTAACTAGACTATAAATTTTTCTCTAAGTTGATTTAAATTAATTTAACTAGACTATAGTAATTTTAAAATACATTAGAAAAATACCCTGCGCAAAAAATACTTTGGGTCCTATTTTATTTTTTTGCAGAGTATTCGTGTTTTATACATTAAAATAATTATTTTAAAAATATCAAATGATTAAAACAATGAACATCTAACAAATCTTAAAAGTTTAAATTAATTTATACATGACCTCTAGATTCCCAAGACCTACCCTTTGGAATATACTCCTTGATCATGTGGCAATATTTGCATCATATGCCGTTCTTTGTCACTAAACACACCAAACAACTTTTTCATATACTTTAACATCTAATTATGTTTAAATGTTTTTTTAAAAGTGATTACACTAAAAACAATAGTTTAAAGGTTTATTTTTAGTCTTCATGTCTCTGTTTCGTGAAAAGTTGAAGATGAAAATGAGATATAAAAAAATCAAATTTAATTATTATCAATGTAGCGTATAAACTGAGAATAAATCACTAAAAATATTGATTGAGAACTTTCATATCAATTTTTTGTCTAGAAAAAACACATTTAATGAACATATAGTCACTTTTGCTCACCTTTATTATTATTATTATTATTATTATTATTATTATTATTATTATCATCATCATCATCATCATCATCATCATCATTATTATTATTATTATTATTCACATCACTTTTCTATCACTCTCAAACCATCTTTTATTAGGCTGCTATGTCCCAAACTCCCAATCTTTTCTTAGACTATAAGTCACAACACAACTTTGAGTATTATTGCAAAAGGGAGAGTACTTGATTAGGTTTAGGGTTTAGGGCATATACTAAATTAGGTTTAATTATTGATCGAGTACTTAAATCCACATGTATATGGTAAGATTCATTTCACACATTATTCATAGGAAAATACAATGTAACTTTTCTTTGTCTTAAATAATGTCTCAATTCCTTAAAAAAAGATATTATCTGTATATACTTTGACGCAAACATGAAGCAAATTATTTTTATTTAAATCCCGTGTCACATTAAAGTTGATTATTGCTTTATACAGAATACAATGGTAAGATTCATTTCACACATTATTCATAGGAAAATACAATGTAACTTTTCTTTGTCTTAAATAATGTCTCAATTCCTTAAAAAAAGATATTATCTGTATATACTTTGACGCAAACATGAAGCAAATTATTTTTATTTAAATCCCGTGTCACATTAAAGTTGATTATTGCTTTATTCATAGGAAAATACAATGTAACTTTTCTTTGTCTTAAATAATGTCTCAATTCCTTAAAAAAAGATATTATCTGTATATACTTTGACGCAAACATGAAGCAAATTATTTTTATTTAAATCCCGTGTCACATTAAAGTTGATTATTGCTTTATACAGAATAAACATTTTCGATTAACATTAACGTTTGTGAATAATTTAAAGACTGGCGTTTTTTTCAAAACATTAAAGCTAAATACTCAACTTGTCAAACAAACACTATGACATTGTGTTTGAGAGAGTATCATGATTCAATCAAAATAAAAGAGAAAATGATAACATCAATAATTCAGTATAATCAATTATTCTTGTGAAAAGACAGGACACCATTACAATTACACAAAACCCTCACACTTACACTGGAAAAAAAATGTGAAAAAGAAATTAAAAAAAAAAGAAAAAGAGAGAGAATCAAAGAAAAGTAGAATATACTGAAGAGAATTCACACCCCATCAAAGTCTATTAACACCTGCGTATATTTATGTGCCCCACAAGATTCTTTTGACAGTATCATTATACAAGCCATTTGAGGACCTTAAGATGCTCTATTTAGCCTCAAAATAAGTCCTAATCCCCTAAACCCGTAAACCCCCGGCTCCCAAGAATCGCTGAAATGCTACCGTGTTCGTTGATTCCGGGGGGATGTGGGGTTAGAACGGGTAGGACCCACTTCGAGGTTCGACCAAGCACCATAAAACGTCCAATGTCATCATATGACACCCAAAACAGGTGTCAAAAGAACCGTGGTGAATGTTCGTTCTCTATATTGTAAGGGAGAAGGGATGACCCAAGAAAGCAAAAAAAAAAAAAGATAAAAGTGGAAATAATAATTGTGTGAAATTAAAACTCAAATCTGATGGAAGACATCAAGATTTGCCCCACTCAAGTCATGTTGCAGAGAAGTCAAAGATGTATAGTCCTCATGAGTAATAAAATTACCAGAACAGTGATGGGCTTCTATGAGCTGCCCTTCTTCTTCTTCCTCCTCTTCCTCTTCTTCTTGCTCTTCTGGTTTGATGATCATCCCACCATTGTTAAACCCTGGATACTGGTCGAACAATGGCCCCTCCATTCTGTTCCCCGCTTCCCACGAGTACGAGGTGAATTCTTGGTCTAAATTCATCAGACCGGGCAATGGGGTAAATGGGTAATTCGGGTTGAGGTAGAAACTGAGATTATCTTGGTGAGGTTCGTAGAGAAAGAGAGGGTCAAAGGCTTGTTTGGCGGCGGGCATTTGTGTCGTTTCTGGGAAAATTGGGAGGTGGTGTGAGCCGTCATCATGAGGCATTGGGAGATTGGTGCAGTTCTTGGTGTGGGGATCATCTGTAGGCCTTGTTTGGCTCTCGGTTATCGGTTTGTGCGTGTTTGGATCGATCCCTTGCTTCATCAGCTTCTTCTTCAAACAAGAATTCCAAAAGTTCTTGATCTCATTGTCTGTTCTTCCTGGCAATTTTGCTGCAATTTGTGCCCACCTGCCATGTTCCAAACAACAACTTATTACTATTTTTTTCATGTTAGTAAAAGAATGCCAAATGGGGTCATAGAATTATGAGATTCCAACTCAATACCAATCGGCAATGGGAAGTGTAACTCAAAATTTTAAATATAATTCTATGAGAAAAAAATACCTAACTAAAACCAATACATGCTTCATAGTTCATATACCAAAATAGAACATTCAATGTTTTTATACCAAAGTAGAAATTAAAGTAACAAAAAATGGCAACACGTGACGTGATGCCAAAAAAACATCGTCAAATGCCAACACACAATGCAAAATTGTGACATATCACAGTGCCAACACTCTTATTTTGAGGATAAAAACATGAGAAGTCTTATTTTGGTATAAATTTCATGTTTTAGCCTTATTAAAGTAGATTTCTTTTTTTTCCTTTTTTAGACTGAGTGTTCGACGTGAGATTATACCTTCAACATATACCCCACATGTGCAATGTCGGTCTTTTTAACTCAAGTGTGACTCGCTCGGATAGACACACGCTTCTTTTTTGAGCTCTAAGCTTTGGCTCTACCGTGATATAGAAGTATGAGATTCCAAACCAAAATCAATTGACAATGGAAGGAGTACTTCATATTTTTATATATTCGCCTTTTTTTAGCGTGTATGCTCGATACGAAACTATCTCCTTAAGTGGTAGTTAGAACCAAAACCGTTTCGCCGGTTGGATTTAAGGACAGACGAAAAAAGAAAACGAAATAACATATGTAATTGAAAGAAGAGTGATGGGACAAATGCCTGTTTCCAAGAAGTTGATGGAGAGTGAGAATGAGATCCTCTTCTTCTTGGGAAAACATTCCTCTTTTAAGATCAGGCCTCAGGTAATTTATCCATCTCAATCTGCAGCTCTTTCCACACCTCTGCAAACCTGCAATCAATCATCCCACACTCTATTATAAAACAATTCCATGACCCTCAAACCATCACTCAATTTACCATTTTGACCCTCTCAACCATTCAATCTCATCGCTTTCGCTCCCTCGGGAGCATCCAACCTAAGCTCACGGAGACGTGGAAACACCCGTTTTTTTCCAAATTTAACAAAGCATTTGGGTGTCGGCATGTCTCCAAATATCCAAACAAGGACGGCTAAAGGGACTTATTTGAAGAATCCATCTAAGATTCTTAATCTTTTGGTTGAATTGGTTCCTCCACGGTCCACTCAAGAACAAATCATATATACAAAGTATCGTCCGTGGGGCATAGCTCAAGTAGTCAATAGGGGGTACAAAAGGGCATTGTGGCCGGATTTCACTCCTTTCGAAGACATTGTAGGACGTTTATGCTTTGCTTAAGGTCCTTGCCTCCTATTCCTTGTAGGCTAACTGTTTGAGCCGGACCTGAGAGGACCCACAAATTATATTTTTACCCTCTAAATCATACAAATTCTCATTTCTACCCTCTAAATCCTTTACTGGGGTTCCAGCCAACCCATCACCTTCAACTTTTGGTTGAGTTGGTTGGCTCAGCTCAAGAACAAATCACCATAATTCTCAGTTTTACCCTCTCAATCACACAAATTTACCACCTCCAGACCCTCCTAGACGAATAATTTCAGAGCCGTACCCTAATCAGAAGGGGTACATTACATTTGGAGGAAATATAACAATGTAAGTGCGGGGGAGGAGGGAAGATGAGGAATTTACCGGCGTGTTTGGGGACGGAGCTCCAGCAGCCGACGCCGAAATTGGTGATGTAATTGAAGAGCTTCTCGTCTTCCTCCGGCGACCAAAGCCCTTTTCGGAGCTTCTGCTTCACCACACAAGAATGGCGGCCCATGGCGTCTGTCTGTCACTCACACAAATAAAACTCGGTTACTAAATGTGGGGAATTGTATCTATTTATATATAATCCCAAAATTATACTACAGTACTATTTAATACTTCCTCTGTCCCAAATTATTTGCCACATTTGTATTCTCGAGGAAAAATATTAGGTTTTTTCAATTCATTTTATTTACATATTGGTATAGAAATAAAAAATTAACTTTACATATAAAAAAACTACATAAAAAGTTTTTCGAAATAAGAGGTGTCAAGAATATTTTATTTTATCAAATAACCAATGAAAAAATTGAAATAAATAAAAGTTCCAGCGACTGCTGAAAAAGCAAATGTTGTGAATATTTAGGGACGGAGGGAGTAATAATAATAATATTATTATAACAATAATGGTTTGACTATTATGAAGTTGTGATACGATGGAAGAATGAAAGCCCCTATACATGATTTCTTTTCATTTCCATGAATTATTTATACATTTTCATTGTTTGCGTTTGTCTGTGTAATGTTTAAAGTCAAAATGATGTTACCATCTTAATATCTTTTGACACAACTATCGAAATTGTAGTCAAATAGACACTAATGGTTTATTTATGTCTTAAGTTTGGCTTAAATCTGGAGTCTAGACTTTAAATATTGGAATCTGGATACTTAATATTAGACTTTGAAAATTGAAACTTAGAAACTGGGATATCAGTATTGGATACATTTCTAGTATTTTTTATAAATAGGAGTGGTGACTCTAAGGGATGGGTATAGCCCAACCTTGACCGAGTCGAGAAATCAGGTTAGAAATGTATGTTGAGGTCTTGTTAAGAGGTGATTGGGCACCACTTCGTGTCTTGGAAACGCATTGCGAGGGGCGAGTCATCACCAGACAAACGTCCATTTTTTGACTGGACATACTTTCGAGAAGCATGCATGGATTGTGGGATTAATTCACACTATCCACTAGTCATTTTTCATGACCGATCATGAATATCATTCTCTTTATAGTCTTGTAAGCTCTGAGCTACATTTGAGTACTTACCCTTTGAAAATTATTAATAACATAGGTTACTGGTGTTCCCATTTACTACTTTTTCAGTACGATGTTTCTTCTTTTGGTAATTAGTCTCTTGACTTAGCTCATCATTCTAGGCCCGATTGATACGAATAAGGATACTGAGGGGACGAACTTCGAGTGTCGTCAAACTCCCAAAGAAGAAGAAAGAAGAAGAATTTTAGGGTTAATTTCTCATGTATTCATTGATAGAGAGTACATCTCTATTTATAGAATAGAGAAACCCTAATCCTACTTTAACTAGGTTTTCTATCCTGACGATTCAAGAAAAGCGACGAGGGAAAGAACCGTAAAGAAAACCCTCGAAGGAGCTTATATTTTGCTCACCTAAAAAAATCTATTACAATTAATAAATAAAGATAACAAAGGTAAATAAAGATAACAAAAGTAACGTCATTTGGTGACGTAGGCACCCTACCCGTCCGGCGACTTGGGCCTTCTCCTGTTGTCGTTGGACTCTTCCCCGTTGCTTCCCCCGTATCACCGATCTAGTGCGAAAAATGTATATAAGAATCTAAAGGATGAAAATTAGAGTTCAACATTTAAATAATTTGAAATAAAATTTAAACAAATAGGAACTTAATTTGTTTAAGAAAAAAATAAGAAATTAATCAAGTAAGGTTTGGGAAACTCTAGTGGTGGATTGGAGTAAAAATTATATTTTCACTAACCTAAACGGAACTCCCTTCGTCTTAAAATATTCATTATATTTTTCGTTCATTGACGTTTTAAAATAATCTCCTCATATTTTTTATAAATAGGTAGAATCATGTGATTCAGTATTTGTCTACATAAATTTACCATTCTAAAATTATATATTTTCTCTTTTCTAAAATTAGAGCGTTTTTGTTTCTTTTTTACTTTTCTATGTCTAACCCACTATTTTTGTCACGTATTACAATTGGTCATATTTGTATGGTTCACATTCATTTTTACGTTATCTTACTTTTGACACTGCACCAATATTAATTATACAATCTTACATTTTTTTAAATTTTTGTATCATTCTTATGTATTTCAAAACTCATGAGACAGAGAGAATACAAAATTAGTTTTGCGATAAATACCATTACTCAATAATTTGCAATGCATGTGCAATATTCTTAATTGTAAATATAACTCTCCTTTTTTATCTTCCTATTTTTTCTTTGAATGTCTCTAATTAATTTTTTCATTTTCTACTAAAAAAACAATTACTTGGTTCACATGAATTCTCTCTTCTACCCAAGTATCAACATTACACTTTTATTTTTGTTAAACTTCATATAAAATAACTAAAATTAAATTTAAATTTAATAGGTACACGGAGTAGATATGATTCCCCTCTCAAAGGTAGGGAGTAGAAAAAAAAAATTAGTTAAAAAAGGTTTAAAATGAGATATGTTTGGATGACATTATTAAAATAATATATTCCTTCCATCTCTAAAAGATTGTCACAGTTTGACTTTTTTTTATCAAACTATGGTCACCTTTTGACAATGAACTACGGAGTATAAAAAAAGTATATTTAGTTAGTAAAATAAGATTTCTTTTTAAATACAATTATAAAATATCAATTTTATAATATCAATTTTTATAAGAGAAATTTACTTAAATGAGACTAAAACATAATGACTTTCCCAATGTAAGACCATATGTTTTTATTTCCCAATGTAGGACTTTTAGTCATTAACAAGTAGTCATTATTCAAGTAAATGTCCATCATTACTGGATATTATTCTTTCCACTAGATCATTATTAAGTTCTATTTAGAGAATAAAAAAGTTTAAGTCCTACATTAGAAAAGTCATTATGTTTTAGTCCTATTTAGTGCAAATTTTACTTTTTATAATATTTAATTATTTTAAATTATAATATCAACGTGTACATAGGAGAAGCATACAAGCAGGCAAGTTTAGAATAGGCCCTCCATACATATAGAATAAGCCACAAGTCAACATCAACATTTATAAAAACTACAGATGAATTAATGCTAAAGAATGCCTCCAGGTAGGGGTGGACAGCCCTTCCCAAAACCATCCATTATTTCTCCCGGGGCCGGCCCGGAGGATCCGAAATCTTGGACGAAATGAAAATATATATATTTTGATTTTAACAAATTAAATTATATAAATTATTTTTTTAAAATAACAATTAATATTGTTGTAATACATATAATAAAACTATGGTATCATAATTGAATATCTTAATAGCTACCTTAAAAGTTAATTTTATAAACGAAGAAAAATCCCAAGTTTTTTCAATCTATTTTATTTAAATATTGGTATAGAAATAAAAAATAAAACATACATATTTAAAAACTACACCAAAAGTTCAACAAAACAAGTGGTGACAATAATATTTTATTTTATCATATAGGCCATGAAAAAACACAAATAAATATAAATTTCCGTGAAGTTGGAATAGTGCTCTGGGAAGAAAGTTTTAGGACGGAGGAAGTATATATTAAAAAATTTAAAATGCTTGGGCCTCAAAAACATATGCCTATGTTGGTAGGGCACCTTGGCTCACCCTTGGGCTGGCCTTGCCATTCAAGAAAGTTATTGGTAACTTTAAAGGGCAATTTTGGTAAGTAGAGGTGATATGAATTATAATATCTTTTGGTGTAATATTTGGCGAAGCCTGAAACGGTTTTTGATTTGGTACTTCTCAATTTCTAAATCATTGGAAATGGAGAATTTATGATATCTCTCTAATTTGAAATATATCAATATGAAATTTTGATATCTACTTCAACTGCTCGCAACATGCCACCCATTGTTGTGGGCCACTTAGCTTGTTGTAGCCCTCTCGTGGTCTCGCCCTTCACCAATTACCCAGTGTCATAGGCCAGGCTAGCCTTCGTCTTTCACAAACAACTATAAATCCATCTCTCTGAACAAAAAAAGTTAGTGATGATTTATATTATTTCTCTCATCTCTGCATAAACTTTCAACATACATTTGATTTTTTTATCAAACTCCGTGAAAGAATAAAGTCTCTTCAGGGCGAAGAGAATATATATACTTAACAATGATATGACCACACAGGTCAATTTAAAAGGAAAAAATTAAGTACCTTATATACACCCTCGGTACCAATTTAAATTGCATATTATTGTTTATGATGTTTGACTGAAATTATTTTAAATTCATTTTATTTGAAAATTAGTATAAAATTAAAAAAATAACCTTGATATTAAAAGTTATATAAAAAGTTACACGAAAGTAGAGATGAAATGAAAGTATTATTTTATCCGATGAATTTAGAAAATGATTAAAATTTAACTATATTAATAGTAAAATGTAGCTTAATTAAATTGAGACTGAAGAAATAATATTTCTCTCTCATTGAAATAAATTTTACCAAGACATTTTAATTTTCTCATTTTAAATACTCCTTAATTTTGTTAAACACCATTAAAAATCAAATCATAATTTTCTTTTCTTTGAGGGAGAGAGAGAGAGTAGTTCTATTTAAATTTGATTTAGAAGTAGTAGTAGTAGCCCTACCGACACCAAATATGTCAAGCAAGTGTAGGGTCCATTGGATGGGATAAAATTTTATCTATGAGGAAACTATAGGAACTCAAAATTGGAAAGGGGATACAAAGGGATGGGCTTTTGGGTAAGCTGATTTTCCCTTGGGATTATAGTCTTATTTAGCAAGTTTTAATTGTGAAATACATTGCCCCTTGTATTACTACACTGCATGCACCAAAAGTCAATATCATGGAAATGATTTCCCCAAGTTTCTTTGTCAAGTTACACAAGAACTCTATCCTATAATTTCTTGACACAATGTCATAAGTAACTCATGAGTTACATACACTTGGCAGAAAATTACTCCGAAGTATTCTCGATTTTCTGGTAATAATTTTCAAGTCTCATATTATCTGAAATATAATACAGGTCGTGGTACCTTCGATTTTTTTGTAAGAACTCTTATGTCGAACATTATCCAAAATATATTTTGAGATTCTTAAAATTTATGATATTATACTCCGAGGGACATTTTCTCAATTTAGACGCTAAGATTATTGAAAGTTCTTTTATTTACTTTCACAAATTGAAGAAGTTTGTTTGAATTCGATAAAATAATGATTATTAATGTAAAGTTTAACACGTGTCAAAGTAACATAACTTTTCTGTCATTCCTAATGGTAAAATAAAAAGAATATAATATTACCCTCGAAATACATTACCATAAATTTTAAAGACTCGTTGAGTAAATTTTAGGTAATGTGAGACTTGAGATCAGAGTACTTATTGAAACATAGAAGGTACTCCAGTGTGTGTTTCAGACAATGTGGGACCTGAGAACTATTACCAGACAATGTGTATTTCCTAGGCATTCTATATATTTTTGTACACTTTAATTAACTGATTCTTTAATTAAGTGAACTTAAAAGTTAATTTTTTTAAAATCAAATTCTTTAAGCAGAATGAATAAATTAAATGATTCTTTTCATAATAAAACAAATGCAACACTCTCCTGGTTAAGTGTTGTAGGCGTTGTGACTTTTGAGTGTCTATATAAAATTTTAACCCATATATATTTGGGATGTATTGAAAACTATATATATTAAGACTGTATGTTCATACGGAGTATATGATAATTAATTCATATTAAGATATTATTAAATTTTGAAGTAATATATAATACGTGGTGAAGAACTTCTATACGCTAACCATGCATTGAATAATTATACTTGATGATACTTGAAATACACATATATACGCTGTCATTTTCCTTAAATAACAGTTTTTTTTCCTAAGCAGTGTTTGACAATATATATAATGCATGATACTTCTCTTAATTAGCTTTGAATTACTTACTTGGCATGCATGGCTTTGGACAATTTTGAACGTATGTGCATCCCCATACACAAGTGAATAAATAAATACTCCCTCCATTTCTAAAAGTGATTTTTATTTTGACTAGCTAATAGGTGAAATAAAGCAAGAATGTATATTTATAGCCAACTTTCTAATTTTGTACCTGATGTGATTGATAAAAGTAAGATGTGATACATAGATTATTAGTGAAAAAGTATGAGGTGATTGGTAGGGTAAGAAAATTAAAAGTATGGGTAAACGTGGGTTTTTAATCGAAAGTAGAAGTGTTTTGGAAAAAGTGAAAAAATGAAAGCCAGAGTTGTTTAAGAAACGGGGAGAGTAATAGACACTATTTTCATGACTACGGGCCTGTTTGGGAATGTAGTTAGAGATTAGCGTTGACGTTTTCAAGATAATTTGTACCGTTAAAATTTTATCTAAAACGCTAACGTTAATATCTAAGGCTATTTCCAAACAAACTCTACATATATGGTACAACTGTACAAGTATCTTATTTGCCTCACGTATTAAGAGTTTAGTGGTTTATGCTCTTTGAATTGTTTACCTTTTATTATTGATTTATTGTGTACATCCTTTTTTTAGAGAAAAAAGTATTTATATATACTACATGTGTCAAGAGAAAAGGCTAAAGTAGGAATAGACGTGATCAAAGTGCGGGTTGGGCTGAGACGCTAAATTATGAGAAACTTTTTAGGCGCGAGTCCGATCCGGCCTGTATAGCAGGACTAACAATTGAAGCCCGAACCCGGCCTGCATTTATACCCGTGGACTTCGGACCGGCCCAGTCCGCACTACAAAAATTTCTAAATAATTAAAAAATAATTTTTTAAATAAAGTAATGGGTTTATATATATATATATATATATATATATATATATATATATATATATTAGATTTTTGATATAATAACTATAATGAGTAAATGAAAGAACAACTAATATATAAAATGTGTTTTGTTTGATATTACTAATTCGTACATAGTATGAAGTATTATTTATTGTTATAACAGAAAGGAGTAATAAAGATTTATTCATTTTATTAAATATACTTATAATTCATTTTTTCTCCATAGATGTATGTTTATAACAATTTGAAATAGTTTTGTTCTTATTATTATTATTATTATTATTATTATATTATTATTATTATTATTATTATTATTTTATTATAATTATACTAATAATAAATATTTTAATTCATTCGGCCCGGCCCGACCCATGGGCTTGAGCATAAAACCCGAGCCTAGGCCTAAAATGTTTGGGCCGCCATTTATAAGGCTAAAGGTCGGCCCGTATCCTAAAATGTCAGGCCCAAGCCCTCTATTTTGTGGGCGACCTTTGGCGGGCATGCCAGATGTCTGGACCCATGATCGGGTCTAAGTATGAGTAAAATATTAAAAATGTACAAAAATAGGGGTTTCATATTTTTATTCCTAAAATATGAGGTTAAATACATTTACGGTGTCAATCATGACCATATACATTACCAAAAAATATTGTGAAATGTTCATATACAGCCACATTACCACAGTGTGAACTCCTATTTTGATGATGAAAACATAGAACTCATATTTCGGTAACTTCTCTGATATGTCAACTAATTTTTTTATCTTCTTGTCAAGGAACTCATTCAACCAAAAGCTCAAGTTTGTGGTTGTGGTCTAGGATGAATTATTTATATTCTAACATGCTCCCTCACGTGCAGACGTAGTCTTTTTCGAGCCTTGCACGTGAAACTTTAATTTTCTTAAAACTGAGTGGCGCTCAGTTTCGAACCCATGACCTCTTAGTCAACAAGGCTCTGATATCATGTCAAGGAACTCATTCAACCACAAGATCAAGCTTGTGGTTGTTGCCCAGGATGAGTTATTTATATTTTAACACTTCTCATCATCATGTATATTATATGAAGTATATAACAGAGTTATTAATGATTAAAAAATTACTACATCCCTCCGAAAACATTTTTTGTTCAACCGAAAATATTACTTTTTAAAAAAGAAGAAAAATAGAATTTGTGATTAAAAAATTGTTCTCTTCTTAAAAAATTCCAACCACACTTAGAAAAGTCGTTCTGGGATAGAGGTATTATTAGGAGCTGTTATGTTCTATATCGTTCAAGTTTCCATATTATGTTGTCACTTTATTTATATTTCCTACTTATTTCCAATTCCTACTTTAACTTAGTTATAAATCCCTATGTATTCCCTATATACAAAGGTGAAATTTCCATTATATTATTCAACTCGACTAATTATGATCAAATTTGTAGTCTATTCCTAAACTATAAGCTTCTAATTATACTCCCTATGATCTCACTTCTTATTGGGCCCTCTACTACACTTTAGAGCACTTACAATGGACTCTAAAAGTCCAAGGCGTCGCGCTGTAGCAGAATGACAATGGACGGAGGACGATAATGATATGGAGGCTGAAAAATTAAAAAAATAAATTTGGTACGGCGTGGCGTGGCAAACCGTTGCAATGGACGGCCGCCTGTCTAAAAACGTCGGGTTTGGCGGCCGGCCGGGTGCCAGGAATGCGGCAAGCGCTGCAGCGTATTCTCCGCCTCTCTTCCTGCAATGATGTAGCGGCGCGTCAGATTTAAATCATTCGAAATTATTTCGTGTCTTAAAACCATTCTAAATTATTTCATGTCATTAAAAAATTATTCGAAACGCGTATGCTAATTAATCCAGATGTCAAAGTAATAAATGAAATGAATCAAAAATTATTGAGATCATCCAAATCACGTCATTTTCAAATTATATGAAGAGATGAGTTCCTAAGTTAGATCGAAAACATCTATACTTATATGATTGATGTAAGTAATAATAATTGCTCAAAAATGGAAGATCATATTCCCGTCTCTGAGTATTTGTCTGATTTTGACTTTTTTCGATCAAAATTTATAAACCCTGACTTCAAATTAAATAAAAATATTGTATCATATATTTTCAAAATATTAGATTTATCTAATTGATACACAATATATATTTTGTTTAATTATAGATCAAAATTAAAAATATTTCATTGAAAAAGTTAAAAGTGAACAAATAACAAGAAAGAGAGCTAATAGTACCATTGTGGGGGAGAGTGGATGGTCCACGATGCAAGCTAGCTGTTCCCATGGCCTCCCAATGATTGGAGCCGCAAGAACAGGTCCACGTTAGACACGGACACTCCCAAGTTGCATGCCCTCCTTAAATTCTTGGTGGGATCCCAATGCTTCCCAATTATATTTGTATTTATTCTTGTTTGATTTTATAGAATTTGATTTTTTTTGAAAAAATAGAAGATGACTTGGAGAAGATGATTGTGGTTCTGAACCGGTATCGGAATCGGTGGATTAAGAACCAGAACCTTTGTGGCGGTTAGGAGAACCGGTACCATAGCTTTCTCAGTCGGTACTGACGTATTGCTAGTAGATTCGGGTTTGAGGAAACCGGAATAACCGATCTAGGTTCCAGTTAAAAGAATGATTTCAATTGTAACATATTCTTTTTCAACTTTGCTAATGTGGGGGTGCTGGGGTCGGGTTGGGGTGGGGGTGCCGTGGGGGATTTAGTGAGGTAAGAAATCTCAATTTCACGAACAGAACACTGGAAGAATTCTAAATAAACGACTGTCATCCATTGACACTTGAATCTAGTGTCAATAGAACCTTGCCGCATATATAATAAGATTATAAAAAAGAAGATGCCCAACCATAATTGAAAAATACTACACCCTTTGATCTTGAAACCACAAATTAAATAATTCTTCCGCCCTAAAAAAATTATCACATTTGATTTTTTTAGTCAAACTGTAACACCCTTTGATCATGAATTATGAAAAATGTATATTTAGTTATAATTTTAGTAAAATTGAGTTATTTTAAGATGTAGTTTTGAAACATCAAATTTTTATAATATTTAATTATTTTAAACTATATTTAATTCCAGGTTAAAGTGTGCAACAATTTGACCAAAAAGTCAAACTTTGGTAATTAATCTTTTAGGAACGGATGGAGTATAATCTAAATAAATAAATGATTTAAAAATAAAACAATCAATTATATGTAAAATAGTCAAAAAATTTACAATCTTGCCAAATATGTAAAATAAAGGTACCAAATAAAGAAATAATGGTTTCAAATAATCAAAAAATAAATAGTTTAATGCACAAAAGGTATGATTAAGAATTTTGTGGGTGTATTGTTTGTGACTCTAGTATTAATCATAAAAATTTGATATATCAAAACTATTTCCTAAGATCAACTCAATTATATTATTGAATTTATATAATAATTAAATATATTTTTCTCACAATATATGGTCAAAATATGTCTCAGTTTGATAAAAAATTAAAACATGAAAGGTTTTTAGGACCGAATGGAGTACATGAAAGTGAGTTATAGATCCGGACTTCCTAACACTTTCCATGGGCTAGCAGTGAATTTTTTTTACAAAAGGCCACATTCTTTTATGGGATTAATGCACTAAAGTCCATAAAAAAGAATGGAACTTAGGTCCATGTAAGAATTGCCAATGAAATTTAGTACCCGTACAAAACACCTTTTTAAATGCCAAAAATAATGATATACAATTTAAAAATAATTAGTCTTACTGAATTGGAGGAAGTGGAAGCGCTTTCATGAGAATGTCTGATATAATGAGAGGGGTAAATCCACGTTCCACGATGAACGAGCTTAAGAATGCATTGCAGAGTCTTCTTTTCGGCGAGAGGTTTGGTGATGAGAGCGAAAATGAGTAATTTCCTTTTTTTTTTCCTTTTGAGTCATTTTCTCTGCTTCATTGTCACTTTCTATTCTTTTGAACCGCAAAAGACACACAGAAAAATATAACTTTTCAATTTTTCGATCATGCACACAAAATTTTTTGTAGATAGAGAGAGGGATAAGTGACGGAGCCCACTAGGCATGCGCATGCTCATAATTTTTTTGAGAAAATGATATGGATAAGAGACAACAATAGTGCAAGACCATGATCTGTGGCAATCGGACGTCGATGATGAAGACGGGAGGTGGCGCATGTTTAAATTTAATAATTGATCTTATAAATACTGAAAGTTTTACCCGAATAAATAGGGATTTCTAACTAAAGTAGAAGTTGCAAATAAAGTAGGGGATATAAATATACTAACAACATAATATGGAAACTTGAATGATATGGAAAATAATACCTCATAATAATACTTTCTAATACTTCTATTAATGACAAATATGCTTTTAAAAACAAGTAATTAAAAAAAGACATTCGTATAGTCATACGTGTAATATAATACGACTCTACAATGCAAAATTTAGTACTTCGTAATGCGTTAAAGATTAAAATCTAAAATTTCTATATGAAGTGGGCTCGTTAGAGATTTCACTTCTCTCGATTGTAACTTCCATGAAATGTGGTTTGGACTTTGGGTATAAGTGGCAGCATGCCAACATCCGTAGCAATTCAATACCTAGTTATGTGCGGTGATCTGTCAAAGTACTTTTCATTCGTGTTTCATGATCATATTACCATTTGCCAACTATTTATAATTTCTTTTCAATTTTTTTCCAACTATTTATTTTGTTCGATTTATTCTAAGAATTTGGCCATATAATCAATCAAAAATTGAAGAATGGATATTTAAATTTTGCTAGACCCTATTTTTGAGGGATTCAATTGGGTTGTTGTTACTGACATTTTAATTTTGATCCCAATATTGATGCTACCGACTCAGAAACATCGATGTTGAGTTGATGACATTAAATTCAAAAAATGAGTTTTGACTTCAAAATTAACTAAACATGAGGAATACAATTGACAGAGATGAAGGGATGTGTTCAAGTTGAGACTGGGTGAGGAGTTTAATTTTGTGAATGAAATATCGTAAGTCAGATGTTTGTGAATCAAAACGTCCCCTATTTTTAGATGTTTGTAAAAAAAACGAGGTCAAAATTAGAAAGTTTAATTTGGCTTAGAATCCAAACATTCCAAAAAACCAGGCCCAATTAGGCCCAGAAAGTTGAAACAATTTTACAAGTATAGGGAGTAATTTAGAAAAACCAAAACAAAAAAAAACCCATAAACAAAAAACAAGCTCCTCAGTCTTTTTGTTATTTACAAATTCGCCCTAAGTCAAAGCTCCAGTCCGCCCCGGATGGACTTCTCCTCCGCCGATAGCGGCGGCGCGTCGCTCCCCTCATCAGGGACCGATGCGAAGAAGCGGCGCGTGTCGTACTTCTACGAGCCTACAATCGGCGACTACTACTACGGACAGGGCCATCCCATGAAGCCCCACCGCATCCGCATGGCCCACAACCTCGTCGTCCACTACTCCCTCCACCGCCGCATGGAGATCAGCCGCCCTTTCCCGGCGGAGGCTTCGGACATCCGTCGCTTCCACTCGCCGGACTACGTCGACTTCCTGGCTTCCGTCAGCCCGGAGACGCTCCACGACCACACTCACGCTCGCCACCTCAAGCGCTTCAACGTCGGCGAGGACTGCCCGGTCTTCGACGGGATTTTCAAGTTCTGCCAATCCTCCGCCGGCGGATCCATCGGCGCCGCCGTGAAGCTTAACAGACAGGACGCCGATATAGCCATCAATTGGGCGGGGGGATTGCACCATGCCAAGAAGAGCGAGGCCTCCGGCTTCTGCTACGTAAACGACATCGTTTTGGGCATTCTAGAGCTTCTCAAGTACCACAGGGTATTAATATCTTAACCCTTACCAATTATCTCAATACAATTTATCCATTTACTGCATTCTTAACACCTAAAATCCTAATGAATTTAATTTGTTAATTAGTTATAACAACAAATCCAGTGAAATCTCGCAAATAATTGTTTATGAGTTATGAAGCTAGTTAGAAGTATTAATTTATAAAACATACCCGGTCGTATAGCCCGAACCGAAGTAGGAAGGTATAAGCTGGTGCAAAAGATAATAATGATAATGGCAAGTTGAAATAAATATCTTTATGATGATAGCAGCAATGTTGTACCTCAAGACCAATAAGTGTGTGTTTGGCCAAAGTTCAAAATGACTAGCCTCATTTTGAAGGGTTTTTTGGGATAGAAAATTTGTTGGGCTTTATTTGGCTTTGAAGTTTTCTTTTTACTTTTTTTCATTCCCATTTCCCAAGCTATGCTACATTGCTACCAAGACTTGTTCTTCTTATGGAGGTTCAAGCGAGGCTCTCCTTGGGAAGCCTTTAAGTATATGTGTATGTTTGCGACGGGAAGGCAATAGAGGCGATATTTGTCAATCTAATAACCTCTCCTAGTCCTATCTGTTCTCGTCCAAAACCCCCTCATAAGTCGTAAACATACCCATAGTAAAGCATTAGTTCCCCATTTACGTAGAACGTAAGTATCTTCAAGTAGATGACTTGAAGGGTGTTACTGCAATGTTATGTGCACTGCCATTGCATACTCATGTATGCAATTCCAGTGCACATAATATTGTATGCAATTTCGTGGGGATTTTACTGGGTTGCTGTTGTTGTTGTATTATATACTCATGTAACTTCAAACATTGATGTGTTATGAACCAAACCGTTAGCTTACCGTACATGATTTTTGCTTCTGATGTGTGTAATGCTTCTTTGCAGCGTGTGCTATATATAGATATTGATATTCACCACGGAGATGGAGTCGAAGAGGCATTTTTCACCACTGACAGGGTAATGACAGTCTCTTTCCATAAATTTGGGGACTTCTTTCCCGGCACCGGACACATCAAAGACATCGGCGTGGGCCCCGGGAAATACTATGCCGTCAATGTCCCGCTGAACGATGGAATGGATGATGACAGTTTCCGAAGCTTGTTCCGTCCCATAATCCAAAAAGTCATGGCGGTGTATCAACCGGATGCTGTTGTTCTTCAGTGTGGGGCAGATTCATTGGCCGGTGACAGGTTGGGGTGCTTCAATCTCTCTGTCAAAGGTCATGCTGACTGTCTTCGTTTTCTAAGATCTTTTAACGTTCCTCTAATGGTTTTGGGCGGTGGAGGGTATACTATTCGGAATGTTGCGCGTTGTTGGTGCTATGAGGTTTGCTCTTCCCTACTCATGTCTTTGTTTATTAGTCTTTGTTTGTAATGGTTCTTATGGTATAAGTGATTCTTATTCTAGAAATCATCCTAAATAGGACTAAAACATAGAGAAAAGTACCAAAATAGGACTTTCATGTTTTTTTCCCGGAATAGGACTTTGCACTGTGGTAATGTGACTTTGCATTGTGGTAATGTGGCAGTGTACATGTGCAAATTACTATATTTTTTTGGTAATGTATATGACCATGTTTGGTAATGTAAGTCCTATTTCAGGAATAAAAACATGGAAGTCCTATTTTGGTATATTGTCAATGTTTTAGTCCTATTTTGGTCTTTCTCCCTTCTTATTCTTGTTTTTTTTCATCTTTTTGACCGCTATTGGCTCGATTACAATGTAGTATCTGTTCATACTTTTCTCAATTTAATGACGCATAAAGAGCCAAACATGGGTGAACTTTTCCATGAATCCTGGGGTTGAGCCTGATAGTAATTGCACTAATTACTTAATTTAATATGGTTATGGTTACAGACAGCAGTGGCGGTGGGGGTTGAGCCTGATAATAAATTGCCTTATAATGAGTACTATGAATATTTTGGTCCTGAATATACACTTCACGTCGAACCAAGCCCCATGGAGAATCTGAACTTACCGCGAGACTTGGAGAAGATCAGGTTCCCGTTTTTGCTGTATACTTCTCTTGTTTTGGTTGCTATGCACTGCGCTTCGCTTCACCTAATCCCTACTGGTTGCAGGAATATGCTGCTTGAACAAATATCTGAATTGCCACACGCTCCAAGTGTGCCATTCCAGACAACACCTTCCACAGTTGAAGTCCCGGAAGAGGTTGTTCTATATAGAAAGACATATACAACTCCTTTCTTTAGTTTCGTGTGTGTGTGTGTGTGTGTGTGTGTGTTGTCATCAGTGGGTCACATGATGTCTGTCAGACTAAAGGTGTTTTTGGTAATTGGTACAGAGAGAAGATGACATGGATCAAAGACCTAACCCTAGGATATGGAATGGCAACGATTGTTCCTCGGAAGGGGAGGAAGATGATGACAAGCCCATTCGTCTACGAAGTAGTATCAATTCAAATGCACCCCCCAATGAAAACTCTAAACTGAGGTATGGCCATTTTTTTCCTGTAAATATGATTTCTTTTTTGTTGTTATTAGTCAATAGTCATTTATCACGCGAGAGGCTTGCGATAGTGGGGCATGAGAAGGGGTAGAGGTAAACTTAGGTTGAATTGGGAGAAGGTGATTAGACAGAACTTACGACTTCACGATCTTACCGGTGATATAACCTCAGATAGGAACACAAAGAGATCTAGTAGTAGAGTAGTGTAGTTAGGTAGACATGTGAGCCTTGGTTTGCTTTTTGTGCTTGGTCGGTTTGTGTTCTTCTTTTGTCTATGCGTGTACTTCGTTTGTACATGGCTACATGTGCTTTTGAGCTGGGAGTCTCTTGGAAATAATCTCTTCACATAATGTGTACCCACACACACCCTCCTCGGACCCTCCATTTTGTGGGATTTTACTCAGTCTATTGTTGTTGGTGTCATTTATCACCATTCACCAAAAGAAACCACAACGATGTTTTGTCCCTCCGTCTATAAAAGAATTTGGTCAAACATTTTAAACTTTGACCACAAATTACGGAAAAGATACATCGAGTTCATTTGTAATCACCTCCTTTCAACTCGTTTTAGATCTATCCCTACCCCTTCACAATCCGACTATTGTAAGCCTCTCGCATTTCCTTATAGGGACCAATGCAGTTCTCACTCTCAAACCACCTCAGTCTAGCTTCTCGTGCCTTATCCAGAGGGGGGCATGTTTAGTCGTTCAGAATTTTAATTGTTGAGTGTCTTTTGGGTGTAAAATATTTGAAAAGTTAAAAAGAGTTTGCAACTAAGCATTTTGAGCAAAGAAGTAACAAAACAGATTTTTTTATCAGATTTTTTTACACTATTATTATTTTTATTTTTTTAAAAAATTGTACTTGATCAAACACCATCCATCCAAGTCAAATTCTTTTGTAATGCTTGAGCTGTTTCTCTCTTTCTTAGTTCTACTTTCACTTGCCCAAAAAGTGAATTGTTGCAGTTAAATTTTTGCAATGCAGGGACTTGTATAGCGGAATAAACGATAAAGATATGGCCGACTCCGATAATTAGTCCTTTGGGTAACATTTTTAGACGATCACTTATTCACCGAGGGCTCATTTCCCATCTCACGGGAAACCCTTTTCGCTATGAGACTTCTCCCCCCACTCTAGGGAGATCTGTGGTGGCTGAACCCCTCTCTCCACCAAGTTTGAGAAACTGCAGAAGTAAATAGGTAAAGATGTTGGAAGTCTTAAAATTGGAACCTTTGACTTACTTATATATATATATATATATATATATATATATATATATATATATATATATATATATATATATATATATATATATATATATATATCTCTTCTAACTATGTAGTTGAGTACATTTGCTTCATGTGAGTGAGTGTAGGATCATCACTCTAATGGCTACTTCCAATTCCATGTTGTATGATTTTGGAAGGTAATCTCTGGTTTATATTTTTCTCAAGTTTTTGAACCATGATTTTCCTTTGGGGGTATATTAGAATTTACTCAAATTAGAGCACTCACATTGGCCTGGGAAAAAAAAAAAATCCTCACCACTCTCTCTCTCTCTACATCAATTATTTTTGTGTGTGGAATTTTTTAAATGCTCCCCAATGGTGAGGAAATATTTTCTCTCTCAACCCAATGTGGAGAGCACTGTTACTAAAACTGGACCGAATTGGGCGGTCGAATCACGACCGGGACACACAACCGTTCTTGTCCAACCCCTGAAAATCTAAGCTCTAAAAATTCTCTCATATGAGTAAATTAAGTCCCAAATTGAATAACAATTTTTTTGGACTTTATCTCTCGATAACTTTTATGGAGTATTTGTTTGTATTTTTCATTGATTATTTGATAAAATTAAGTTTCTTGTCATCTCTTGTTTTATAGAATTTTCGACGTTGTTTTTTAACGAGTACAATTTATTATTTATTCTTAAACAAATTTTTAAATAAATCAATTTTAACAAATGTGTGATTTTGTCTTGTAAATAAAAAATTGCAATTCAATTTAGGAAGGAGGGAATATATATCTTCTAAATATTCTCTTCATCTTGAATTAATCGTCTTACTTTTTATTACTATTTGAAAACAATATTCATATTCTGTTATTTTTGAAACAAAGTAAAGAATAAGCTATCCATTTTCCTCCTACCTCAACGAACGAGAAGTTAGATGTCATTACCATACGGATAATTAGGCTAAATACTTACGACACACTAGGAATGAACTTCTACATTATAAAACAAGATGGACCAAAGTCTGTTTTGATACTATGAAAAAATTTAGAATGTGTAAGAACACTCGATTGGACTAAAATATTAGAGGTATTGGATTGAGTTATATTAAAAAGGTTGAGTTCAATTGATTACTTAATTTAACTTAAAAATTTATATATCCATTATTTTTAGGGTAAAGTTAGGGTAAACTCTTCATGAGTGACTCTGGGGTGATCACATGTTTTGCACAGACACACACAAACAAAAATTATCTTTCTGGCGGTGCATATATTTTTGACCATATTTTAAGAGTTTTTTTTGTGTCATTTACTCCTAAACTTTTCAAAAATTACGCGGATTCCCCTTAAACTTTTAAAATATTGTACTTATGGTCCTTCTGTGTCAGATTTGAGAGTGCCTTAACCACACTCATCCAATGTAAGTATGGATTCATCTAAAGTCATAAATCACATTGCAGTTCTGTAATATGTCCTTCATAGATATTATCTTCTATATTTTTAACATTTTTAATCCTAGACAATTATTCTAGATTTAGTCATCGATAACTAAATTTAAAGGTCGGACATCAGTCGTTAAAGCTCACCATTTATCAGATCAACTTCTTCATCAATTCATTATATTTCCATCAAGCCTCAATGCATATATTAATGACCGTGTAATTAACACATTTCTAAATCTATAATAGTGCAACATTTTTAAAAGTTCACGTGGTATTCGAGTGCAATTTTTAAAAAATTGTTAGTGTCATAGAAAACTCCATATTTTAAATGTGAGTTCTGTAATATGTTCTTTCTAGACTTTATCTTCTATATTTTTAACATCTTTAAACCATAGATAATTATTCTAGATTTAGTCATCCGTAACCAAATTTGAAGACCGGATATCAATCAATAAAGCTTACCATTTTCATATCAACCTCTTAATCAATCCTTGACATTCTTATCAAATCCTAACCATATATTAATGACTGTGTGATTAACACACTCCTAAATCTATATTACTGCAACAATTTAAAAAGTTCAGACGATTTTTAAAAAGTTATTAATAAGTGTCATAGAAAGCCCCATATTTTAAATCTGGTTAAGAAGGATTAAGCTATGTGTACCCCAACACTTATACCCCAATTTGTACCTCACAAGTTTGCACCAACATTTTGTGTTGGTGTAAAACTAATTTTTGTTAACGCACCAACACTTTGTGTCCGTGTAAATTTTTGTTAACGCACCAACATTTGTGTCGGTGTAAACCGTCAAAATGTTTGTGCATAAGTGTGGTTAGACATGGCAAAATTGACCCGGACCCGATAACCCGAACCGAATAACCCGGAACCGAACCCGATTTGACCTGAAAACTGAAGAATCGAAATAGAACCGAACACCCGAAATGATCCGAACCGAACCGAACCCGAACCGAATGTATTCAGACCCGATTCAGACCCGAATCCGATTAAACCCGAACTGATTAAACCCGAACCGATTAAACTCGAACCCGGTTGAACATGAACCCGGTTAAACCCGGAACCGATTAGACCCAAACCCGATTAGACCCAAAATTGATCAAATTCATTAATATTTCATTTATCAAATGAATTTGGAAAAAACGAATTACCTATATATTTTTATATATTTTGATGTGTTTCTAAAAAAACATATTTAAATTATGGGTGCAAACCATGTACTAGTAACTACTTTCATGTACAAATCTTTTACTTTGCATTTTATAACTTAAGTTAAAATACTTTTGTATTTTTATAGAAAGTATATAAAAATTATAGTTAACTAAATTAACTAAATTTATTATGTGATTTATTCATTTATTAGTATGTATGTGTTTACATTATGCTTGAACTAATATAAATTTAAACCGATATAAACTCAAATCTATATAAACCCAAATCAATACAACCCGAATTGATACAAACCTGAACCGATATAACTCGAACCGATACAAACCCGAACTGATATAAACCCGAACCGATATAAACCCGAACCGATATAAACCCAAACCGATACAAACCCGAACCGATACAAACCCGAACCGAAACCGAACCGAAACCGAAAACCAATCAAACCGAAATAAACCCGGAACCGAACTAACCCGAACCGAACCGACCCGAACCGATTATAACATATATCCAAAAGAGACCCGAACCGAAAAGACCCGAACCGGAACCGAACCGATTGACCCGATTGCCAGGTCTAAGGGGCTGTTTGTTTCAGCCTCTTAATGGTTCAGATGTCTGAATGGTTCAGCACTTAATAGTTCAGACTGTTTGTTTCAGCCTCTTAATGGTTCAGAAGTCTGAATGGTTAAGAGATTTGCCTCTGAATGGTTAAGTATTATACAGAGTCTGAATGGTTAATACCTCTTATCTGAATTGATCAGACATTTGCCTCTGAATAGTTAAGAAATATACTAGCTCTTAATGGTTCAGACCTCTTACTGGTTCAGCACTTAATGGTTCAGACCTCTTACTGATTCAGCACTTACCCATTCAGAAGTTGCCAAACAGCCCCTAAGTGTGGTGTACAAATGGTGTACATTTTATATTTTATGGTGTGAATGTAGCATGGTCCGGTTAAGAATGGACCTCGCTCAAGAAGCTTTGATCAATTGGGGTTTTGGAAGGAGGTTTTGTACATGGAATAAATGGCATCAACCAAATGTTCGTCCCTGTCGGTCTCCTCCTCACAGAGCTCTCGAGATCCACTCAGACCATCTCTACAACCAAATCCCTCCACGCCATTATCCTCAAGGCCCCTCACCTCTGCAACGACCCTTTCTACGCCACCAGAATCGTCCGGTTCTACGCCCTCAACGACGATCCCGTCTCCGCCCGCCAACTGTTCGACGGAACTCCCCACAGAAGCATCTTCCTATGGAACTCCGTCATCCGGGCTCTGGCGAGGACCCGCCGCTTCTCCGGCGCGGTCGCGCTGTTCCGAGACCTGATGCGCTCGCCCACGGCGCCGGATAACTTCACCTTCGCCTGCGTTCTGCGCGCGTGCTCCGACAGGCTCGATCTCCGCGGGCTGAGGGCTGCCCACGGCGGAGCCGTGGTGGCCGGGTTCGGATCCGACTCCATTTGCAGCAGCCAGCTCGTCAGCGCTTATTCCAAATTGGGTCGCTTGGACGCCGCAGTCAAGGTGTTTGATATGATTTCTGAACCAGATCTCGTCCACTGGAACTCCATGATCTCCGGGCACGGAAGCACCGGCGATTGGGAAAACGGGCTCCGGATTTTCATCAAGATGCAGAGAATGGGAAAACAGCCCGACGCATACACTCTCGTTGGCTTGGCTACCTGTTTCAATTCTCCAGATCTGCTGAGAATTTGCGAAAATGTTCATGGGTTTTGCATAAAATCTGGGTTCGATTCGAATCCTCATGTCTCCAGTCTTCTGGTGAGCATCTACTCAAGATGCAAAAACCCATCTTCAGCTTGCAGGGTTTTCGATTCTTTACCTGACCCTGATCTGATAACCTGGTCTGCAATGATCTGTAGCCTATCTCAGTCTGGCGAAGCCAAAAAGGCACTGGGTCTCTTCAGGGAAATGATGAGCACGAAAAGAGGCAGTGGAAATGCAGACTCTCCATTGCTCGCCGCCGTGCTCTCTGCTGCAGCCCAGTCTGCGTCTCTCCAGCCTGGTAAAGAGATACACGCGCACGCCTTCCGGCGTGGCTGCCACCTGGACATCTCCGTGTCTTCTGGCTTGATCGACATGTACTCCAAATGCGGGTTCTTGAATTCTGGCGCGAAAGTGTTTGAAACCGCGCCGAGCAAGAACATAACCTCGTACAACTCAATGATCTCCAGCCTCGGCTTGCACGGAAACGCGCGCAAAGCGCTTCGCCTCTTCCAGGAAGTTCTGGAGAACCGCGGGGCCCTCCAGCCCGACGAAGCCACCTTCTCTGCTGTTCTCTCTGCGTGTTGCCACGCCGGTCTGGTGAGTGAGGGGAGGAAATGGTTCGCGACAATGGGGGAGGGATTTGGGATTCGTGCGAAAACCCAACACTACGTTTGCATGGTGAGGCTGCTGGGGATGGGAGGGGAGCTGGAGGAGGCTCACGAGCTCGTTCGGGGCATTGAGGGACCGGTGGACTGCGGCGTTTGGGGGGCGCTCTTGTCGTGCTGCGAAGCCCATGGGGATTACAGGCTGGGAGGGGTTGTGGCCAAACGCGTCCTTGAGAGTGAGGTGGAGAGGAGCAGCTATGGAGTTATGGTGTGTAATATGTATGCCAGAGATGGGAGATGGGAAGAGGTGAAGAAGCTGAGAGTGGATGGAGAAGCTGCAAGGGGAAAGGTCCCTGGCAAGAGTTGGATTACTTAATAGTCAAATTCAATTCTAAAGTCAAAATTAACTTGTGTGGTGCAATTAGAGGGGGTGGAGGGTGTGTTCGGGTCGGGGCGGGGTGAAGGGGTTTACCAGAGGTAGGAACCGTCAATTTTAGAACCGGGCCACCGGAGCGCTTCGAGTCATCCCAGAATATTGCCGGGCAATGTCATCGGAACTTTGGTGAACATATAATAATATATTAGAAAAACTCAATATGTTTTAGCATTATATATGTAAATTTTCTATTATTTTGGAAAGATTTTTCTCGGTTAAGAAAAATCTTTTATTCCCAAATGTTTTTATTTTATCTGGAAAAAATCTTCCCATTACTTTTTTTACAACTATTTTCACCTTATTTATTTGTTACACCTCCCTCTATATTTTGGCGATAGTTTAATAAACTTTCGTCTTTTTCAATCAAAATTTTGCATGCAAATAAATAAAACTGGAATCTCAATTTTCTTATTTTCCAACAAGTGTCACCCAACTCCCACGTGTCCTCTCCTCCATCTCTTTATATTCCACCATATCCTCTCTCCATGCATCCACCCACCCACCACCACCAAATCTCCTCCCTCCGCCGCCGCCGTCCACCGCTCATACATGGCTGAAAACACCTTCCGCGGCAGCTCCGAAGGGTACGCCGCCAACGCCATGAACACCGTCAAGGACTACATGGGAATGAACAACAACTCCCCGGCAACGAAGGACCCCACCACCCAGCAGATCATCGCCGCCGCCGCCCTCTTCACCGTCGGCGCCGCCCTCCTCGGCCTCTCGGGGCTCACCTTCGCGGGGACCATCATCGGCATCGCGGTGGCGACGCCGCTGTTCGTCCTCTTCAGCCCGATCATCATCCCGGCAGCACTCTCTATCGCGCTGGCGGTGACTGGGGTGGTGGCCTCGGGGGCATTCGGGATCACAGCCCTCTCATCGCTGTACTGGCTGGCCAGGTACATGCGGCGGATGAGAGGGCCGGCCCGCGAGCAGCTCGAGCACGCGATGTGGCGCGTGCAGGAGCACCCTGGGTGGCAGAAGATCAGTAGTTAATTATGAAAGTCATTACATGTTTTGGTGTTATTTAGGTAAATTCCTCCTATGTTGAGTTTGTTTGTTTGTTAATTAAGGTTTTTGTTTTTAATTATTATGTTTGTTGTGAGTTGGTGGAGTAATTAGCTTCATGTGTGTGCTTTAATTAGTTGGTTTTTCTTTTTATTTTAATTAGTGTACGCATGTGTTGTAATAATAAAATGGCTGTTTTATATTTTAAGGGGAGGTTTGACACAATTTATTTTATTGTAGGTATAAGAATAATTTATATAGTATTCCATAAAGAATAAAATAAAAATATTTACAAAATTAGAATTGACACAACTATATTAATTATTTTATGAAATGTGCACTACAAATTGTGGGTATATTAATTCTTTTATGAAATGTGCACTACAAATTGTGGGATCAAATAATTGGGTTGTGGTTGTACTGAAAATAAATCAAACGTTAACCGTGTGAATAATATATAAAAAATCTTATAACAAAATTTATTTATGACATTAGTAAAAATAATCAAACAAAGTAAAATTTAATCCTATAAGATCTTTAAATTGTTTAATTTAATTATTGTGATCCCTAAATAAAAATATTTTTTATTTTAATTAAAGAAATATTTCTTGTTTTGAAACATTTGCTTTTTTTCTCCGTCCCAAAATAAGTTGAATATTGCTTGTTATCGTAAATTTTTAAGAATAAAATACCTAAACTACTCCTAAAATAAGTCACTCTTCTCCACCTTATCTTCTCATTCATCGTCACCTCTCCTAAAAAATAATGGCAATTTTAAAAAATCTACTCTATTTTTTCTATTCCTTAAATATGGCTAAAAGTCAAAATAGACAATTTAAAACTGGACAGACAGAGTAATTAAAATTATTAAATTTTTAACCGTAAATTAAATAATATTTGATACAAAAACATTTTTATCAAATCCATCTTGTAAGATATTTTTTAAAATATTATTTTATCCAAATTACAATACCACATAACTTGTAGGGCATTAAGGTATTTAATTATAAGTCTAAGATCGATTTTAATTGATTTCAAAAAAGTTAAAACTCGACAAACACTTAGGACAGAAAAAGTATATACATAGACACATGCACACACAAACATGAAACCTTCCTCTTACTTGAATCGAAAGTAGCAAAAATTCAAGGTAGAGAAATCGTTTCCAAGAGATCCCCCCGGCTCAAATACAGTACTATGTCCAAATCATTAGGCTCAGATGAACCCTAAGCATTTGATATAAATCAAATGCCAACCGTTCGACCTTCCTCCCACACCACTGGTTTGATTGTTGATACGTGACAGTTCGATGTTTGGTTCAAAAGAAAAAAACCGATGAAATTTGGGGCGAGAAGCCGAGAACGAGCAGCCAACCACTAAAACGACTCAAATTGCTGGCAACAAAACGTCTACGCGGTTCATTTGGCAAACAAAAACCGGGGTCCGTGATCTGTATTGGAGCCTTGCTTAGCAAGCTTCTGTATGCGAGAAGAGAGCTCCCCTGCCTGAAGAAAATCAACAAAGAACCATGGTAGTAGAAATCAAACAAATCCAACTTACCTTAAAGGTGTTGCTATATCTACTCCCAATCTGACTAAATCCACTCCCACTTGCGCTAAATGGACAACTTTGCCCTTAAAAGTTGGTTTGCGTTTGAATTCTCTTTAGTATTGTTAAGAATAAAAATGTCAATAAAACCTAAACCGAGTGGATTTTTGCCAAATTGAGGTGGATATAGCAATACCCTTACATTAATCACTTGATAGATTTATGGCAGTTTGTGTAGAAGTGCAGATGGATTTGTGGCTTTGGATAACATGGCAGGTCAAGTGACTCACAAGAGGGTCTCATCAATTATTATTAATGTTCAATGAATGGACCAAATGGGTTTTCTCTATGGATGGACTGGATAGATGGTCGATACTGGATAAGTTAACCTTTGGGTCACCTCTAAATTTTGGTAAAATGTAGTGCTTTGCAAAAACTTTTGAGCAAATTACTCCGGGAGATATGTTTGCAGCAACAAGCATTCGGTGTTTTATTCTCATGCAGGAGAAAGAACTAACACTATGTTTGGTTCAAAGAATTTGAGAGGGAAAAGAAAAGAAAAAGAGAAGGAAAACATTTTTCTTGTTTGGTTAGAGGAAAAGAAAAGAAAAGTGGTAGGAAAAGAAAACGAGAAGGTAAAATGTTTTAAGAGGAGAGAAAACCAATTTCCTCCCGTTTTGGTGAGGGGAGGGAAACTATCTTCTTTTCTTTTCCTTTCAAATTCCTTGAACCAAACATAGTGTAAAGAAAGCTTTAACTACTGAAGAATTTTGAAATGCTAACTTAGGAATGGACAATAATCTTGCAGTCTCAAAGAGAAAGCCAAAAGAGACAAGTCTCAAGGAAACCCATACATAAAGAGCGTAGTGTGTAGTTCTTACCTTCTCATCAACCCAGACCAGTGAACTCAATTGATTGTTCAAAATGCGGACAGCAACATCAAGCGGATTCATGCCATCGGTTAGTTCGCCGCCCTAAACAAAATAAATGTAGATAATCATCCAACACTCTTGTCAAGAAATATACCATTGTGAGATGCTAAGAAAACCATTTGAATGGGAGTTATAAACCTGGGTTGCATTAAGAGAATGAATGATTGATTTTATCTGCTCCATCATCTTTTCCATTTCTCTCTCTACGAATTCGGCCTGCTCATACCTATAACAAATGCCAAAATGATAACCGTGTCATTAAGTCTGACAAGTCCATCAATCACCGTTATTTTTTACATTTGATGAATATCAAGTTGACAAATATGATTACAACTGTAGAAAAGGACCTAGAAAACAAGAGTTATTTGCCTATACTTACATTGCATCTCTTGTATATGCAGCCTCATCATCAAGAAGTGTTTCACGATCATCCTTATATATTCGTTCGGCTTCTTCTTCCAAGCTCTGCAATGCCTTCTCAACCTAATAGCATATGGAACATTTAAGCTTCTTACATAGCAGTATAGCACCAGCCTTTCAATAGGTTTCAGAACCAGAACAAATTTGTGAGCAGTGTGGTGTCAATTATACAATTACCATGGTTAATATGCATGTGTACAGACTGATATATAGAAAAAGGGGTCCGAATAGACAACCATATGCAGCAAAAGTGATTTAAGGAAAAAAGCATACGTGCACGACACTCGTCCAGCATCAATAGACTTGAAATTTTTGCCAGGTTCCCATGCATTAAAATTTGCAATAAACAAAAACCACTCTATTAGCATACCTCATCTTGATGCGTCTCAATTAACTCCAGTTGTCGCTCTAGGCTAGATTGTGTCTCAACAACCTTTGCAACTTCACTCTGTCACAAAAACAAGGTCCTGATAAGAAAAGGAATACCCCCCCCACCCCCCACCAAGCCACCAGATGAAACTGCACCTTATTAAAGTACTCCCTCTGTCCCTTAAAAAGATTCCTATTTCAGAAAGACACAACTTTTAATTTTTACTTTTATAAAAAGGTGAGACGTTTAATGACCATCAAATACAACAATCTTTTAATTTTATTTTATATTTGTTTTAACTGAATTTAACATATTTCAGTTGTTTGGAACGCTTTCTTCAAATTGGACTCATTTTTTGGGAGAAAAATATGTCAAGAAACGATACCATTCTTTTGGGAAGGGGAAGTAATACTTTATCCAGCCTAATTATGAAGAGAAGAGAAGAGTAGATGCAAAGATGGATGTTTTTACTCATGCCGTGGACAGCTCAAATTTGTATATCAACTCTAATGCAATCTGGCATTACAGTAAATACATAAGCAATCCTCATTTACAGTAAGGGGAAAAACCTCAAGCTTCAGGAGGATGTCACGGTTTTGTAAGATCCTCCTGTCCCATCCAGCTATTGCATTGGCCTGCTTTTGGAAATGTTTTGTACGTTCTTGCAGCTCTGCATTCCATTCCTTGATGATCTTCCAGAAACAAAACAAAAAAAACATGAATATGAACAAACAAGTTTTCTATAACAACTCTATAAGAAGCAGAGTAAATGTGCAAACTTCCAAATTGTGGCGGAAGATAGAATTGGTCGGAATAAACAAAAGACTATGAAGTACACTATTAGATTTAGATAAAATGAAAAGTAAACACTCTTCAATTTGATGAAATGAATAGTGATCTAGTTGGTATCTGATTATTTACCTCTTCTATAGTTTTTCCTGTAATTTCGGATGGCAGTTTTGGTGATGTTCCTGATACAGTAGTGCCTGTACTCTGTGTAGTCCTGCGGTAGAAATTGACGGACCACAAGGAAGCAAAAAAAAAAAAGATAAGGTCCAATATTGTAACTTGTAGGCCATTCTCTAAACAATAAAATATGGAGATAAAACTAATAATATCAATGTCTATCCTTCCTTAACTATACAATTAGACCTCAGTATGCTGTATGGTAGTGGAAATCAGCCCCTGCAACCTCTAGGCACTAGGCTGGATGGAAAATCTAAAGCAGCATTGTTAGGCATAGGCCAACTAATTGTCAATAAATGAAACCAGCCTCTCAATTATGTGGAGGTCTTAAGGCATAGGCCTATCAAGTGTTGTAAACCATGTTGACCACTTGACCGTAGCTCTCTCTATTTAAAATCAAATGTAGTTACTGCCAACTGGTCAGGTAATAACAGTCTCAGCAACACTCAGCAGAGAGTTTGTATGCATTACTCCCGCCGTCCCTATTTAATTCTGCCATTTGGAATACAATGTTTACCTAGAGTTACTTTCTATTTACTTTGTTTAAAAATTGGTGGAAATTTAAAAAATATAATTGTTCAAAAACTACAAAAATTATACTCCCTCCGTCCATAAATAAACTTTACATTGCGCGTTACGATGTTTGACTGAAGTTATTTTCAAATCATTTTATATGAAAAATGGTGTAGAATTGAAAAATAAAAATTACATATTAAAAAATTATATCAAAAGATCTACAAAACTAGAGGTGACATGACTATATTATTTTATCAAATAGGTGACGAAAATAGGCCAACAAAGTGAATAAAGTTTGACCCTGTGAATAGTGAACGTAAAGTTTATTTGTGGACGGAGAGAGTACAAAACAGGATGTGGCATGACTATATTATTTTATCAAATATTCAAATGATCAATAAAACACACGAAGAAAGAGATTAGGATTTGACCATATGAATCGTGGAGGGGAAGATTAAAAAGGGACAGATAGAGCATATTAGAGTTCAACAGTTTATCTTCAAGTAAATAAGTGACTAAATTAAATGGCAAATTAAACTTCCGTTGCTTCTACTTTCTATGTAGTTTTAGTTACTTTCAGTGACGTTTTAGTTGGTAATGCAGCAATGTGTTAAGTCTGACAGAAAGAAGGGTAAAGTTGTGTAGATCTTGACCACATACTCAAATGGAGTTGGTATTATAATGGGTTTGTTGTGTTGTAGAGTTCAAAAGTGGATACTCCACTTATTCTGTTAGTTCTCGTACACCACTACACATAGGCAAGAATAAACTATTTTGTTTTTATATAATCCATTGATTGGATAGTGATCAAATATAGGTATTTGACAAGACATGTGTTGTCGTTGTATCCTTTAAGATAGGGATGCTGCATATGGAGCACCGATGAGAGCGAGCTAAGTGAAGTATGAAAAGACATTAGAGTAAGTAGAATGCCACAAACCCACTGCTAGTTGCTGTCACAATAGATGATGTTTGAGCAGCAGAGCTGGAAACTGAAGTTGGACCACTGGAGCTAGAAATGGTTGGACCTGCATATAATAGTTACATTGTGAACTAAAAATGAGTTGTCCTTGAGTAGCACTCTTTCAAAGCAAACCAAAAAGAGATGCAGAATGTTACGAGAATGAAACAATTGGGAGGGGGGAGAGAGAGAGAGAGAGAGAGATTACAATAATCATTACCATTTACAGGAAACCATATGAAGACAGAAGCTGATTGTACAACAAACCTAGTATAACCCCCACTCCATTGGAGTCGGGGTCATGATGTATGCAACCTTACCACTGTAAAAGACAGAGAGGATGTGTCCGTTAGACCCTTCATGCATTGCTGCATGTACCGCCTAATACTTCACCGAAAGCAAAATGGCAAATGAAGTTTAATGTGTCATTTTGATTTAAGCAATTCACTATGACAAGCTAAAACGTTGTCAAAAAAGACTATTTTAGCATCGTTCACGATGGGCTTTATATTTATGATCAGAATTAAGATAAATTTTAGAGTTTGAATTAGCAACAAAATACTGAAGGAACTAATTCAGGCCACTTTGCTTCGATTTTCCTATTAGTATGAGATGTGCAAAAAATTTGATATGGATACATAAATGAAAATTTCAAATAGACATGTAGACACAGCATTTAAGCATTAGATCCCAATAACAATAGTAATTTTTTTGTGAACAGAACAACAGCACAAATCAAATAATCGCATATCAATATAATAGTAATCCAGGAAGCTGTCATTATATCCCACATTAATTTACTGCCCAATTACTTACCAAGTGTTGGTAATGAAGTTGTCGCCAGCGGTTGTGACGCTGGAGCAGTTGATGTTGTTTTTGAAGACATTGAAAAAGATGTGGGGACAGAAAATGTAGTAGTACTGGTGTTACTAGACCCAGAAATAGCTGATGCAGTTGTACCAGGGACAGAAAATGCAGAAGTACTGGTGTTACTAGAGCCAGAAATAGCTGATGCAGTTGCACCAGGGACAGAAAATGCAGAAGTACTGGCGTTACTAGACCCAGAAATTGCTGATGCAGTAGTAGTTGTGTTAGAAGAAGGGGCGACGGCAGGAAACGTAAAAGACGAACCAGTGGTGATTGTGCTAGAAGGAGCAGAAGATGCTAGACTACCAGCCACAATTGAAGCACTGGTTGTTGCAACAAATGTTGAAAATTGAGGTGATGAAACAGTTGTTGGGCCTAATTCAGCAGGCTTTGAAAATATGCCATTCAAGGTAGCTGGCACTGATGTGGATGGTTGAAAACTAGATGAATTCCCAGAAAGCATAGGTGTGCCTGAAGATGATGATAACAAGCTCGGAGTTGTGACTGAAGGAACTGAAGTGGCTGAAGCATTTCCAGTCCCTTGTGAAAATGAAAATGTTGGTCCTTTTGTTGGAAAGGGTGATGAAGCAACAGATGCAGAAGATACTGTGGAACTTGAACCGGATGTAGTGAGAGATGAAAATATAGGTGTAGAAGATGTTGTACTCAATGATGAAGCACTGGATAAGGAAAATGCCGAAAGAGAAGGTGTTGACGTCACACCAGAGGTGTTGGGCAAAGAAAATGCTGGTGCCGACGATGCTGAACTTGCGAAAGGAGCTGATGAGACAGAAAACGATGGCGCAGAAGATCCAAAAGTTGGGATTGCTGCATTGGAAAATGGAGATGTTGATGCTGAAGACATAATGTTTGATGTTGAAACACTGGGCAGCGACAATGAGACGGAAGATGCTGCAGAACTTCCTGTTGGTGCAGTGGGAAACAGAAAACCAGATGTGGAAGAAGCTGAGCTTGATGCAGAAAGTAATGAAAATGCAGGGGTTGACGAAGCCGATGGTGCTCCAAAAGATGCAGCTTGCGCAACTGGTGATGTAGTACCAGGCGCTGAACCTGAGGTTAATGATCCGGATGATACAAAGTTCAAACTTGTACTAAAGATACCTGATGAACCTGAGGAAGGCCCAAAAAGATTAGATTTGGCAAAAGACGACGTTGATCCAAACATTGGGGAACTGAAGGAGGTTGCAGTTTGGCTGGTAGAAGCAGATCCAAATAAATTTGTTGATGCTCCAGAAGAACCCAAAGTAGCTCCAAATAAAGTTGAAGTAGTTGCAGTACCAGATCCAAATGTCAAAGTAGCACCTGTAGAAGCAGATGAAGTTGTGGGGGCGGAAGAACCGAAAGAAAATGGAGGGGCAGAAGAACCAAAAGAAAATGAGGTGCCACCAAGAGAGGAGTTGGTTGGAGTACCAAAGCTAGGGGTTGAAGACGGAACCCCAAATGGGGAGGAAGAGGATGTAAAAGTAGTAGCACTAGAGTTTGAAGTGAAGGAGAAGGGTGAGGGAGATGAAGAAGGGGTGGAAAAAGAGAAGCCTGTTGCCATTGTACTGGAACTAGAAGTCAATGCACCTGCAGAAAATGTTTAGCACAAAAATAAGTGAAATACACCTTAGAAGCATTACAAACAAATGACTCAAAGAAAAAGAATACAGAAGCACCATGGAAAATGATAAATCCATCATTATAATTCTCATGACTCCTCCATTTATAAATCTCTAGGCTTTGTGAGAAAGTCTTAGGGTGGTTCCAACAGTTAAGATGAATTCAATGATGAGTCTACATTGCTTAAAACTTTCTAATCTAAATGACGGTAGAAAGAAATATATGAAATAATGAAATAAATATACAATTGATAAATGACAATTGCAGTTTTCACTAGGAAAGAAGGAAGGTTCAAAGGACTCATGAACCAGTAGTAGTGTCCCAAATGAAGTTCGAATGTCTCGCAAAACTTCACAAAGGCCCACATATTACATCACATTGCAGGGCAAGAGGAACTTACCAGTCAAGCAAGTAATATTTTCTGCAAATGATACACACACAGAGTAATGCACATACTCATAATTCTTCATCGGGTCGAAAAGAAAGCGGAACCAATGCAGACATTGTTGATATTTACCGGAGTTGATGTTTTACTGGTTTCGTTTTAGTCGGAGGATTTAATATTTCGTATTATCATGATTTGTTTATATTCTAAAAACTCCATAGATCGTCCAAACATCAAAAAAACGATAACAAAATTGACCAAAAAAATAAATATGCTAACCCTAAGAACTAGTATAATTGATTGTACTGGAAATGCCAATCCTAAGAACATCTGATTACTAAAAACAACAGCATAAAATAAAATTTCATAGAATTAACTGAAAGCTAGTCCGCAAGCCAATCAAAAACTCCAATGGTGCGCGAGAAATGTGAAAAGCCAGTACCTGAGACTTGTCCTGGATTTGGAAGCAGGGGTTTCGAATCATACCTGGAAATTTCCTGGCGGCGGAGTAGACGATGAAGGGCACCGGCGGCGACGGCGGATGAGGTGTGGAAAGGGAGACGTGGAGTTAAGATTTGCGGAAGATGAAAGCTCTGTGCTGCGGAAGATGTACTCCTTCAAAATTTTGGGGTTTGTAAAAAGATTTAGCAAAAAAAGTTGTATGGACTCCATACAAGATTTATATTTTTACTATTATTTTTTTTTTTGAGAAAATATTTTTACTATTATGATTTCTCAATAAAAAAAATTTAATATTTTTGTTAATAATTTGATAAAATAAAATATTTTTGTTAATTTCTGTTTTATAAAATTATGATACTCTATAATTTTTAAATATATACTCAATCCGTGCCAAAAATTCTTTTCCCGTTTTTTGTCCCACAAACTCCTTTCTTTTTTTATTAAAAAGTTATTTTTACTCCTACTAATAATCTATCTATCATATTCTACTTTGACCTATCACATCAACGGTATTTTTGAAAATTTAACACAAAAATATCTCACCTTTAAATTTCCCAAAAGTTAAAATAGAAACATCTTTATGGGAAGCAAGACGTAATTCTTATTTTTTATTTTAAAATCATTTTATAAATAAAATCATTTTAAAAATTATAAAATTTTACGTGATAATTGAAATGAATTATTTATTCTGGGACGGAAAAAGTAGGGGCCTTTTTGGACTGGATAGTCTGGCCGGTTAGGATCAATCCTACAGAATGCACATATTATTAATCACCCCAATCATAAGTGTTGGGAAGTAGCGGACTGTGCAGTGGGGTTGGGGTGAGGGCACGCACAGTCCCAACATGTGGTATCAGAGCCCAGGTTCTTGCGGGTGTGAGCAGCAGACTGTGCAGTGTGGAAAAATCTCGGTGTGACGGTGTAACAATAGGACCAAGACCAAGAAAGAGGGTCTGCAGGTGGTGCCTTGTGTCGAAAGTCTTCCCGACGAGAGAAGGTCGGGCGGCGTGTCCCGTGAAGCCACGGCGGTACAAGATGATTTGGCGGATCAAATTGTGTAGCCCAGCGAAGGAAAGATCTGCGGTTCGAGCCTTGCGTCGAAAGTCTTCTTGATAGGAGGTCGGGCGGCGTGTCCCGCAAAGAGTGTGCGGCGGTGCAAGATGGTTAGCAGATAAAAAAAGGATTACCGCTGGAGGAGAGGTCAGAAGTTGTGTGGTCCTTAGTTGAGGGGAGGTTTGTTGGATTCCTCCAAGTCCCACACCAGAAGTATATGAGTAAATGAACCAAAATATATAGGTTCACCCAACCCCATTAGTATGAGGCCTTTTGGGAGGTGCCCAAAAACAAATCCGTGAGGCTTAGCCCAGAGCGGATAATATCATACTAATGCAGGGTTGGGGTGAGGGCCTGCACAGCCCCAACAATAAGTTCTGTCACAACTTAGAGCAAGCTACTTAACAAAACTAGTCAACATATTAAATCAAGTATATCCTTGGTGTATTGTGTAGGTCGTCGATCCTTTTTTTAATATGTACATCAGTACATATTTTAATTTTTTGTTCTTTACAAAAAATAAAATTTTTACTTTTCGTTAATTAGTTCTTTAATTCCTATATTTTGTTGATCTATAACGACTATTTATGCATCATAAATATTTTTATTAAAGTGAAAGTTAGTTGGATAGAATCAATAAAAAATTGTTTTTAGTTTGTTTGCATGGTAAATTTAAGATTTTTTATTTTGTTATCAGTTATTTATAAATTTTTTAAAAATTATGTAAGTATTATTATTTCTGTTGATAGATAAAGTTATTTATATGCAAATTAAATTTTGATGTATATTATACAGAGTCTTTGTATAGGTGGGTGTATTCTACATTTGTACTCCTTTTGATCTTCATTCCAAAACTAAAGACACTTTATAATTTCAGTGTCTCAAGACTAATAAAGTGTAACACACTATTGACACTAATTCACATGGCTCGATGTTATGCGAGTTGCTTTACTACCAAGCAAATATTCACATACACTATTTTTTTAAACAATTTAAAATCATTTGATTCAAAATCTAGAGCTCTTAAAATATCTTTCAAATTTAATTGAAAATAATGCGGAAGCTAAACTATTAATTAAAACGAACAATATCATTGAGTTATTAGCAGAAAATCATTCATATAAGAAACCATCTTATTTGTTAAACGTTTGGTTCTGCATCCATGCATTACCATCGTCTCCTTGCCTTCTCAGATCCCCTCCTTCTCTAAAATAACAATTGCACGCTCAATAGTAAAGTTATGTGAAAGTATCTAAGCTTTGAATATAGACATAGATAATTCCACAATTCATAATTCATTGTCTAAATAAAAAAGAAAAGTTAGGTGTTGTGTATAATTAGATACCCGGAGTAAAACAATATTATTCTTGTTTCGATATCTAATAAGTAATATAATTTTTTTAATTACTTAATGGTCAAAGTTAATGAATTTTGACTGTAAAAAGTCAAATTGAAATAATTAAACACCACAAAATGAAGGTATAGTAGCAATTCAAAACGATAACACTAATAGAAAATGACGTGCCCGGCTGTGTGTGAGTTCTATTATTTGCAATAGTTTCTCGTACGCACTAGGTACGGGACGACCTCTCTAAGGATCAAATTGAGATTATATCATGATTTACCTCCCCACAATCTTGTCGAGCCGGGGTGTGGGGCACCCGGGGTGAGCGTTCCACTAATAGAAAATGACCTTTTCAAAGGGCTAATTTGTAAATTTGAGAAAGGTGTGTTTGTGGGGGGTGGGGTGGGGTGGGGGGTGTTTGCTAGCTAGGGCACCATGTTATGTTATACCGGAGTATATATAGATGGTGGAATATTGAAGCTAAAGAAGAGGAATTACAATTCTCCAATACAATAGTGTCTAGTGATTTCCCTCTTTCTCTCTCCCTCCCTCTTAATTTCTCTATAAGCATAAAATAGTAAGAGAATGAAAGCCACACTGAAATACTTGGCCGGAATAAATGGGCCAAGCGGGTACGGGTCAAGAACCACCGCCTCCCAAGTCTCTCAAGATTTCTCATCTCTTTTCCTCCCTCTTCCTCCTCCACCCCTCACTGCAATTATCACCGGTAATTTTATTTTTACTGTCTAATTAATTATCGATGCTATTCACACAGTCAAATTTTATTCAATTTTTTTGCTTGTCATTTGGTAAAATAAATATTCATTTCACCTCTAGTTTTGTAGGAACTTTGATTTAGTTGTTAAATATATAAATTTTATTTTTAAATTTTACATATATAATCAAATAAATTGAGTTGAAAAAAAAGTTGGTCAAACTTCATAAACTGAAACGGAGGGAGCATATATTATTAATAAAAATAAGAATGCGACATTTTTTTAAAATATTATATTATTAAAATAATTTACTATATTACGTATAGTACGTAATATACGTAGAATTTGCCCATTTAACTAATAGCTCAAGAATGGCGGGAAGTGTAAACTCGTGATTTCTTAATCAACCATCGACTTTTTAGGAATTTTAGCTAAGCTAAATATCGGAGTATAATTTTTTTTGTCGAATTGTGATATTTTTTTTACTATAAGTTAAACAAATTTTTAAATAAATTGTGAAATATCCCCCTTAAATGTAGAGTTTTATTGGGGGATGGAGGAATTATAAACCAATTACTCATAATCAGCCACATTCCACGCTATTTATATTTTAATTTATATTTTTTTATATTTTTTATTTAAAAATGTATAATAAACTAAAATATAAATAACCTAATATACTACGGGGTGTATTTGAAAAATACATTTATTATATTACTTTCTTAAAATCATACTCAGAAATATTTTAGATGATATTGTTAAGGAAGACTTCAAGTTCAAGAAACTTGTGTAAGTCTTTTGGCATACGGAGTAATTCAATTAATTTTGTCACGGAGGGAGTATATTATTCATATGAGAAATCAGTGTAATTTTCGTTACATCGTACTCCATCCGTCCATTAATTTTTTTTCACTTTCTTTTTTGGACTGTCCAAAAATTGTCTCTGTTTTCTATTTTTGACAAAAAACTTTTAATGAATGTGTCATTATAGTCCTATTTTTTCTCTACATTATTCACTTTATTCCATCATATCAAGCGCAACACATAAAAAATCTGTATATTTTAATTTTTCTTAATTTCCGTATCAGGTTAAAACGAGAAATTGTTTTTGAACGAATGGAAATGCACCAAGAAATTCTTATTCACTACTCATTTTCATAGACTTCTTCAATGGGAATTGATAAATGCACTCCAATTATGTTAAATGCACTCCACTCTTTTATATTTTTGTTGGAATAGACATATTTGACCTTCTGTGAGTTGCATATTTTTAGTACATTGTACGGAGTATGTCTTTTAAATTACTCCAACCGTCCAAAAAAAATTCGGTTTGATTTAACATAAATGTTCAAAAAAGGTAAAAAGTTTAATAATTTTTCACGTTTTGCTTTTGATGTGATAGAATATTCAATAGTATAGATAAAAAAATATGGCTATAATAGGACATAAATCAAAAGTTTTTTGTCAAAATAAAAAATGAGCAAGAAAGAAATTTTTGGACTACCCAAAAATGTGGGAAAAAATTCAGGGAGGGAGTAATTTTAATGCAACCTATTTAGACTCCTTAAAAGCTCAAATATTAAGATATGTTATACGATAAAGAGTATTTTGTACCTTTTCCGTCTTAGAATTATCGTCTCATTTCGAACAATAATTAAAACTTTATCTCTTTTAGAATAATTTTATTTACAAATAATCAACGATAACATACGCAGATAACAAAAAAATTTCGAGAGATTAAATAATCACTGCGACAATATTATTGAAAGAGAAGTATTAAACTTTGTAAATATGAAGTATTTTTATTTTGCGTTTCTTTTTTGAAATGTCAAAAAACTATCGTTATTTGAAATATGATTACGTTTTTTTAATGAAGGGAGTACTTGATAAGTTTTTACTTTTTTATTTTCAAAAGAAAAAGTTTTGTTGTGATATAGACAATTGTTTCATTTCCCAATCCAAGAGAAAAACATGTTGAGTTTAACGAAATTGAATTATTAAATTTATTAATCGCCAAAAAATATATATAGTTCAAATATTCAAACAATGAATGATACTTTAATTTGAGAAAACAAATAAAAGGATTGAATTAAAAAAAGATACAAGATGCTCGTACTAAAATTCAATTGATTCGAGGGGCAAATTTGTATATTCCAACAAAAATCTAAAAAAGGTGGAGTGCATTTAACAATACTGTAGGGTTGTAAACGAACCGAATCGAATCGAATCGAATATTCATGAAAAATATTCATATTCGTTAAGATGGAGTGATATTCGAATTCGAATTCGGTTCGAATATTTTTTAAGATTCGTATTCGGTTCGTTTAATATATTAAACATATTCGGTTCGTTTAAGTATTCGATTCGTTTAAATATATTCGGTTTATTTAAAAATATTCAGTTCATTTAGATTTTAAAATATTTTATAACCACTTATATATATATATATATATATATATATATATATATATAATTTGTATAACTAGATAATTTATATTTCGAATATATTTGTCAAACTCACGAATCGAATACCCTTGATTCATATTCGTATTCGATAAGGATTCGAATATTTATTCAGATTCGTATTCGTATTCGGATTTGAAAAAATCGAATACGAATCACCTTAAACGAATATGAATCACGAATCGAACAAAAAATATTCGATTCATTTATAACCCTAAACAATAGTGGAGTGTATTTATCAATTGCCTTCTTCAATCCTTTGATTTTTCTTCTTGATTTGATGGAAGATACAGTTTTGTCTAATTAAACAATGACCCCCCATTATCAAATCTAATCATTGTTTCTTCTTTTAATTTGCACGATATATAACTAAATACTCCTTCCCTTTTTTTAAAGCGGTTCTTCTTTCATTTTTTCCGTTTTCCTTAAAACATTTTTATTTTTTAGAAAAATGATTCATATATCTAAATTAATTTATTGTAATATATAGCACATTCAATTTGCATTGAAATAATAAGTCATTTAAATGAGTTGTCTCTTTTTTCTTCGATGATAAGCATATAATTAGAAGGTCAAACTACAAAAATAAATTTCTCCCAAGTCAAAACAGGAATGATTTTAGGAAACGGAATGAGTAAAAAAAAAATAGACCCACTATCTCCCAAAAATAAATATAATAATATACTATATACTACGCCCTCCCTAAAAGAATGTCACATTTGTTTTTTCCACAATCGCGGGAACTTTTATTTATTTGTATGTTTTCATTGGTTATTTGATAAAATAAAATACTCTAGACATCTTTTATTTCGAAAACTTTTCATATAGTTTTTAAATATGTAAATTTTATTTTTTATTTCTATACCAATATTTAAATAAAATAAATTGAAAAAACTTAATATTTTGTTTAACACCTCTTATTTCGAAAACTTTCATGCAGTTTTTTAAATATCTAAAGTTTATTTTTTATTTCTATACCAATATTGAAATAAAATAAATTAAAAAACTTAATTTTTTATCTAAATTTTAGAAATATAGCAAAAAAAAAGCGACGAAAGGAGTACGTACTACTCCCTCCGTCCAGAAATATTCTTCCCATTTTCCTTTTTGGTCCGTCCGGAAATATTCTTCCCATTTCCTTTTTTAGTATACTTTTTAAGGCTGAATATCAATAATACTCTTCTATTTTATCACAAATATACTTTTTTAGTACTTTTTTAATAATAAAAGGAAATTTAAAAGTTTATAGTATGTGCATTTTTGAAAATTTTGCATTTTTTTACTATTCCTTAATAAGCGTGCCAAGTCAACACGGGAAGAACATTTCCGGACGGAGGGAGTATCATAGAATCAACGCACAAAGACAATGCATCCACCCACAATAATTATGTCATGATAAAGACTAGACAAAGCAAAGACGTGTACACTATTTTTTGAGTAATCTCTTTCTAATTTGTTTTATGCTCCTTAATTACATGCCATAAAAAAGTTCAACATTTTTGAGTAGTTTCATTTTCAATTTACGGAAATTAAATTTTCTTTGAACCATATCATTTCTCTCTTTTCTATTATGTTATTTCAATCATAAAATTTTACCGGAAGACTTCTCCCTAAACCAAACTAGATTATGTAAATTTTACCCAAAATAAAATAAAATTGTCTATTTTTATTCTTTGAATAAGAGTTTTGACACTCTATAGTACCCGCAAAATGGCAATATATGTTGCCATTTGAGCATTTTTTTCATTAATTGACATTATTATAAGTCTTACTCCCTCTGTTCTCAAAAACTCTTCCTCTTTCATTTTTTTTACTTCCACCAAAACACTTCCACTTTATATTAAAAAACCACTTTTACACTTACTTTTTCATACCCTACCTATCACATCATACTTTTTCTCTAATACTCAATCCATCACATCTTACTTTTACCCCAAGGGAAAAATTGGAAGTCAACTACAATTTAACACTTCCTTATTCTTACAATAAGTCAAAATAGGAACACTTTTATAGAACACTTTTTGAAACGTGTAAATCTTTTTGGGACGGAGGGAGTATTTTAATATATGAAATACTCCGTAGATTTTAGTCCTAATGGTATTTTTTATTCGAACGACATGCAAAATCTTGTGATTTTTAAAATAATTTCATTTACAAATTAGTGAAAAAATAAAAAATAAAACTTACATATTTAAAAAATGTATAAGACTCTTACATAACAAAAGGTAATAAAAATATTTTATTTTAACCAATAATCAATGAAAATATGCAAATTAAATAAATAAAAGTTATCGAGAGACCGTACTTTTTCGATCCTTTATTTTTCTTTTGGTTAGAAGATGCCTTTGTGTTTAACCTTATTAAACTACCGGAGTACTATATTAATTATATATGTCCATGTTTACACGTTTTGAAATTTTGTTAACATTTCTGATAACAACGTAAAGCTAACTCAACTAAAAAATATCACCTCACTTCTACACCTTTGCCAAATTGGTAATATTTAGCTAGGGTGGCTTTGGTTGGGAAAAAATATTCTCCAAATAAATATTCTCCGATAATCGGTAAATTATATGATACAGTCGGATATACCTTGACATTGGCACATCATGACAAACTTTTATATATTTCAGAATGAACACTACGTTGTTTCAGAAAAATATATATGTTTCTAAATGATACTACGTTGTTCTAGAATGAGTATATATTTCAGAACGAACACCGTACTACGTTGTTTTAGAATGAGCAGACTTCATAATGAACCCTAGGGGTTGAAAAGGAACATTCTATTAATTCAAGATGAACATTCTTTTGATTCAAAATGAATATTCTGTTTATTTACTCCGTTCGGCGTACAACTTTGTTTCTAGGTGCTATTTACATGGTCAAACATTTAATCATTTTCTTTACCTATTTTGTTAGTTATTTGATGAAATAATATAGTCCTGTCCGCCCCTCTTGTGTAGAACTTTTGATGTAGTTTTTAAATATATAAATTTATTTTTTAATTTTATACCTATAATCAAATAAATTGAATTAAAAATAATTTTAGTCAGATCTCGTAAACTGAACTAGAAAAAAAGTTTTAGGATAAAGGGAGTATTTTTTTAGTTTCCATTAAAAAGATATTTTTAACTATATTAATTCCTACTCTACTTATTACTTCACATGATATCTATCTAGTACTAATCTATACATCACATTCTACTTTTACTAATCTCATCAATGAGCAGACTTCATAATGAACCCTGCGGTTGGAAATGAACATTCTATTAATTCAAGATGAATATTCTTTTGATTCAAAATGAATATTCTGTTTATTTACACACTTCATCCTAAAATTTTCTTCTCAAATACTATTCACATGGTCAAACATTTAATTACTTTTTTTACTTATTTCGTTAGTTATTTGATGAAATAATATAGTCATGTTCTCTCTTGTTGTGTAGAAACTTTTGATGTAGTTTTTAAATATATAATTTTTATTTTTTAATTTTATACCTATAATAAAATAAATCAAATTGAAAATAATTTCAATCAAACCTCGTAAGCCGAACTGGGAAGAAAGTTTTAGAGGAAATACTTTTTAGTTTCCATTAAAAAGTTATTTTTAACTCTATCAATTCTGACACTACTTATTACTTCACATTATATCTATCCAGTACTAATCTATACATTACATTCTACTTTTATCAATCTCATCACTGATAATTTGGAAAAGTCAATGCTGAAATATTGCTCCCCTAAATTTTTTTAAACGTCAAAATATAAAGGATTTTTAGGAATAGAGTATATATATTCTTGAATCTCTAATATAACATTTTTTAAATATATATATTTATCGTGACGGAAGGAGCGACGTCGGGGATCGGAGCGGAGACGGCGAGGGCGTTGGCGGAGAGCGGCGTTCGGGTAATAATTCCGGCGAGAGACATGAAGAAGGCGGCGGAGGTGAAGGAGGAAATAGAGAAGAAGTCTCCCGGAGCGGATGTAGTCTTATTAGAGATTGATCTCAGCTCTTTAGCTTCTATTCGGAGGTTTTGTGCTCACTTCTTGTCCTTGGGGATGCCACTAAACATACTCATGTATGTGACTATATATGTCTTTTTACTACTACATCTCTTCTGAATATTTGTTTAATTTTGACTTTTTTCTAATCAATCATTTTTAATTTTTAACCTATAATTAAATAATATGTATAAAATAATATTTGAAAATATTAAATAAAATTTATCTAATAAAATAGTTTTTTTGGATCGAAATCTAATACCAATTTGATTTTATTAGCGGTCAAATATTGTTGATTTTGACAGTAAAAAGTTAAACATGGACAAATACTCGAGGATGAAAGGAATATCATTTAATTATTGTTTTTATATTTAATTTAGAATGGGTACTTTTGAAATAATAGGCTTGAGCTTAATTCAGTTTCAAAAGTTAACTCAAAGGGTTGGACCACTCGTCCAAATTATTATAAACAACGCAATATAAACTTACAAAGTTGATGTGAGAGTTGAATCCAACACGCACCCTCACGGTATTTCGTTCAACTCCAAATTAAATTGGTTTTTTATTTATCCCCACAAATCAATATAAAATTCTCAGTCTCACCTTCTGATCTTGTTGTTATATGCTATAGTATAGCATATATATATATAACAATGAACTCAGAAATGTCTTTAAATGAATTGAATGTCATATTATGACACCCATGGGTGGTGTCAAAAGGATCCCGTTCTTAATTTAATTACTTTAAGTTTATTGTCCTATAATAATTACTCCTATTTATTTTCACTTAATTTAATTATTTAATTATCATATTTATTTATTTCATGCCATGCAGAAATAATGCCGGGAGGTTTTCGCCCAACTTGGAGTTTTCTGAAGAAAAACACGAGCTCACTTTTGCCACTAATTATTTGGGTGTGTATTATTTTATATTTAACTGAGAAATGTTGAAGTAAATTCATTTTTCAAACCCTAATAATCTAAAAGAGAAATTTACTTAAATAACACTAAAACATAATGTCTTTCTCTAAATAGCACCACATGTGTTTTTCTTCCCAATGTAGCACTTTTAGTCATTATGCATTAGTCATTATTCAAGTAAATATTCGCCATCACAGGACATTATGGATATTATTAGGTGCTATTTAGGAAATAAAATAATTTAAGTGCTATTTAGGGAAATGACTTAAGTTTTAGTGCTATTTAGTGCAAATATTTCAATCTCTCTAAAATGGAGGATTTTAATTGTAAAAAGATAAAACCTGACGAATATTTTTGTACCATGGTTAATCTTTGACATATAATTTCAATTAAATTATATCGAGAAATAAATCTCACTCTCTTTTATGAAAAGTCAAAATTAGACACACTCAGGACATAATGAGTATTTTTTAAAAAAATTAGATCAATAAAAGTAGGATTAAGTTATTAGTATTAAAATTTACTCTATTACAAATAAGAGTAACATATTATTATTATTATTATTAAAAAATGGACTTACATGAAATATAGCATAACTATATTGGATGAAAAAAGAGGAATTCTCGCGTGTATTTATCAATACGGAAAATAGGGAAAAAAAATACAAGAATTAATGATAAAGTTAACGGAAGGACCAACTGTACAACGCTAACGTGACTTGAAGAACTATTTATAGATTTTCTAGAGTTGAAAGACTAACCGTGCGTGAATAATGCATTAACTTGAAGGACTAATCACGCCATTTAGCCCATTTTTAGCAACGTTCATGCATTTCTCTAAAGACTTGCTATAATTACAGCACATACAGTGTCAGTATCTCGCAGACAAAGATTGTCTGTGCGAGATATTATCTATGTCGAAGCCGACTTTAGTATCATCTTAAAAAAAATTGCTTTGATACCAATAATTACGCTGTTACTGTCTCGCAGACTAAGATTGTCTGTGCGAGATTAATTGATATTATCTATGTCGATGCCGACTTCAATATCATATTTTTTATAAAAAAAATTGGTTTCAGGTCATTTTCTATTGACAGAAATGCTATTGGAGAAAATGATAAAGAGTGCAGTAGAAAGTGGGATTGAAGGAAGAATTATAAATGTCACTTCTGTGGCACACAATTGGGTTCAACCTCACCATTTTTGCTTCTCCCAACTCCTAAACCCTAAAGAGTAAGCAATAAACACTTTCTCATGTAATTAAAAACATCATAGTTATTTTAACACTGATTTTCAGTGTGTGTCATGTTATGACACTGATTTTCAGTGCGTGTCATGTTATGACATCATTTGACAACTGATGGGCCGATATCCAGTGGGCGGCCCAAATGAACCACTTATACAGCATCGGGCCAAGCACCTGTGAAATGCCCAAGCTTGGGCCGGCCCGTGGAGCTGGGCCTAGTTAACCTCAAACCAAGCGCAGCTGGCAGAGTCAATCCGGAGAAGGAGACGGAGCAGATTGGCCGTTACGGAGCCGGAAAAAAGGGATCGCGCCATCGGCGGGATAGATTGCATCGATAATGCATTACCTAACTTGCTGAGAGCTCATGTATAAATAGTGGAGACCCGAAAGGAGAAAACTCAAACTAAATCAAGCTAATAATACATTCCCAATTCTCGAATTCTCGTTCTTAATTTTGTTCTTACGATCCGCTTTGTGAATCGGATCATTTGGTGGATTTACTGTCCATCAAATTGGTGCTTTGATTGAGAGTTCGAGAATCATACTCAGAGGAAATCCTCCATAAAGACGATGGTGCAAACACGCAGTAACGCCAATATAGGTACCGGAGTTCCCCAGCAGGGGGAGAACAGCCACTGGAGGCCGGAATCCTCCCATCACTACGGGGGAAGCTGAGGCCCTCATCCAGAGGGTTGGGATCACAGCCGAGCAATTCAAGGAGGTCTTGGCTGCACTCACACCCAATCGCGAGATTGTGGTAGAAGATGTAGTTGGGGGACCCACAGGCGGGAAGGCCGGACCTGCGGGCTCCCAAGGGAAAAAGAAGAAAGTGAGGCGGTCCAAGAAGAAGAAGGCGACCAAGCCCAATGGGAAGGCGGTGATGGCGGACGCGCTTTCCAGGCTGGACGAAGAGGACGAGTCGTCCTCCTTCGAGCGGATGTCAGCTTTTGACCGTTTGGGGGATCCCAAACCAAAGAAACTTCGGACCTCTGCGTTCGAACGGTTGCAAGACACTCGGTCGGCCCGAAAGGGCGACTTGAGGGACACGCTCAAGGAAAAAAGAGGGGAATCCACAGCGACTTCCAAGATTGGTCCTGAGGAGCGACGGACGGTGGTCGGGGACAAGGGCGCGGCCGAGCTGTGGAAAATGTACGAACAACTGGAGAAGCGGCTGGATGCCCAGAACCCCTATCGCTAGGCGGTCTTCAGTGAGGTAACGCCCTTCTCTAGGAGGATAATGTCTTGTCCTCTCCCGGATAATTTCAAAACTCCCCAAATCAAGGCGTACAACGGGACGACTGATCCCCAGGACCACCTCGCTCGCTTCGGGGCAAACGTGGTCATGTATGCGTACCCAGAAGAAATCAAATGTCGATGTTTCCTGGCCACACTGGAAGGGCAGGCTTGTGAGTGGTTTCACAAGTTACCCAAGGGATCGATAGATAAGTGGAGCGACCTGGCCCACAAGTTCTTGGAGCACTTCGCATCCAGCCGGAGACAAAAGCTCCCCTTCTCGCATTTGCTCAATGTGAAGATACGGAAGGGGGAACAGCTCCGGGAGTTCATCAATAGGTGGGAGAAGGAGGCTAGGGACGTACAAGGGGCGGACGATCAAGCCCTGATCGCCATGCTCCAAGCTGCACTCCCCCAAGGGGATGTGCGTAAGGAGCTGCGATGAAATCCTCTCTCGACCTATCAAGAGATGTTGGCCAGGGCGAAGTACCTGGCGTTGGAAGAAGAAGATGATGAGCCACCAGTCCGGAAGGAGAAGAAAAGCGGGCCGCCGGTGGCAGAAGGAAAGAAAAGGAAGGACTATGGTAAGGGGCCGAACCCCACCGGGTATCACGTGAGCAGGCATCCTGTTCATGCGGTACAGTCGTTGCCTGCCCCTCCTCATAGTCGGGAAAGCTATGGTGTGCAAGATGCACCCAAATACTGCGAGTACCACCGTAACAGCACCCATAACACATCGGAGTGCGTTACGTTGAAAAAGGAGATGGATCAGCTGATCGCTAGAGGGCCGCCTCCTCGGTCGGAGCGACCATCCTCAAGTAACCGGACCTGGAGGAGGCCGCCAGCCCCTACGGTAGTGATCATAGCAGGAGAAGGCCAAGAAGATGGGCGGAGGCATCTAGGTCGAGAATGTGACGATCTAGATGAGGAAGAGAGGCAAGGCCGCCGACACCTGGGGTGTCGGTTCATCATGGGAGGAAACACTGGAGGAGATTCGGTATCCTCCCGGAAGAAGTGGAAGAACATGGTGTACCTGGCCGAGGTACAAAGACCGCCGTTGCCTAAGCGGAAGAAGAAGGAACCTCTGGTCTTTACAGACGAGGATTATCCCCCAGTCCTTAGCCCTCACAGGGACGCTCTGGTGATAAAGGTAGAGATCAATAATGTGGTTGTTCACCGAACTTTGGTCGATACGGGCAGCTCGGTCAACGTTATGTACAGCAACACCTTTAAGGAGTTGGGGTTGTCCCGAAGCGACCTAAAACCAATCCATACGCCGCTATCGGGGTTCACGGGGGATACGATCGAAGCTGAAGGCACTATCACGGTGAGGGCCGGGGTAGGAGATGGCACCCACCGACTCTGGGTCGACATGGAATTTATGGTAGTGCAGCTCGACTGTGCACACCATTTGATTCTGGGACGACCAGGGTTGGAGGACCTGGAGTGCGTAATCTCCCCCGTCCACTTATGCCTAAAGTTCAACACTCCCACAGGGGTGGGGATAGCAAAGGGAAACCAAAGCCTGTCACGGTCGTGCTACGTTAGGGCGACCAAGAGCCAAGCCCGGGTCGACGAGAATGTGAGTACGATCTGCGCCGCAATCCAGAAGGAGGAAGGGCGACCACGAGCTGAGCTGGCGGAGGAGGTCGAGGAAGTTTCTTTGGACCTGGACGAACCAGAGCGGAAGGTGAAGGTAGGTAGAACCTTACCGCTTGAATTGAAGGATCAATTATTGGACGTCCTCCGAGCATTCAAAGTGCTATTCGCTTGGGGACCAGAGGATATGCCAGGGGTCGACCCAAAGATCATCTGCCATAGATTGGCAGTGGATCCAACCCACAGGCCGATCAAACAGAAGAAGCGTTTCCTTTCCTCAGAACGGAGAGAGTTTGTCACCAAGCAGGTGACGACCCTACAATCCATTGGGCACATCCGGGAGGTTCGATACCCGGAATGGTTGGCCAATGTAGTCCTCGCACCCAAAGGGAGTACCTGGCGGATGTGCGTCGATTACACTGATCTAAATAAAGCCTGCCCGATGGATCCTTTCCCTCTCCCCAACATTGATCAGTTGGTTGATGAGACGGCCGGGTGTGAGCTGATGAGCTTTATGGACGCATTCAGTGGGTACCACCAGATCAAGATGGCTGTGGCGGATGAAGAGAAGACCGCTTTCATCACCCCCAATGGGGTATATTGTTACAAGGTGATGCCCTTTGGCTTGAAAAATGCTGGGGCGACTTATGCACGGATGGTGAACAAGTTGTTCGCGCCAGTGCTAGGGGGATGCATGGAAGCGTATGTGGACGACATGATCGTCAAGTCCAAACGGATGGAGTCCCATGCCGGCGACCTGGAGAGAGTGTTCAAGATCATGGAGAAGTTCCAGCTTCGCCTTAACCCTAAGAAATGTACATTTGGGGTTCAGGGGGGCAAGTTCCTAGGACACATGGTCAGCCGGAGAGGAATTGAGCCTAATCCGGAGAAAGTAAAAGCAATCTTAGAGATGGAACCTCCGAGGAATGTGAAGGAGGTCCAGCAGCTGACCGGCAGGATTGCTGCTCTCAGTCGCTTCTTGTCAAAGATAGCTGATCGAGCGGCCCCTTTCTTTCAGACCATTAAGAAGAGCAGAGGGTTTGTCTGGACCGAAGAATGTCAACGGTCCTTTGAGGGGTTGAAAGCATACCTCCTCTCCCCACTGGTACTTTCGAAGCCAGAGCCCGGAGAGATCCTATTTATGTACTTAGGAATCTCTCCTCGAGCTGTGAGCTCGGTGCTTGTGAGGGAGGAGGAGGGCGTACAGCGACCTGTGTACTATGTGGCCCAGGTGTTGCGAGGGGCGGAGAAAAGGTACACAAACATGGAGAAAACCATCTTTGCGGTGGTATGTACGGTGAAAAAGCTCACCCCATATTTTCAAGCCCACCCGGTCCATGTATTATCACAAATTCCCATCGAAACACTTCTTCGAAGTCCGAATGCCCCATCACGGGTCAACAAGTGGGGAGTGTTCCTGGGATCTTTTCAGATAGAGTTTAAGCCACGACCGGCGATAAAGGGGCAGGCGTTAGCCGATTTCGTGGTAGAGTGCACAGCAAGAGAGGTGGAGTCTAGTGGAGGAGAACCTGAAGGGAGCTGGTGGACGGTATACACCGATGGTTCGTCCGCGACTGATGCTTCCGGGGGAGGTGTCGTGGCGATATCACCGGAAGGGTTCAAAGCGTATTACTCCGTTAGATTCCGGTTCAAAGTCTCAAACAATGAGGCTGAATACGAGGCTCTGCTTTGCGGTTTGAGGCTAGCAGCTTCATTAAAAGCTGAACGAATTCAAGTCCAGTGCGACTCCAAGCTAATAATAGGTCATGTCACTGGAGAGTTTGAGGCCAAGGATGAGCGAATGAAGAAGTATAGAGACATCGCCTTGGAATTGCTCAAAGCATTTGGAGCGTACCGGATAGAGCAGGTACCTCGAGAAGAGAATGCTGAGGCGGACATCTTGTCAAAGCTGGGCCCGGATTCTCCAGATCATATCAAGGCAATGACCCAGGAAGAAGAATTACTCTAACCAAGCATCAGTCTCGGACGAGTATTGGTCATCACACACAAGGAGCCAGCGGACTGGATTGATGAGATTACCATGTACATCCTTGATGGGTCGCTACCTACCGACCCAATCACGGCGAAAGTGGTAAAGCGGCGTGCACCCAGTTACACATTGGAGTGCGGTCGATTATACAAACGGTCGTACAATGGTACATTGCTAAGGTGCTTAAGAGCGGGCGAAGCACAGAAGTTAATGGAGGAAATCCATGAAGGAATATGCTCAGCACATCAGGGAGCCTTCACGATGTCCAGGAAAGTAACCCTACAAGGATACTTCTGGCCAACGATTATTAGAGATTGTGCAGAATATGTGCGCAAATGCAAGGTCTGCCAGGAGTTCCAGAGGGTGCCGGGGCGACCGGCGACGAATTATACCCCGATCAGTACGGCGATTCCCTTTGCCCGGTGGGGCATTGATCTAGTTGGCATTTTGCCTAGAGGGACAGGGAACAACACATACCTGGTGGTCGCGATTGATTACTTTACCAAGTGGGTCGAGGCCGCTCCCGTGCCGACCATCACTGCAGAACAGATGACGAAGTTCGTTTCTAAGCAAATCTTGTGCTGATTCGGGGTGCCCCAGCAGATCATCACCGACAATGGAACCCAATTCGAGGCCAGAGGGTTCAATGAGTTTCTACAGAGCTGGGGCATAAAGCACAGCTATGCAGCGGTCGGGTACCCCCAGACCAATGGACAAGTCGAGAACACCAATCGTACCATCGTGGACGGTCTCAAGAAGAAAATAATGGAATGCAAAAGTGCCTGGGTGGAGGAATTGCCCTACATCTTGTGGACCTACAGAACTACCCCAAGGAAGGCTACAGGTGAAACTCCTTTCTCGCTCACATATGGATTTGAAGCAAGGGCTCCAGCGGAGACCTCGTTGCTGAGTTATAGAGTGGAGACGTTTGACGCTCGAGAGAATGAAGAGAACTTGGGGGCAGAGCTGCACCTCATTGATGAGCGAAGAGAAAGGGCATACATACGGGCAGAAAACTACCGCCGGCAAGTCAAGTCATATCACGACCAGCGGGTGCGACCAAGGCAGTTCAAGGTTGGCGACTGGGTCCTTCGAAAGAGGGAGGTCAGTCAGCCGACCGATGGAGGGAAGTTTGCTAAAAGCTTCGAGGGGCCATATATCATAAAGGAGGTGTTGGCTGATGGGACATTTAGATTGCAGACTCCAGCCGGTGGCGACGTTCCGCGAGTATGGAATGCCGCCAACCTTATCAAATTTTATCAATAGATTGTATTCCAGCCATGTCTCTTTCTTGAAGTTTAATAAAACTAGTTTTCTGGCACACCTTGTCTTCAATTCTCAAAGAAAAAAAAAAGAAAAAAAAGGAAGCGACCACAAGAGATTGCTAAGCCTAAACGTCATGGTGATTCGTGCTAAGATACCCAATGTTGGGTGAAGCGCCGAACCCTGACAAGCGACCAAGGTGGAGGGTTGTCCGGTGACGCGACTAATCAGAGGACGACGCCGTGGCAAGAAAGCCCGAGAAAACGACTAAGTCTGGAACAAAAGATCTGCTGATCGCAGGAGCGACCAGGGGTCAATGGCGACGCCATGAGGGTAAAGTAACCCGGAAATGGCTAAGTCAAAAGAGGCGAGGTATTCTCTGATCAGGGTCTGAGGAAACCTGAACGCTTAAAATGAGATGCGGAAGAGAAGAAGATGGAACTTGTAAGTAAAAAGGTGACATTAAAATACATTCATGAAGATGTTCATTACATTTCAAGGATAATCTCTTGCATCCACTACAATACAGTTGAAAACAGTCTCTATATCTTCAAAAGCAGGGATACCTTTCCATACTTTTCTTACAATGAAAAAGAACAATCTAAAACTTTGCGAGCAAAAGGCCTAGGGGGGACAGGCAGGTTTGAAGGGTAGTTCTGCAGCTGCATAGGCCGGCGGAATTCCGATCACCGGCCGTCCAGGACGACCACCGTTCTTCCCCAACATGGGACAGGATCGGTCGCCCCCAGCCTTGGCAAAAACCCACCGTCCTTCAAATATCAAGGAAGGACGGAGGGCGGCTTACTTCTTCCAGAACCCCAACCAGCATCACCTAGATGAGGATGGAGATCCTGAAGCCGCATCACCTAGATGAGGATGGAGATCCTGAAGCCAATCGAGCTACTCCAGGTCGCCTACGGGTTTTCCAGGGAGTTGAGCGGTCGGTGGGGCGAGGTGGGCTGGAACCCAGTTCTTCCCCCAACACAACCTCATTCTTAGGCCTTACCGGCGAGTTGGTGCGACTTTCGCTAGTCCATTGTTCAAGACTTGCGTAGTATGCGCACTCATGCTCTAGGAGGGGTAAGTGCTCATCATGAAAGCTCTCCCAGGCCATGCATTGCAGGGAATGGAGGGGGCATGGAGCATCCCAATCAATCCGCCCGTTAGGCAGGCGGTTGGCGGAGAGGGCCTTGTACGCCTCACTGAAGTCTTCATAAGGGTTTGGTGGTAGTGGCGGCGGTTTTACCGACGGCCACTGTCGGCGAGGCAACCGGCGGCAAAATTCGTAAAGGTCTAGCCCCCCAGTCATTAGAATTGACTGACCTGGGGAGGAGACAGGCTCCGGCGAAGAAGGAGCCAGCCCGTCGGAAAGGTTCAGAGAAACAGGAATTCCTTCAGACATGGCAATAATGAAGAAAGGGAAAATATTGGGCGATGGAACAAAATGAAGGTTAGGGGGGCTTATAAATAGGCCCAGGCGAAGGAACCGAAGAGACGGTCAAGTCTCAAGGCAGCTGAACCGATAAAGCAGCTTTGAGCCGCGCGAAGGTCCAATCAGAGATTGTGAAAGGCATTGGGTCAGTTGGGCGGCACGTTGGCCAATCCTGAGATTGGGCCTGGACAGATAAACGGGCCGGAATTAGGAGTTGGGCCCAAACTAAAACATACATGCGAATCAGCTAAGCTGGAGAAGAAAGTAAAACGCTGAAAAAAGGAGGCACATAGTGGATCCAACAAATCAAGTAACATGCGAACATTGCATCAGAACGATAAGTCATTTCAAAGGAAAAAACAACAAGTGTTTACAAAACTCTAGGGGAACAACAGGGGAGGTTAGGCGCTCGAGCTAGGATTTCCACCCGCCTTGGACGTGGCTAAGCTGGTCCCCTGATCCTGGTCGCCCTGACCGCCTTCCACTTCTTCTTTGTCCTCTTCTTCCGACGCACTCGAGCTCCCCCCGTCCAGATAAGGACTGGGGTCGAACTCGGCCAAGGAACGGCATGGAGGAGGGAAGCCAAGGTCGGGAAGAGAGAATCCCTTGGGGAGCTGAGCCAGTCTGTCGCGGAAGACCTGTTGGGCGCGGAAGAGTCCACTGTTGAAGGATTTGGTCCCCTCCTTGACCATCCATTGAGCCCCAGGCTCGGTTTCGAGCCAAGCGGCCGTTAGCTCTTCCAACCGCTCCATCGCGGCCATCGCGACGTCAGGAGAAGACTTGAAGGATTCTACCGCTTCCTCTGCATACCGGACCCGGTCGCTCCTCTCCACTCCCAACTGCTGGATCAAGTCAGATTTTTCCCCCTCTAGCTCGACCACGCGAGCAGAAACAGATTCTACCTCCAAGGACAGGGCGGCTTTGTCTGCCTCAAGGGCGACGCAGCGGTTCTCCTTGGAAGTTTTCTCTGCAGCAAGCGCCGCGCAACGATCTTCCTTCTCCCCCAACTCTCTTGTGAGCCGGACGACCTCCTCCTGCAATTCCTTCTGCTTGGCCTCCGATGCCTTCAACGCCTCGCCCAAGGCAGCCTGGTGACCCCGTCTCCTACCGAACACCTCAATCATCCCCAGCGTGGCCTGCGCCAAGGCATGGGGGTTAAGAATGTAAAAAAGGAAAAGGAGTACAGATCGAATCAGCGCAAGTACCTGGCTCAGCCTCAAAAGGACCATGTTATCAAGGTCGTCCTCAGAACCGGCCGAGATGCGAGCTTGATCCTCCGCGGGCAAGGTGATCAGGGTCTCCAGTTGCACGTCCCCTAAGCTTTGGGGCAGAGGAGGAATGCAAAGCCTCGTCGAGCAACCCTCGGTCGCCACCTCGTAGGTCACTGCGGGAGGCGAAGGAGGTCGCTCCGAGGCAGCACCTAGTGACGACCCAGCGAGGTCGCCACCCGGCTTCACCGAATGGGGGGGGGGGGAATGACCAGTCACCGTACCCGTTTCCAGGGCAGCATCATCCTGGTCCTCCACTACAATTACAGCTAGGGGTGTTCATCGGTCTAAAATCGGACCGGACCGGACCGGACCGAAAATCGAACTATGCTAAAACCTAGACCGAAGACCGGACCTAAATGTAGTCGGTTTTTGACCGGACCGACCCGAAATCTTATGGACCAAACCGGTCCAGACCGAAAAGACCGAATCTAGGTGTGGCCGGAATTGAAACTTTCCCCACCGGCAAAACCCTAGGTGTGGAAAATTGGGGGTTTTGCAATCCCGAACCAAATTCTCCAATTGAGGAGTTAGGGTGGGTCGTAAAGATGTCAGGAAGATTCCTGGGTGGTTGCGCGACGTCGAATTTGCCAGAGGTTGCCGGAATCTGCAAATACTCACCGGAAACTGCCGTGACGGATGGTAACTGATTCCCAGCTATTCCAGTGTCCAAATCCCACGATGCTGGTGGCGATGGGGTCGTATGGACCTCAGGAGGCGATTGGGAGTGGTGGGGAGGCTCGCCGCTGCGTGTGGTGGCCGGAGCAGATTGGGCAGCGGCATGGATGGCGGATTTCCGGACGGTCAGCGATTTCCGGACGATCAGCGATTTGCGCCTCTAGAGTCACAGCCGATTGCTGATTCGATTGGAGAATAGAGATTGGAATTTGAGTTGCGGTGGAGGATTTTTGGGAAAATGGAAGGGGAAGAATAGAAAGGACGGTGGTGGAGTGATGGTTCTGGTCTAGGTCTTTTACGGATACTACGGGTACTTCTTAAGGTCTCGGTCTTTTAGGTCCGGACCGAATGATATTCGAGTTTGGACCGGACCGGACCGAAACCCGAAATTCTAAAATTGGTGGACCGAAGACCGACCCGAAATCCAATCGGTCCGGGTTCGGTCTGGACCTATCGGTCCGGTTCGGTCGGTTTTTTCGGTCCGGTTCGGTCGGTTTTTTCGGTCGGCTCTTGGGAGGGACCCTCCCCGTGGTGGGACGAAGGGCGTTTGCCCTGGCCTTTCGCCTCTCTCTTCCTCTTCCTCCCTGCAGTGAAGCGACTGAGTAGGAGATCGCCGTCCATCTCTTCTCCTGAATCTTGTAATTCCACTGGAAACAAAGGAAATGGTTAGCCTTAAAAAAAATAAACTAAACATCTGGGCAAAAGGAAAGGTCAATTACCGAAAGGACCACAGTCAAGACCTTCCTCAGGAATGTCCTTCAGCTGGACGGGCTGATGCCCCTCAGGAATGTCCCTCAGTAGGTCGGGTTGGTGGCGAAGCTCATCCTGAACAAACTCAAACCCCAACCCGGCAAGGGTCTCCTCTGTCACCACCTCTTTGATGTTCATAACTCCCTTGTTGCAGAGTTGGCGAGTAATGGACAAAAGGGTGACATCAGATGGGGGGCATGGGATGCGGCGGAAGGAAGGGCGCCCTGAACCTGTGAAAGGAGATTCGGGCCCCGTTGAGACAAAGACAAAGTAGGGTTTCCAGTCTTTGGTCGACCCCTTCTTGTCGCTAGCAAAGAGCTTACTGGACCTCTGTGGAAAGGCTGGCATAGGACGCCCAATCCTTATGACCCTTGGTCAGCTTAAAGGTGAATAGGAAATGGTCCAAAGTCGATTTCACCCCTACAGCCTTGCACCGGACCAAATAACCGGTGATGTACCGGTGAGAGTTGGGGACCAACTGGCACGGAAGAAGGTCCACCACATTGAGGAATTCGATCAAAAGCGAGTGGAGTGGGAAGCGCAGCCCCTTATTCAAAGACGCCACATGGACCGTGAAGAACCCTGAAGGGGCGTCCAAGGCGGTTTGGGTGCTGGTAGGTCTCATGACTTCAATGGAAGGTCCGACCATGTCAGTAGCATCGGCGAACCCCCGGTCAGTAATCTGGCAATGGCACAGCGCCATGATATTTTCGTCCAATCCAACCCTCGAGCCCTCGTCTACTGGGGTTGAGGAAGGGAATTGCTTCCTCAATCGACACCGTTTATGGCCAGACACGGCCGACGGTGACGGCTGGAGTGATTGAGTGTGGCCGGGGTTGCGGCCAGAGGCCGATTGATTGGCTTGGCAAGAATTGGATGATGGGGTAGCCGAATCGGAATCTGAAACAATCATGACGGCGAGAAAAGGAACTGACCTGGAAAGGAAGAAGAACGGGTCGGGTAGCAGCGGAATTACAGACGAATGATGGTGAAGAAAGCGGAAGGAAGAAATGGCGTCCTGCGGCAGTTTTTAATTGGCAATAGGAAGGCGAACCGGCAGGCCATGATTACCTAGTTGTGGAGATCGTGTCCAGATGTCACGCGGAATCCAAGGAACGGCCCGGATCCCCGCTGGAGCACCCACGTGGACTTTGCAAACTCCCCATTCCTCCACTTGGCCCAGTTGAGGACTGAGGAGTTGGGGGGCTTATGATGGGCCGATATCCAGTGGGCGGCCCAAATGAACCACTTATACAGCATCGGGCCAAGCACTTGTGAAATGCCCAAGCTTGGGCCGGCCCGTGGAGTTGGGCCTAGTTAACCTCAAACCAAGCGCAGCTGGCAGAGTCAATCCGGAGAAGGAGACGGAGCAGATTGGCCATTACGGAGCCGGAAAAAAGGGATCGCGCCATCGGCGGGATAGATTGCATCGATAATGCATTACCTAAATTGCTGAGAGCTCATGTATAAATAGTGGAGACCCGAAAGGAGAAAACTCAAGCTAAATCAAGCTAATAATACATTCCCAATTCTCGAATTCTCGTTCTTAATTTTGTTCTTACGATCCGCTTTGTGAATCGGATCATTTGGTGGATTTACTGTCCATCAACAACGAATTAAATATGCTTCAAAATAAATACGTAGTAGATATTATAAGAATTTAATATTTCAAAACTATATTTGAAAATAAACTCAATTTTACTAAATTTACATTATAGTTAAGTATCTTTTTTCATAATTCGCGATCAAAGAGTGCACCAAAGTTTGATCAAAAAATCAAACTATGACAATCTTTTAGGGATAGATGGAGTATATGACTTTCAAATGGTCTGATGTCATATTTCGAATCTCAATGGGAAAAAGACTAAAATAGAAGTAAAATATTGAAAACATTCCAAAATAAGAGTTCCACTTTTTATTCCAGAAATAGGAGTTAAAATGCATTTACATTACCAATTATGACTATGTATATTACGTGAAATACACATATACAAGACCACATTACCAGAATGCAAACTTTTATTTAGAAAATATAAACATAAAACTCTTATTTGGTACTTTCTCTATGTTTTAGTCTTATTTAGGGTGCTTTCTTAAGAATATTGTCTTGCAAGAATTGTATAAATTAGTTATCATTATATAATTAATGATGATTAATATTCTCATTTAAATTCATTTTTGTTACCCATTATATATGTTATAATACATGTTAATTACTTCTCTAAAAGTCACACACTTTTTTTTGTTACCAATTCTTTTGATTTTCATGCATCTTACCATTTCTCTAAAATTTACTTAAAAAGGGGAGAGTGTCGTGTTTATTGTCCTTTAATTAGATCAATTCACATAAAGTTAATTTTGCACCACACAATCTAGACACACATAAAAGAAATGATTAACATATATTCCCCCGTTCCGAAATATTATTTTCATTTGATTTTTTTAAGGCCAAATTTGTAAATTTTGACTGCGATCTGTAAAATATACAGCATATAATGATATAACTTTAATATCAATATATTCCTATTGAAACGTAATTTACAAATATCATTTTTCATAAAATATATTTATGTATAAATAAAGATATTAATAGTTCAATTGCAATTTTAGAGGCCATAAAAGGTCAAAACGTAAATAGGTCAAAGTCCCAATTTACTTTGTGCTCACTTTAATTTGTGTAAATAATTACTGTAATATAAAGTTAATAATTAATAATGATGTTTAGTGCAGGTATAATGGTACTCGTGCATATGCCCAGTCAAAATTGGCCAACATAATGCATGCCAAAGAGTTGTCCAGACAACTAAAGGTACTTTATTAGTTAAGTGAGCTTATGTCGGAGTATATATATATATATATATATATATATATATATATATATATATATATATATATATATATATATATATATATATATATATATATATATAAAACTAAGTTGATTAAGTTTCACGTGCAAAGTTCAAAGCGGCCACGCTTGCACGTGAGCACGTGAGCGCACGTGAGCCGTGACTACAGTGAGAGAAGATGTTAGAATATGAAAACATTTCGTGCGTTTATAACCACAAGATTGAGTTTTTTAGTTGAGTTAGTTTTTGACAAAAGAATTGATTAAAAAAATTGATAACACAAAATAGGAACAAAACATACTCCGTAGTTTGTAGGGAGTATTTTATTTTTTTCTCCATGTTTTACCAATATCTTAGTTTTTCTCTCTAACATGAAATCAGAAAACTATACTCCTCGTCCCAAATTTGATTACAAATTAGAATTTACGAATGGACCAAAAAAAAGTGGGAAGAACATTTTTCAGACAGAGGGAGGAAAAATTACATTTTAAAAAATTACGTTAAAAGCTCTACAAAATAAGAGGTGACAAGAACATTTTATTTTATTAAATACTCTGTAATTAATAAAAACACACAAATAAACAAAAGTGTTCGAGATGATAGAGAAAAAAATTGTAATTAAAATTGGGAAGAAGGGAGTATTTTTTTTGGATTGATAATTGCTAAAAGTTTAAAGGTAGTTAGCAGCTTAGAAAAATAAAACAAAAACTATTCTATCTATTTATCTAATTATTTATCTATTTACAATAATTATTTACTTTTACTTCTATTTATTTGTAAATAAAAAAAATCAACACACAAAACGTACTTGATGTCACTTTATACTTTTTTTTGAGCATTTATTCACAGTATATAGTACGAGAAAATGATTTTTAATGAAGTGTCAAATCGATGTGATTTAAATTAATTTCATTTTATTAAAAAAAATAAAATTAAAATTAAAAATTAAAATTTTGGAAAATTATTATTGTACGTGTGAGTGTTGCAGGCAAGGAAAGCAAAGGTAACCATCAACGCCGTACATCCTGGGATTGTTAAAACTGCTATTATCAGGGAACACAACACCTTTCTCACAGGTTTTTTTTTTTGCATTTCTTTTTTGCTGTATATTACTTCAAAAAATAAAAAAAATATTTTAATGTTAAAATTGGTGTAAAATTTTAAAAGACGGATCGGAATATGAGGGTCCGTTTGGTGCACGGGATTGACGGAATTGGAAAATTGAAATTCTGTGGAATTGATTTGGATGAAATTGAGTTCTCCAGTTCCATTTCATTATTGGCACTACCAATTCCAAAACTGCATATTTTGTATTGTCAAACAGTAAAATTGAAAGTGTTGTTTTGAATTCCATTTTCATAGTTTGAATTTCATGTACCAAATGAAGAATGATCGAGTTATTTTAATTAATTTAGGCCTTGTTTGAAAATCGTATTTTTGACTAGGGTTAACATTTTAGATTACTATGTCTTTTAATGGTGTAAATTAATTTTAAAAATACTAATTTAAAGCTAAAAATGTCATTAGATATTTTTTACATATTGCCGAGACTGTTTCCAAACAGGTCCTTTGTTTTACTTCTGTTTCAGTTGAGTTCAATTATTTACAGTCAAAATCGCTTCCAATGTTCCATTCGGTTAAATCCATTTTGTTATAAGTTTAATTTAGTAATTTTAAGTGAAAAGAACCTAATTGTTTCGACATCGTTAAATGCTCGTTAAAATCCCGTAAAATTAAAAGAAAAATGTAAAGAAAAAAAACATAGTGCAATTTCTTTTAAATTTTGAAAAATATTTTATTCTTCAACCCTTTTAGAAGTTGAGTTTAAAATGTCTTTTATTTAGGGCAGGCAAAGATAACAAAATTTTGGACAGACTTTTAATTTTGCTGTTTTGGACCTTACAGATTCCATCTATTTCATGGCATCAAAGCTTCTAAAGTCTACTTCACAGGTTTGCCTTTACCATTGCTCTCTTTAAAAAATTAGTTCACACTTCTTTTCTAAATATATTTCAAGTGCACATTTTGGACAGGAAAGGTATAACCAAATTGATTGAGCCTAGATTGTAGAGTAATTGTGTTCCTTTGAATAGAGATTCTTTAGCCAAGTTGGTCATTTTAAGGGGCACTTTAGGCATTTTGTGTGCGATAGAAGTATTTTGTGGGATGCGTAAAAAATGTATATGAAATTATTTTTCAGAGAGTACTAAATTAAGTGAAGAATATATATGAAAAGCAATGATATGATAGCTAATGATGACATTTATGCAAAATTCTTGAAGAGAGTTTTTTGTTTCTGGCATTCTTACCGTTTCGTCAAAAAAGTTCCACATATATTTTTTGCTCGTCCTAAGAAGAAATTTTGTTTTTTATCTATAGAAAACTCAGTGATCCAAATTATTTCTCTCTTCTCTGCTCTATTTTCAACTACGAAGTATATGATTTTTTTAAAATAATTATGTCGATTCGATTATAGATTTTTTTTGTGAGACGACAAGAGTAACATATAACTAATAAAATTGAACAAATAAAACATAGACTAAAAGTGTTTTATATTTTTTATTTGGATGCATTAGGGAGCAGCAACAGCATGCTATGTGGCACTAAGCCCAAAAACAAAAGGGGTGAGTGGGAAGTACTTTGCAGACTGCAATGAAAGCCATTGTTCATCTTTAGCAAATGATGAGACCCAATGCCTTAAGCTTTGGAACCAAACTTGTGCTCTTTTATTTTGAACACACACACACAAGAACACTAGTGATCATGATGATGATGATGATGATGATGCCCCCCTTCCACCTTCTTCTTCATTTCCTATCTAATATGGGCCCTACATAGCTATTACCAACACTTAAAAATTGTTCTTATGGCACCATGTTTGTGTGTGCTCTCACTTGAAAGTGTGGGTTTTATTTTGTATACTACTCCCTCCCTTCGTCCCAATTTATAGTGCCTGTTTCAGTTTACGATGTTTGACTGAAATTATTTTCAAATCATTTTATATGACAAATGGTATAGAGTTAAAAAAATAAAAATTACTACCTCCGTCCCACTCTCTTTGTCCACTTTTGACTTTTGGAATTGTTCATCTAAGCACTTTGACTCATCAAATTCTCTCAATGTGTAAGTCTAAATATAGTCATGTGTGATCTTGTTTGATTTGTCTTAACATATAGATTATTAATATATAATTTCTATAATTTTTTAATATACAAATTACAAGATAAAATGAATTAAAGAAGTGGATGGTGTGTCAAAAGGTAAGTGGACAAAGAGAGTGGGACGGAGGAGTACATATTAAAATACTACAATAAAAGATCTACAAAACTAGTAGTGACAATAATACTTTATTTTATCAAATTGCTAACGAAAATAGAGAAAGAAAGTGAATGAAATTTGACTCAGTGAATAGTGAACATGCACTATAAATTGAGACGGAGGAAGTATAATATATTTATGGGAAAGAAAATGGAGAATGAAACTATAAATCTAGATAGGGCTCCTTCAATATTAGTCGGATAGTTATTTTGAAAAAGGCAAATTGAGTTATGATTTTAGTGTAATAAATTAGAAGAGGTGAAATTTCTCAGTAGTGCATGGATGGGTTTCAAATTGGGAATTGTCGTCTTTCATTGTGGTTGCGAGAAGTCGAACTCGAGCATTAGCTTGTTTTACTTTCCATCTTTGCCGACGAGGCTACACCCTAAGCATTGAACTTATTGTGTTGTTGGATAAGTCGAATCAAAACAAGCTTTGGCCTGAAGTTTGAGTTTTTTAATTTGATATGTAGTGCATACATGTTCAATAAATACTTTTAGATTATAAATTAGGTTCACCTTTTTGAAATTAGCTAAACACACATGGCAAGGATTTTTTGACCTTGAAACAAAGGTTATATTATGACTCGGATCACCATACCTACTGTACTATGTTGGTAAAATTGAAATGACTTAAGATTTCAATGTCAAAAGATCCATTTCAATGTTTACCTATGGTACTACTTTTCATAATAATTAAGTCTACTCAAATGTAGAATTTTAATTCAGGATAAAGGCGTTATAACAAGAAAGCCAGTAAAATAAGATTCTTTCAACATTGAAATTCAATGTAAAATTTGCACTAAATATGACTAAAACATAATGACTTTCCTAATCTAGAACTTAAACTTTTTTATTCTCTAAACAGGACTTATTAATGTCTTCGTGGAAGGAATAATGTCCAGTAATGATGGACATTTACTTGAATAATGACTAATTCATAATGACCAAAAGTCCTACATTGAGAAATAAAAACATATGCTCCTATATTGGGAAAGTTATTATGTTTTAGTCTTATTTAAGTAAAATACTCAAATTCAATTTCATACTACAAAATATAACATTAAGGTCATGTTCTCTTCACCTGACCTGAATAGTTCTGATTTGATTGAAATAAATTTTAATATAATCTAGTCTGATATGATCTAACTGTAGTTATATTTAGCACTATTTTTTATCTAATCTGATTTCAATAAGAAAAAATAATAAAAATAAGTTCAAGAGAACATGATCTAAGCCTATTTGACAGTCTCTACCATGCTTCATTTTAGCCAAAGTAATTTTTACCTCCCTAATCCATCCCCAAAACTTCCCACCTAGCACGTCCCTTGTCCCACCTCATTCAAGTATCCAACCATTTCAACCAAACTTACTCCGCCAAACAGCATATGATACAAAATGCATGATTAAACTTAAACCTAATAATGAGCAATGCTATTATGTTCACAAATAAATGATCGTAAAGTTCACAAATTTACCATTTATGATTTAAACCATTTTGTTTGTGAACCAAATATTTCTCCCAAATAATACCCCCTACTGTCATAAATTAAGATTCCACATGCAATCAAACATTGCTATTGAGAAAATTAATATTGAGTAGTTGAGAGTTTTAGAGAGAGGGGAAAATGATATGGACAATTCAATTCTTTCTTGTTGAAACGTTTTTTAAACTGACAAAAATTGTGAAACTTTTTTTCTGACACAGAGAAAGAAATAATGACAATACATTGATAAGGTCAAGGAAAAAACTTGTTGCACGCCACTTTCAACGATTTCACGAAGAAAACATGTATGTGAATTATCGTGATGTGGGGTCAAAAGTGGCGCGAGCCAAAAACATCATAAGACAAAACCCCTGAAAAACAAGTCTAGAAGTGGAAATATTACTTTGTAAACTACAAACCCTATTAACAACACAAGCCTTTGAAAGATATAATATAGGGTAGTCCTGAATAGTGATGAAGCCACACCTAAATGTACACCTAAAGTACAATTTGTTACCTCTGAATTTAGGAGGGAGCATTGAATTTAACTTGCAACTTCATGGTGTAAATTGCAGACTAAATATGTTAAATGGAAAATAACTCCTCATTTCTTCACCTGCAAATTGATAGAAACAGATATCTCCATTAGGACCCTCCTCACTGTATTTAGCATATAATACACACACAAAAAAACAGTGCAAAACCCACTCTCTTGTTGAACTGAAATGGATGAAATGAAATGACACATTTACTCTTATTTGCACATTTGGTTTATTTTTAAAAAAGAATTAAAATGTCCTATTTCCAATCCCCTGTGGAGCCAAAGATTCATTATTTTTTTTTGGCTTTGGGGTATGATGGAATAAATCAAATTGGCCTTTTAAACTGTTTGCGCTTCTTGTAATTGTGAAGTAACAGTTAGTCAATGCAACTTTTGACGCTTATCACCGGTCATCTGGAAACAGCCGCTTTATGTTTTAAACATAGAGCGTTTTAAACATTGAAGCATTGTGATAATGTTGTTTTTGTATTAATATGTCCTTGTGCAAATCAGGTCATCCAACCGATTCAACTATTTCAACAACAGTTCCAGCAACTTGTCAAATTTTACCGCCACCGAACATGCACAAGTATCTCTCATTTACAAGCCGGGTTAGGGCTCCAATAGTTTACATGACACACAACCACAATAAGAGTCATGTTACAATCACACCACGGATGACACCAAGGTTGGCACCGCTGGTGTCTCATACACTCATTGTCACGCGATTGTCTCTAATGAATGTTAACCTTGGTGTCATACCAGGAATTATAGTAGCATTTTCCCCACATTAAATTGGACTTCCCGCATGAATTTCACATTTAGCATGTGCAGGAAACGTGACTCTTGCTCTCTTGCTAACATGAAGCTAATACATCCATGTTCAACAAAGGGTTACCTTAAAGCGCGGGGAGCGACGATGAGAGGAAGCAGATCCAGGGGAGAGGAGCCCTGACCTGCCACCTTTGGCATTCCTAAGTTTCTTCGTCACAGAGTCTTTGTTAAGCTCTTCAGCTTGAGGATCTCTCTGCTCAGATGGAGACTCACTTCCACTTTCTGTTGGAATTGAAGAAGATGGAACGGAAATAGATGTTGCGGGGGTATTTTGGTCATGAGATGTCACTTTAGGGAAATTTCCTGAAATCATGATACCAATACTAAGAAAAAAAATTCAAACATATAGACCGACATTAGAATGAAAAAAACAATTAAATCATGAAATACTTTTTCCTAATTGCCGATTTTAACAAGATTAGAGTGACCTCTCACAAAAGTTATCAAAACTATAAAGCAATGTGTAAAAGAGAAATAGGTATAAGACACACACCACACAATGCAGCTTCTTGGAATTTCTCCCTCATGGTTCTGACAAATTTGTATAGACCGTTGCTTTGATTTAACTCAGTGAGCAGATCTTTTATGCCATCTAGACTTGGATTACAATCAAGCACTGGAATCCATGAAGCAAAAAATCATTCTAGCAACAGTTTGGGTATATGTAGAAATAAGTTAATATTTTTTAAAGAAAATTACTTACAAGAATATGTATCACTCTCATGACGAATAGTAAAGAAGTACTCCTCATGGGGAGTCTTCATATTAATTTTCGTAAATATGAACCTAACTCCTGTAAAAAAAACCCGGAAACGTGCAAATGATGTTTAGGATAGTTAAATAGACTGAAATGAGATTAGCTGCAACAGTTTCACATTAAAATATTTACATACCATTACCACACTCAATTCGAAACCCGAGATTCTTGTTATACCACAAGATAGCCTCTTCTACTCCATCTCTGTGTTCAGAATTTTGGTTACGCTTCTCCTCACATTCTTTCAGATCTTTTATCCAAACATAGACAAAAACAAAAGGCAAGTACCCAAACCAAATCACATTTTATTCTCAAGTTGGAAGAAATCATGAAATATCAAACTTTAAAGATTTTGGCTCAACAATATTATAGGGGTAATCACCAGTTTGAGAGATAATGGAAAAAGAACAGGAACAAGAATTTAACCAAAAGCAAATTTAGACAATGCATAAGACTTATTTAAAATAATTGCTTTCTTCCTATAAAAAAAGAAGAAGATTTGGTTATAATTCAGGAAGGCAGAAGCAAAAGAATGATGCTAGTTAAATAGTTCAAGTGGTGTTTAATAGCCACTCTAATGTATGGGAGTACCAAAATCTGATTTTATCCCGCAGCATAGTAATACCAAACTTGAGTGTTGACAGTTGACTATGCAAAAATCAATTATAAAAAATTGCATCTTTCATTCCCTAGTTGGGTTTTGCAGAGAAACCCCAAGGGAAAGTAAGAATATAAAGACCGGGATATTCTTGCAGCAATAAAGTATTAGGAAATACTCCGTAACATACTCTAGTAAAGAGGAAGTGAAGATGCACTGAATGCAAATAGGACATCAACTCGGCAAGACATTTCTTTCATGCCTCGTTCAATGACATCTCATTTTGGTTTCATAACAATAGCAAGTTCTTGTATTTCTCTTTTTAAACTACATATGCAGGTTTGATTGATCAAACTCATCCTTTTTCATTTACTTGTGAAAAAATAAAAAATATGTTACCATTGGATGCTTCAGCTATTATTCCAGCATATTCATCTCTTCTCGCCCTCTGAGCTTCAACGGCTCTTTTGAGTTGTTCCATTCTTGCTTCGGACGCGGACAATGATTCTACTAGTGACATCCGCTTTGCTTCCTTTCTAGTTTTTTCTGCAAATAATCGGATAACAATGAGGAATTGAGGATAAAGAGTCCCCACAATAAGACGTACATGCAAATGAGTGATTCACTTCTTTATTATGTGTCATTAAGGTTAATATTTGAACTTGGGATAAGGCTATATGCTACTCAGTATATCTTAATTATAATAACAAAAACATAACAAATTGCAGCTACACTTAACAACAGAAGCCTCATAACTCCAAAGTAAGAGAACTAAATACTTAATAAAAGCTGGTTTGGGTGGATTCCATCTGATTCTGAGATTCAGAATGTAAACATGTGCTGCCGCGCAATTTATTTAGCCCCAATATTAAGAGCATCCTAATAGCATTAGCACTTGCATATCACAAGGTGAAGAATCCAAAAGTCAAGTCATGATGAAATCCAACGCACATATGCGTGTGTGCATATAAGAAGGGCTTGTATAAATATACAAATACTCCGTACCTCCAATAGCTTTCACCAAACCATCTTCCGCTTCTCTGAGCTCGGCTTTCACTTTCTTAAGTTTCTCTGTCCAAACCACAAAAACAGGTAACAGAACTCAAAATACAAAATCATAATTGTACACATCACCCTTGTTGTGGGACCCTTCCATTGGGGTATGCTTTGTGCAATGCGCTGCCCATAGCCGAAAACAAAAGCAAACAGTCTTGAACTCTATAGGCTGACTACAGTTCTTAGACACCAATTCCCCATTTGCCTGATTCAATATTTAAAAAAAACTAATAGGACCCTAGTTTATGCATATACCTTCTGCTGTCCAGATGGCACAAGCCATAATGATAAGTTTGAACTCAATTTGTTCCAAAGAATATATCTTTAGAGGAAAATGAACAAACTTCGTTAACATTGAAATGAACACATTTTAGAATAAGATTAACAAAGCATTTTAAATACATGAACCCAAGCAGTTTGAAAAGAAAATGAGGTCTTTCAGAAGAATATGAGCAATTGCAAACGAAAAATACAAAAATGACACCAGATCTATGAACTGTGTAAATCTCCTCCCCTTTCAACTCAATTGTACCAAATTACCAATGAAATGCAACAATAAAAAAAAACAGAGAAACTGAGATATGAAACTGTGAAATGGAAGCCATAGATTTAGGGTTTCGAGAAGCAAAGCAAATACCCTGAAGCTGAACTGTCTCCTGAACCCTAGATTTGGTAGTCTCGAGTGATTTCCTGAAAGACGCCGACACGGCATCAACGCGCCGCTGCACGGCCGGTATTCCGGCGTCCCAAGTCAGCCTCAGTTCCTCCATCGGGGCCTGCACAGATTCCCCGGCCGTCCCCTCCCCCATCCCAATCCCTTTTTTTTCGTTCCCGGAGATCTTTCCCGTGCTTGAATCGGTCACTTACGCGAATCAGGAGTCAGGACGATGATATATTGCTACGATCGAACTAATTTGTTTGATTCAGATGTATGTGGAATCCCTAAAACAAGAATGCTTATGGGATCCTGTCAGAGAGCTTTGAGTTCGAATTTGAAATGAACACTGGGGAGGAAGTGGAGCTATGCTTAGCCCGCCATTTTCATTTGTTTTTTGAAAAAAGAGATGGCACAATGACATCACATCCCAGAGGGCGTTGATGTTTTAAAAATTGTCATCATTGATTTTTTTTTAAATGCTAATGTTAATAAAAAGACATTAATCTCAAACAAAATCTGAGTGGTTAGAGTTTTGATATCTTAGTGTATAAAAATTCAACATTAAAAAGTACAAATTACCAAAAAAACCAATTTAATCTTTACTGTTTAAATATTATATTACAGTAGTTTCAGGCTTTCTACCTTAGTCTTCAAATATATATATATATATACGGCCCGGTTCCATGGCCACTGGAATCCAATGGCCACGGAAGCCACTGCCCCCCTAAGGAACTCCGTTCATAAAATTGATGATTCCTACCCCCCTAACCCCCCGCCAAGTCTCGATCAAAACTCATCACCCTACCTACGTCAATTGCACCTCGTAAGCATAAAGTCAAAACTTTTGACTTTAAAGTCAATTATGCTTACGAGGTGCAATTGACGTAGGCGGGGTGATGAGTTTGAGTCGGGACTTGGCGGGGGGGTTTACCGGGGGGGTTAGGGGGGTAGGAATCATCAATTTTATGAACGGGGTTCCGTAGGGGGGCAGTGGCTTCCGTGGCCACTGGATTCCAGTGGCCATGGAACCGTGCCGATATATATATATATATATATATATATATATATATATATATATATTAAAATGAATATATAGTATTTATTTATGTAAATAGATAATTTAAAAATTGAATATTAAAATATTTAGTATTTATTTAGATGATACGGTCATAAGCTCACCTAAATTATTTACATGAACCTCATTTTAAATAAATAACGAGTACAAATAGACAAAATTTTTATAGACCAAAGCTCTAAAAAAATTACGCGGTTTGATCATTGACAAAACTACTTAAAAGAAACAAATAATGAGCTTTTCATCTAGAGATCGGCCTCTCATCGAATTCAAATTTAAATGTGCATCAACCAATTTGCTTCCACTGAAAATGATGATTTATTGCTTGATTTTCCTTCATCTTGAAGTTTGAACTATCTTTTTCTTTGCAGAAAATTACTTCGAAGTACCCTCGATTTTTTCGTAATAACTTCAAGGTCCCACATTATCAGAAATATCTCTCAGGTACCTTCTATTTTTCGGTAAGAACTCTCAGATCTCACATTATTTGAAATATACTACGGGGGTCTATTAAAATTACTCGTAATGTACTATACTCCTTGGGTGTATTCCGTCTATTTGACCGTTAGGCTTAAAAGTTTTGGTACTTTGACAAATATTAGATTTTAGCTTCGTAATCATGATTTTATTAAATTTAAATATAGCCTTTCACTTTTCAAAGTAAAAGAACTTTCAATTATAATGCCTAAATGGACGGAATGTACCCTCGAACTATGCTATCACAAATTTTAAGGACACTGAAATATATTTCGGATAATGTAGAACATAATGGTTCTTACCAAAGAACTGAGGGTTACTCTGGAATATATTTCAGATAACGTAAGACATGATAGTCATTACTAAAAACTCGAGGGTACCCTGGAGTAATTTTCTTATTTTCTTTATTTGCTTCCCCTAATTGTAGCTTTTAAAATATTGATGCGTATGATGAATTTGAAAGAATACATTAATGAACAATAAGATGTCTCTCGATCTAAATATGAGAGCACATAAAATCGATCAAAAACACAAGATCACATGAGAAAGGAAGCGAAGAGTTCGATGGATTTTGTAGCCTCTGAAAATGAAATCGTTTTGTGCATTTTTGTTTCTTTAAATAGAATGTAAACAGTTTCATATATCAAATTATAGCTTTATTTACCTCCTTTAACCAGCACATGTACATGAGAGGGGAGGGACTCAACCTTTTTTCTTTGAATTAAGGTACTTGTATACCAAATGTTGTATTTCAAATTGTATATCACGGGTGTGCACTTTTTTCAGTCGGTGTAAAAAAATGTGACAGTTTGACTTTTTTGGTCAAACTTTGACACCCTTTGATCACAAATTGTGGAAAAAGTTATTTGGTTAAAATATAAATTTAGTAAAATTAGTTTTATTTTAAAGTGTAATTTTGAAATATTGAATTTTTATAATATTTAATTATTTTAAATTATAATGAAAGAATAATATAATTTAACAAAAAAAGTCAAATTGTGATAATTTTAAGGAATAGATGGAGTTGTGCTAGAGGGAACCATAGCTTTCCTTTTGTAGGATCCGGTAGTTTCACGCCCATTCTGATAAATCTTTTGCCAGATCATTATCGCCGAGTCGCCTCATTCACGCCCACGACCATCCCTACGGCCTAAAACCTAACGAGACGCCTTCCTCCGACCCGCGATTTCCGCCAAGGTCTGGCGATTTCGTGCTTCATAGGTTGGTACCTGGGGTTGAATTCAGAATTAAACTATCTATATAAGCTGGAGGGATTTTTGCAGAGGATATGAGTTTGTTTGTTGAATGATTGCGGGCAAAGGAGTTAGCAATGGCCGTAGCAACCGTTCATTCGCAGGTAATTTAGATTAACGTATGGTCTGATCGAATACCTCTTCAAGATATTCGAACGAACTGATTCAGTGAAGATTTTGCATTTCATGTAGTGGCATCCATGCTTGATTTCCCATTTAATGTGAACAGTGCCATTTTAGTTGTTTCAAAGGTCCTTGGTATATTTGAGCACTCCGGTTCCATGGCGGCATGGCCACTCTCTTTAAGTGGCCACGGTGCCGTGTTTGCAAAATTGATTGTTCTTACCCCTCTAACCTTTCAGTATGCCCCGACCCCAACCTATTCCCCTACCCACGTCAATTGCGGGGTGCACGTTTTGTTGAATTTGGAGTCAAAATTTTGATGCCAAAATCAACTAAACTTGCACCCTGCAATTGGATGGGTTGGGGTCGGGACTAGGTGGGAGGGTTTACCAGGGTACGAACTATCAGTTTTCCGTGGCCACTCAAACAGAATGGCCATAGAACTGGCCCCATATTTGAGATGTTACGAGGATTAAAGACAACAGTTTAGGTTAGCGGAGATTGATGAGCTCAGCTGTAGATATTTTTTGCATAGAAACAGTTTGGTACTTTTCATTGTCATTGGTGTTATGAGTTTTAGATGAACATATAAAGTAATAGACCATGAGAGACTTGGTGTAGTTGGAGGTGTTTCCATGTTGCGTTGCACTATGTTTGGTTCAAGGAATTTGAAAGGGAGAAGAAAAGAAAATGATATGGAAAACAAGTTTTCTTATTTGGTTAGAGAGGAAAATAAATGAAAAGTGGGAGGAAAAGAAAATGAGAGGAGAACATAAACTAAGAAGAGGGAAAACAACTTTCCTTCCAATTTGGTGAGGAAAAAGAAGAGAACCCTTTTTCTTTTCTTTTCCTTCCGAATTCCTATAATCAAACATAGCGTTGAGGTCATGTTTTTCCGTGGAAGTAGCCATAATAGCTACCAAGGACATTCTTGGTGGGCATATGCTTTTTGGGTCATTTATTTCTAATCGCCTTATGGCTCATTTACCTTGCAAAAATAAAAGGTAAGGTCTGCCTACATCACACCTTTATGGTGAGGCCCTTCTTCGGGCAATCACAAAGTGGGGTAACTTTTTTGTTTTTTCCCTAGCTGCCTTTAATAACATACTCCGTACTTAATAGACAGTTATAAAACTCTAAGTTTCTGGAATCTTTTCCTACTTTTGAATTTCAACTTTTAACGGTTTGTTTTGTTTGATAAAGTTTGGCATCCATTGATAACAAAATGTATTTTTACCCTACCCTTCATCACATGAAAGCTTTTCAAACAGATTTTTTTATGGGATTGGAGGGGGGGGGGGTGTTTTAGTTTTGTTCTTGACTTATATTGGATATAAATTCATTTTTTGTTGTCTATTGCTCCCTCTGTCCCCCAAAAAAAGGGGTAGACACTATTTACAGGTTTAATTGGTTTAAACATTATTTATTTTCTTTGCCAATTTTCGTTACTCATTTGATAAATTAATATAGTCATGTCACCTTTTGCTTTATACATCTTTTGATGTATTTTTAAAATGTGAAGTTTTTATTTTTTATTTCTACACCAATTTTGAGATAAATTGAATTAAATATAACTTCGGTGACTTCAGTCAAACATTGTAAACCGAACTTCCCCTTTTATTTTTGGATGGAGGGAGTATTTCTTTCATTGATGCTCTGTAACTGCATGTAAGAAAACAGATTATGTGAACACACTATTAATGACTCATACATGCTTTTTTAATGGCTTTGCAGCATTCTTACAAACCAAATCCTTTGAGGTCTATATCATGGAGTAATGGGAAAAGATTGACACATTTTGTGACAAGTGTTCATTGTGTTAATAAAGTTACCTCATTGAAGTGCAGAGCCCTTTCAAGGTAAACCTTTTATCATGTTCAGTAAAATTATTTTTGCATATGTTTACTATTGCTATTAAGTTTTCCATCTTTTTTTTCTGTTAAAATTTCTTTTTTTGCTCATTATGGCATTGTACACAACTATTACTCTGCATTGCTTGGTTATTCCAAAGAATGATATACCCCGAGGCCGATCCGCCAGCCCACATCAGTAAAAAGCACTACCTCCATACCAAAACCGAGTCATGTTTGACTAAGATGCAACTTTTTGAGTCCATGATCCTACTTATATTTTGTATAGTTGGTTGTACTAAATTTACCACATGCAAATTGTTTGTCTCTTTTTTGGTAAATTATGTGAAAAAATAGTTTCGTTTGATAAAATATGACTGATTTTGGCACAAAAGATGTCTTTGAAACACAACCTTTTAGATTGAGGGGTTTGAAAAAAGACAGTACAGTTTTTTTTTCTGATTACAGTGAATAAAGTCAATTACATGAAGGGCATGTAATTTTAGTGGTTGGTCTTTGTTTGCAGTGGAGGTGTTCCCACTGTCCCTAAACAGAGAGTAAATGTATTTAAGGTCTCAGCTTTCAGAAGTAGTAGCCAAAATGACCCTGGAAGCAGTAGTAGATCAAAGAGTACGAAGAAATCTGTCAAGCAGCTTTCTTATGTACCCCAATGGAGTGATGAAACATCAGTTGAGTCTCTCAAGGCACATAATCTTCCCATTTCATACCCTTCGGAAACAGTTGAGGCAACAACAGATGACACTGTGGCTATACGGAAACTTCTCAAGCACTGTCTGTCAATGTTGCGGGCACCATCTTCAAGCCCGGCGATCGGTGAAAGTGTAGAAGGACAATCATCATCTATTGAAGATGTTGAAACACAAAATCTGGTCCAACAAAAGGAAAGAGGAAACATTATACATGCATTTTGGAGCTTTATTATGGGCCTGGGTGCAACCATTAAGATAACATTTTTGATCTGGTAAGCATGATTGTCAATTGTGGGCTGTAGAGTCTTTAGTGCTTATAAACTTAAAAACTATCACTAATTTACTTTGCTAAACCTTGTGCATGTCACAAAACTCAGATATTCACATGTTCTTGAATATAAACATGATTAAATGTAAATAATGACCTTTTTGAACTTCAAATTTTCATTTTTTATGAGCAGCTGGAGTCTTTAAGAAATTAACAAATGCCCCCCCTACCCCAACAAAAAAAAAGAATAAAAAAGAAGTCAATATTACTAACATGTCCTATGGATGGGGGATTACTCCATCCCTCCCCTTTCGATCTTCTTACTTTCTTTTTGGTTTGTCTCAAACTAATATTCGTGTTTCCATACTTTTCTGTTATTGCTTTTACATGAATTACCAATCCTATCCCTGCACAATATGCAATTTTTACTAGGTGAACTCAAACTCAAGTATATAAACGGTCTACTCTTAAATTCTGTGCCCGGATATTAAGGGTACGTAGGGTACAACACACAAAGATCGTGCCTATAGAATATGAATGTAGTACAATACAAGGTTGGATTTCAGTTACTATTAGTAGATACAGAGTATATCTTTAATTAAGTTAAAGTTCATTTGTGTTTTGCAGTGTTCCCTTTTATCTGGCCGTTAATTCAGCTTATGGACCTGAAGTTTCAAAAGAGTTGACGCCACTATGGATTGTTGGACCATTTATTGTTGCTTTCTACGTCACGATGCTCCGAGCCATTGGCGCGCTTTATATCTTCTGTTTTAAGCGGGCAGTAGAAGTCGTAAAAAACCTTCCAGCCTACTACGGGTTGGCATATGATTACATTGCTCATGGGAAGCTCAAGGAAGAAATCAGAGCACGCTTGTTGCAGCCTGTGGTTGATATCAAGAACACAGACTACAGAAAACTGGCGATGAGTAAGATGGAGGATATGAAAGTGGTTTTGGCAGAGAAATATGTGGACTTCACGGAGTCAATTTGGCCTTATTACTGCCGAACAATCCGTTTTTTGAAGAAGGCAAACCTAATCTAGGCTGAAAAAAGTTCGATGTCGACGATAAAGAGATACGAAAATATTGAGGTATTTCTTTTTTTGCATATTTTGTTCATCTTTGTGTTTTTTTTTGTTTGTTTGTGAAGAGTAAGAGTTGAACCCTTTCTTGTAACACTACAAATTTAAGTTTTGGGTTTAGCGAGCATTGTATCTTGATTCCATCAGATCTTGATTATTATGAGCTTAGGGTCCTTCATACTGAAGCTTCTTGTTGTATTAACCATCAAAAGCTCTCACAGTTTATTCTATCTTTTTCTTGTCATTCTCACTTACATTGTTTCATTTGTTTGACAAATTTGTTTTACCTTTTCACATTTACTGCCAATGCATTTTTCAGTCGGCATCAGATTAGATTTGGCCCTCTGTTTTGATGCATCATGAAATCTTTTCCAGTTACATTTTCACATGAAGGAAAATTTTCTAGGATTAAACTCTTTGTACACCAAGATTACACTATCCATTCTTTTTTGTTCTTTTGATCATGTATATATCAAAAGGACTAATAGGCTGTTTGATTTTCCCCTGATTTGAAATCAAAGTATGATTCCAAGTAGGTATTTGAGGTGGATTGTGATCACTAATCACCTAATTTGAACACCATTGTGATCGCTAATCACCTGATCTAATGTTAGTGTTTTGAAAAGAGTATCTAATGCTAATTTTTAGCGATAACGTTTTCAAAATTAATCTACGACATTAAAATCGTATCCCAAATGTTATCGTTAATTGAAAGTGCTATTTGCACGCAAAGCCGTTACTTAAAAGGTCAATAGGAACATAAAAAGTACGGAGTACAAGATATGGGAAGTTGGTATTGGCACTCAGGCCTGCCCATTAGCAAGTTCAATAGGTGCAATAGAACAGGGCTTCTAAAATATAGGGGCCCATATTTTTATACCTCTAGCCCAATTATAACTATAAGCCCAGTACCTAATTACCTAATTTATTACAGAGTACTAAATCACCGTTAGTTGTTCGAGACTCGTGGGTTCCTCCGCTGGCCGCACGGAACTTAACGCTGAGTATCTCCTTCTTCGCACCTTCCCAATTGCAATTCTCCTTCCTTTAATACGGTAAATACGCCATCTTCCTTTGCCAATTAACTCCTCAATTTCTTCTTTTTTAGTGAGTTCTTAATTTTTATGTTTCAGTTTTTTTTCTTTTCAAATTGACCGTGTTTCTTTCATCCTCTCAATGAAAATGCCAATCTCAATTTTGCTGGTATTTTTTTTTGCACGGATGTCAATTTAGGTGATTTAGATTTGTTTGAAAATTATTTTAGTGTTAGAAATTTACTCCCTCCGTTTCTCAAAACGATTCCTCTTTTGACTTTGGGGAAAAATAAGGAAGTGTTAAATTGTAGTTGACTTTCCAATTTTACCCTTGATGTGATGGGTAAAAGTAAGATGTGATAGTTTAGTTGTTAGTGAAAAAGTATGATGTGATAGGTAGGGTATGAAAAAGTAGGGGTAAAAGTGGTTTTTTAATAGAAAGTGGAAGTGTTTTAAGAAAAACAAAAAAAAATGAAAGAGGAAGAGTTTTAAGAAACGGAGGTAGTATAATTTATTTTGCATCTTAAAATCTTAAATAATTCATTTCATCGTTTAATTGTTTCTCAATGTTATAAATTGGTGTTTCTTCTTTAATTTTGCAAGACCAGTAGTTCAATTCTAACTTTGGTTTTAATCATTGATTTTTTTAGAATTAGAAAAAGAGGTTGAATGCTATTGCTCATCATTCATCAAAGATATCAACCATTTCGCAAGAAGTCAAGAAAGACTCAATGTTAGAAGAATAACTCTTTTTAAGTAGTTTGTATAATTAATTCAAAGTGTAAGAAAAGTGTTGTAATATGTACTTTGTTTTTTTCAAATAAAAATCTAAACAAATTATTTTATTACCTTGAACCACTCCTTTTTTTATATCCCCTTGAATTATTGAGTTGCACAGGGCCATCTTAAATGATTGGGCGGCACTATTGGCACTCCATTATTTGACACTTAGCACTCCACACTTTAATTTTTTCATAGATAGACTAAATTGGCTTTAAAGTCAACTAAAATTATGGGATGTAATTGAAGGGGTGAGGGGTCCGTTTGGATCGAACCAGAGTGGGGGTTGATCGCGGAGAAGGATTCACTAATTTTTAAAATGGGCACCTTAAGACCATGAATTAGGACACATGTCATTGAATGACATTTTAGTTCAATGTCAAATGAACCTCGCCCTACTCTCAAATAATCAATCCTCTTGCGCAATTTTTAAGTTTTTTATTTTTGAATATTTAATTGGTACTTAGGCTCCGTTCCGTTCAACTTATTTTTTCTGATCTGATCTGATTCTAATAAGTTCTGATCTGATCTGATCTGGTCTGGTCTGATCTGATTAATTATGATTTAATTTAAAATTTCAAATCAATAATTTAATTTGACTTTATAATAACGTTTGAAAATTGTAATGATAATTCATATTATAATATAATCAATATTTTTTATTTAATGATTATTTTTTAATAAAATAAAAATAGTTAATTCATATATTAGAATAATCATTCATATTATAATGTAATAATATTTTTTATTTTATGATAATTTTTTTTGTAAAATTAGAATTATACATTCGAATAAATATTTAATTTAGATATACATTAAAAAGTAATTAAATTTAGATAATCAATATATAGAAGAGATAATATTTTTATTAAAATATCTCATCCTTATAAAAGATCAAAAGTTTAGAACAATATCTCATCCTTATTAAAATATCTCATCCTTAATCATTCTTATTAAAATATCTCATCCTTAATCATTTTTATTAAAATATCTCATCCTTATTAAAATATCTCATCCTTAATCATTCTTATTAAAATATCTCATCCTTAATCATTCTTTTTCATTTTTAAGAACAATAATAAGAATAATAATAATAATAAGAATAATAATAATAATAATAATAATAATAATGATGATGATGATGATGATAATAATAATAATAATAATTATAATTATAATAATAATAATAATAATAATAATAATAATAATAATAATTGTTGATGAGATCTGATTTTAATAAGTCCCCATCTGATCTGATTGGATCTGATCTAATCTGATAGGATCTGATCTGATCTGATTGGAATCATTGGATCTGATCTGATCTGATTCGATCTGATCTGATTCGATCTGATCTGATCTGATCTGATTTTAATAAGAATAAGAAAAAATAAGTTGAACGGAACGGGGCCTTACTCCATATTTGTTAATATGAATTTATCATAAAGATTGTTAGTCCAATCTTATTACGGTATGGAATTGGTGTCCTGAGATTTTTTAGCTCAAAAAATCACCAAAATATGAGCAAAACATAGTTCTTATCTCAAAATTAGGAATGCCATATTTTTTATATCTCAAATAGGGGTAATTTTTTAATGCAAAAATCAACAAAATTTGGAGATGCAATTGAAAGGGGGGTGGGTGGATTCGGGTCGGGCCAGGGTGCCCCGATTTATGCTATTCACTATTTATCTTTATTTTTAATCACTTCAAGGACATACTATCTCCGTCTCTGAGTATTTGTTTAGTTTTGACTTTTTATAGTAAATTATTTTTTAAACTTTGACCTATAATTAAATAAAATATATATCGTATATTATTTAGATAAAATGGTATTTTGAAACTATTTTTAAAATGAATCTAAAAAAGTATTTTTGTATTAATATTTAATATCACTTTTATTTAATTTATAGTCCAAATTTATTTGAAAAATCAAAAGTAGACAAAAACTCTCGATAGAGAGAGTAGATAAAAAGGAGTTTCATTTTTTACCTTTTTGAAAAATATGTGTAAAGTCAAAGCGAAAAGTAAATTAATACACGAATGATGTAAAAAAAATATAGTACTTGATAAAAATACTTCAATGATTGGATCTGATCTGACCTGATTGAATCTGATCACGTAGGGCTCTGTTCCGTACGACTGATCTAATTAAATCTGATCTAAATTTTTTATGTTTTGATTTGATTAGATCTGATCGGATTTGATTGGATCTCATCTAATTAGATCTAATCTGATTTGATTAGATATGATCTGACCTGATTGAATCTGATCACATCTGAGTGATCTGATTTTATCTGATTAGATCTTGCGTAAATTCATTTAAATTTGATTTAAATTAAAGTTAAAATTATTACAACATTTTAATAGATTTAAAGTTAAAAAGTATCATGTGTTGAATTTGATAAGAAAAGGAAAGAAGATGGTGAATGAAATTGTGGAAGAGAGATCACGTGATTGTTCTGCGTTTTCTCTCCGGGAGATCGCGAAGAAACCGAAGAAGAGAAAAGCATCATCTCTATGCGCATTCTATGGCTTTTTCTTTCTTCTCGGTTTAGGCATGCGTCTGCCACCTCATCTTCCACCTCAAATTTAGTCTTCTAACATAATGACACATCAGCTCGCCATATGTCGTGTTCCTGCCGTTTGGAGTCTGTTTTTACATATAAAGGATTCTCATCTTCAACCCCTCCACCAAAAATTTCTTTTTCTTAAATTGAGGAGTCAAAAATTTGTAAAATGGTGGCGGGAGAAATGTGTGTGAAACATGAGAGATAGAAATAAAGGATGAAGGTGTAGTATGTCTAATTAGAGGGCAATATTGTCAATTTTTTTATAAAACAAAAAATGTGGAGTGTCATTGTCAAATTATGATAATGTTAGGTACACATCAACTTCACACTACCCTTTATCTCATGATAGATTTGTTATTGACTTTAAGAAATCACTTTAAATAGAACTAAAACATAAAAAAATATCAAAATAAAAGTTTCTTGTTTTTATTATTTAAATAGGAGTTCATACTATGCTAATTTGGCACTGTACATGAGCATTTTACTATACTTTTTAGTAATGTATATTATTATGATTGATAATGTAAATACATTTGTACTCCTATTTCGGGAATAAAAACATGAAATTTTTTTTGATCTTTTTCCATTTATTTTTTAATTTTCTTATCCACGCCAAAAAATGTATGGTCGAAAAAAAGGTAAAACTTGACATGCCTGAATAACATTTTTAATCAAATTATAGAAAGCATAAGTGCATATATCACCTCCTCAATATAAGATTCACTGTGAGAGAAGAAGAGATCAAAATATTATCTTGAGAAATCTCAAATAATTATCAATTACGAGGCTTAAGTCCAAAATAAGGAAATACAACTTTTAAGTTTGATTCATGACAATTGGATTTGAAGATAATTATACTATTTTTGCCACTATGAGGTGCTAAAAGCCCAATTTAAGTGTTATAAGGGCCTTGTTTGAGATTAACGTTTTTTTATTAGTGTTAGCGTTTTGGATAAAATTTTAATGATATAGATTTATTCTAAAAATGTTAACGCTAAAGGCTACTGTCAGATATCCTTTTCAAAACGTTAATGCTAATATCTAACGTTGATGTCAAACGGGGCCTGAATGAAAAAGAGTTGAGGGTTCCGTTTGGCATCAACGTTAGAGATTAGCATTAGCGTTTTAAAATAATAATCTGACAATAGCTTTTAGCATTAGCGTTCTTAAAATAAATCTACACCGTATAAATTTTAGCCAAAATACTAAACATAATAGAAAACTTAATTACTCCTTAATAAAGAAGCCTTCCTTTGTCGGAGTATTAAAAAAAAACGCACTAGCCTAATCTTCACCTATCTTTCTCGCCCAATTTTTGTCCTGACATCCCTTCACAGTTAGCCCAGATTTTCAATTGCTGGGTTTCTTGAGAAGAAGAAGAAGAAGAAGAAGAAATGTCAGTCAAGATTGAGTCTTCATTGCCCACTGTTTTGACATCTCTTTCTTCCCCCTTTCAATCCAATGGTACCCCCAAGGTGATTCCTTTTTAATTTTTTTTAATTCTTTCCTGAGAAAGATTATATTTTTTTCTAATATGCTTTATTTTTATTATTATCGTTATTGGTATTCTTATTGTTTGTTTCAGTTGAATATATATTTTTTGGTCTTGGATGACAAGAATTAGCAGTGTGGCTTGTTTGTTTCAATTTAGTAAATGAGCTGAAATTTGCATAATCTGTTTGCATTTATTTATGAATTTATATCTCAAAACGGTCTGTTCAAGTCAATGTGATGAATACATATTACATCTGGGCTCTATCAGCTTACATGAAATTGTAATTTTAAGGAATGTTTTATAGTATAAAGGAACATTAATCTTAAGGAAATGAATGGTAATGGTTGGAAGGCTTTGGAGGTAAAGGAGTGGAAAGTGGGTGAGTGCTGCGGGTTTCATCTATGTTGCACAAACTCTTTGAAAAATAGATGTTTTCGCGTCCCTAAAACATACCCTTTCGGATACTTGGGGATGCCCCAACACCAAAATTCTCTGGAAGAGTAATATTTCTCTTTAGTTTTCTTTCATGTTTTATATTAATGTTGATATACATATAGATTATTATATTTCCAATCACAACAAGTATGATATCACATGTACTATTTTTTTATTAAAATATAATTTACTCCTCACTTCTCTATTGAACAATGAACACAAGACAACATCTATTTACATTTCAATATTGAGCGTTTTAATTGAACTATTGAAGTGTCTAGTTTTGTACTCTCTTATTCTTTTTTTTCCCATCCTCTTTTCCTTCTATGTACCTTTTTGTGATGTCCATGCTGATCTTTTCATATCACTTCACCACCGAATTCCAGATTAGCTCGAGAATCAGATTGCTTGACCTGCAGCAGCGTCTCGGTGCAGATGATGCAAAGAACGTTAAATGTATGCCTCTGATCTTGAAGAAGTTTTTTTATCACTTAACCCCTAAACTCCTAAACTGCTAGTATTTACTTTGTATTTCTGTATTTGAGCCGGCGATCTCTTGGAAACCTCTCTACGCCCAGTTCCCATGGCCTACTTTTTGTAGGATTTTACTTGTTTTTTGTTGTAGTAGCTAGTTTGCAAGCATTCCTTTCGTAAACCGTGAACTTTTGCTCTCATATCTCAAATGGGTACCCAAAATATTTGTAAAATTATCTTTCTGCAAAAAGATAAAACATTAATAGAATTAGGGACTAATACCAAAATGAGTGCATATTTCCCCTCCCAACTCTGTAATATGTACTCCCTCTATTCATATTTATCATGCACATATTTATTGTGACTTTTCCATTGTATGTCCCTAATCAATACCAATTTTATTTTTTTTCTTTAAGAGTATTTATTCTCGAAAACTATGGTAATATAGGGTTACATTTGAACATCTTAATATTTTTCAAGAAAATTAGTTGCATTCTTTGGTTAGTGTAATTTGGTCATTTGTACCTTCACAAGGATCAGAGGGCTTATAGTTTCACTGACTCTCTGGTATCATCCTTGTCATATATCCTTACTGTAAGCTTTTAGGGTCATTAAAGCCCATACACGAAGAGCTAAGGATGCACGGAAGGTCCTCAAAGAGGCGATTCGCCTTATTTGCTAACCCAGAAGATCAACAACTATCCTCTGATGGAAGGTCTGGATTTATTTCATTTTATAACCGTCATTACAAAAGAGAAGATGGGACCGGGGTCGTGTCGGATCGTGGAAAGAATGAGGGAGATCTGTTATGGGTTATGGGTCCCACAGTTCTCGTTGCGTCCTTCATATTTCCCTCACTCTGTTTACGAAGAATACTTGCCTCCATTTTTGAGGACTCTCTACTAACCGGTAGGCTCTTCGATCTGCTTCCTTCATTTAGTACATATACATTTCATGCTATGAGTTTCGTTATGAATAATCATCATTCAAGAAGATACTAATAACAAGTATTTACTTGATATTCACAAAATAGGAAATTGGTCTTATAGACAAGGAGTAATTTTTAGAAGACTGACTATTGATTATCGTCCCATAATTTGAATAACCTCTCTACTACCTAGTAGGGGTCAGTTTTGCGCGTACAAACACCCTTCTAAGACCTTTGTTTTTATAGAATATTTTGGGTCTGTTGTTGTTGTTGCATTTAATGGCTCTATCTCTTTTGTCCCTTTTCGACCACATTCATGGCAAAAATTGATCCTAATTTTTTTGGTATTATGAACAATTCCACAATTTACAACGTATTAAAAGAATGAAATGCATTCATCAAAACATAACTTTTTTTCTTTGGGTGTTGCTATATCTACTCTCATTTTTTGCTAAATCCGCCTCATTTATGTTAAATTGACAATTGTACCTTTAAAGTTAAAAAAGATGAAATTTAGATGCAAGCCATTTTTTGAGGACAAAATTGTCCATTTAACATAAAATGGGTGGATTTAGCAACACCTTTTTTCTTTTCATCTATATTAACCCTGTTTTCTAATAACCTGCAGATTTCCTTATATTGTTTTTCACTGAGGCACTCTTTTACTGTGGAGTTGCATTGTTTCTCTTCCTAATCGACCGTTTTAGAAGGGTCCCACCACGTGAGTTGGCGTCTTCTGGAAATGAGACATATATTGCGCCACCATTTGGATACAGAATCTTTTCGGCAGCTGCTTTGGCTTCGAGCCTAACAATTCCAATGGTAACAATGGGATTCGTTTGGCCGTGGACGGGCCCCGCAGCTTCTGCTACACTCGCGCCGTATCTTGTTGGAATCGTCGTGCAGTTTGCGTTCGAGCAATACGCGAGGCGCGTCGAGTCGCCATCGTGGCCTGTTATTCCTGTTGTTTTTCAGGTAAAGGATAATTTAACTTTCATTGTTCTTTCTCTTTTATATATGAAACTATATTATTTTTCCAATTTTAGGACCTCTTCTTTTCAAAATTTTTTTATTCGAGTTATAGTGTCTCCAATTTTAGTCTCTAGATTCCAATAACAAGACTAAAAGTTGAGTAGAACGAACCCTAATACACGGTGTTCGTTTAGCTTTAACATTTTGAAAAGGTTATCTAATGACAACAAACATTTAGCTTTAGCATTTTTAAAGTTAATCTGTATCATTAAAAAAAAGTTGAAAACTTTAACTCAAAATGTTGTTCCCAAACTAGGCCAATGCTAGTGGTAAAAGGAGACACTATAATGAGGGGAAAACCATATGAGTTTTTTAATAGTTCATAGAAAATTTCTATTTGTGGTCTTGTGACTCTTATGTCATTCCTATTATAGGTCACCTACTTTTTATTTTTATTTTTGGTGCACAATATTCGATGCTCGAAAGGACCAAAAGTGGAAAAAAAATTGAAACTTATTATGGATTAGTAATGAAAAATGACCTTATAGGCATTGGAATGTTCTTTTCACTTTAATTAAGAGTTTCGAGTCCACGGTCCAGAATGATAACTAGAATCTAGATTAAATATACTACTCCCTCCGTTTCGAAAAACAATTCCTCTTTCACTTTTTTCTCTACCCACAAACCACTTTAAAAAGTCACTTTTATCCCTACTAATTACTACTCTACTTATCACATCATCTCTATTCGCTATTAATTTACCCATCAGATCCTACTTTCACCATCACAACATCCAAGGGCCAAATAGAAAAGTCAACTACAATATACTTTTACCCCCGACTCAGTAAACAAGACTTCTTTCCTGTGTGTAACATTTTTTTACTGTATTTTAAAAAAAGAAACAAAATACTTTCATATGAACGAATTGTTTTTTTTAATTGCTACAAAGTGTGGGTGAAATTTGGCAGATTTACAGGCTTCACCAACTGAATAGGGCAGCACAACTGGTGACAGCCCTTTCAATGACAGTGAGGGGAGCCGAGACAACGCCGCACAACTCTGCCATAAACAGCTCGCTTGGGACCCTCCTAAACGTCCTACAGCTGCTCGGCGTGATCTGCATTTGGTCTCTTTCGAGCTTCGTCATGAGATATTTTCCTTCTTCCACTGCGACACTACCCGATGGCTCAGGTTCGTGACTTTTTTTTTTCCTTCTGAAAGGGGAAATGAAATGGGAAAGCAAAAATAAGCCCAGAGAAATGTGGACTGTCTGGAGTTGCTCTTCTGTTTTGAAATGTCCCTCCAGATTGCTTGTAGTGGTAGTATTATATATGTGTGGGCACATGAATCTGAAATCTTTTAGTTAATCAATCCTATCAGTTTCAAAACCATTAAAACTGAGACATAACCTGGGGGGATTGCAAGATCATTTTAAAAAAAAAGATCATGGTTCTTCTGACACCCAATGCAGTGTAGGAGGTAGGAACTACTTTAGGGTCCAACAGAGGCACATAGGGACTTGGTGTCATAATTTGACACCCAATGCAGTGTCAAAAGAACCGTGGTGGCAATATGTGATCATAGAATGTTAGAGAAATGTTTATTCACGCATCCCACTGTATTTTTTGGTATTATACGTTGACATTATTTGCATTGTACTCCTATTTTGAGGATTAAAAAAATGGAGTTCCTATTTTTGTACTTTCTCCATGTTTTGCTTCTAGTTTAGTCTTTTCCCTTAAAACTCTCCAATATCAGACTCCATGTTCCACACTTAGTACCCAGTCTTTAGTTAAACTACATCAAGACTCTGACTTCTAGACTCAAAAAGACCATTGAAAAAAAGATCAAGGTTCTTTTTGACACCCGTTTTGGGTGTTATAACATGACTCCGGGGCACTGTAGGGGGGCTAGGGGGAGGGGGGTTGGGGGGTGTAGGAGGTAGGAATGACTTTGGGGTCGAACCGAGGCACATAGGGGCTTGGTGTCTTATTATTACACCCAATGCAGTGTTAATTGTGATCATGGAATGTCAGAGAAATGTTTATTCAATATGCCCACGGAGTGGTAATAAAGAGAGATAAAGACATTATGAGCATGTTCTCTTCGTCTGATCTGTTTGGTTCCAATATAATTTTATTAAGGCATGTTCTAACTTAATTTGATTATAGTTTTATTTAAAACAATTTCTGGTCTGGTCTAGTTTAATTTGATCTAATATGGTCTAATCTTATTCCAATAAGAACTAGTAATACTATCTCCGCCTCGAGTATTTGTTCATTTCTTACTTTTGTAGTTGAAATTAATAAATTTTGTCCGTTAATTAAATATAATTGATATTAGAAATTAATACATAAATTATTTTATTAGATTTATTTTATTATATATTTTAAAATATTATTGTCTAATTAATATACCATGTAGTTTGACTTGACATCTTGACAATCTCTTCTTCTCGACATATTTCACCTAGGCGTCCTTTTGTGGACGACTAGACATTTAGGCATCACCTTGTGGATGACTAGATGCGATATTGTCTAATTGAAACCATGCCTTAGTTCATCATTTTTTTTCATATTTCATTTGAAGTATGAAATTGCATATTGTTCATCTTTTCATAGTTTTCTTTTCATATTCTTTTTTCATATCGTAGTGAGTGTATATATTTTGGAAAGAATTTGCGGACACTGGGTCTATGATGACACTGGTGAAACCGACTCAATTTGGAGTACTCACAATGCTTATTTGTAAGACTGATGATTCATATCCCCTAACCTTTTGAAATCCCTCCATCTTTGTCCCCACCCAGCCACCTACTTCCTACCTCTTATTGATTGGTAGCCAATCAGCAATCAGGGAAAGTCATTTTCAAATAAAATTTTTAAGGTTAAAAGAACCATGGGAAATATAATGTGATACTACGTAGATAGCTTAATAACTAAAAGGGCTAAAGGTAAATTTTAATAAAAGTAAAACATGTTTTTTGGGTGGATGAAAAGTAAAAATAATTTTTTTTAAAAAACAAAGAGAACATTTTCTTTCAAATGAATGATAGACTTTGCTGAATTTAAACTTAAAACATATAATATGATATATTTATATTCGTCTTACTAATGCATCCCAATGCAAAACGCTCCTCATTTATTACATGTCACCTAATTAGTGCCTTGGCATTCGCTTGGGCACCATGGTGGTACCCTAGCACCTCGATAAAACAGCATTGGTCATTTATGAAAAATAAGAGCATTGGATTTTAAAAAAAATCATATTAAGGGTTATGTCTCCGAAATTGAATAAGAAACACCATGTTGGCAAAAGGTGATTATATCTATAAATTGGCAATTTTATTAAATTATATTCTCTATCTACTATTATGTTTGATTCAAAGAATTTGAAAAAAAGAAGAAAATTGAGAAGGAAAATAATTGTTCTTATTTGGTCAGAGATTTAAAAAAGAAAAAAAGATGGAAAAAAAAATGAAAAGGTAAAATGACTTGGAAGAAAAAAAATAATAGGGAAATATTCTTTCTTTTTCTTGTAAATTCCTTAAACCAAAAAATAGTGTTTATAGTGAGTGTTACTCCGTAGTACAAAACTAGTTGTATGCTCAAGAAACATACTCCCTTCCTCCATTTTTTTATTAATCAATATTTACTACGTAAGTGTTTTTAATTCTATTACCGTATAATCTATGCTTATACTATTTTCAACTTATTAATGCAAAACTCAATGTTACTAACACGCCATAAAAGATTTCTCACTTTTGAAAAAGGTCTAAAAGGGATTCACTTTTTACTTTCCCTTTTTAGAGAAGAATGTATGGTCCAAAGTATATATTTTTTTAAAAACACAAAATCCTATCGATAACTTTTCACTTTTCAATATCTTTTAACTTCTTTACACTAATATCTGTAAAGTACCATTTATTCAAGAATTGGCAGTCTTTCAAAACCACCAGTCTTTCAAAAGTCTTTATCTACAAAGACAAATACTCCATATTATACATTCGGGTGTACTATGATAATCGCACCTTCCGCATTCGCATATAATCTTGAAAAGAAGCATAAATCATATATCAAATTTAATCGAGTTCAAAATGAGCAAAATAGAATAAACACAACCCTAACGAGGGAAACAAATACCCTTTAAGAGAGATCAACGAATAAACATGAAAAACTTAGAGCTTCTTCTCATCAATTTATTCTTTTAGATTCATATCATACCAAATCAAATCAGAATATAAGTACAATCAGATCAGACCAGACCTTAATTAAATCAAATCAAATTCAATAAGATCAAACGAAAAGAACAAGCTCTTAGCAAGATATAGATTTGGCCTAGTGTACGTTAATAAATGGGGAAAACAGTTCCTTTTTTCCTATATTGTGTGTGTGTGAGAGAGACTGTGTGTTTGTGTGTGTGTGTGAGAGAGAGAGAGAGAGACTGTGTGTTTGTGTGTGTGTGTGTGTGAGAGAGAGAGAGTAGTTCTATGACTTCTATCGTTACGCCAAGCAATAAAAATACAATACATAAGAAGCCATATTGGATATATATTAGACTACAAAGTTTCTAAACTGACATTAGATAAGATACAAAGAAGGACATTTACAGAAGGGATTAATGCAAAACTTGAACAAAGGGTTCTCCCTAAACCCTACCTAAACCATCATCACTATGTGCACAACTTACCTTTCCCTTTCGGTCTTTCCCATTTGATTAAGCTCTATCAGCAAGCGACCATATGTCTTCTGCTCTTCTCTTAGTTTCCTCCGCAGCAGATTCACCTGAAAATACAATTTACAATGTCACTAAACACATAACCACTTTAGATGTTTGTTTGGCGCTGTATTTGAAATTTGCTTTTGAACTTCTGTTTCATTAAAATGAAGTTTAGCGCAAGGTTTTGGAGGTCTAAAATGGACTCTTGAAGTATAAGTGTTCCATTTCTACGTATAAGTGTATAGCTTTTACTTTTTCAGAAATTTACCACAACCGCAAACACCCTCTTAACATCCTAATTTACCCAATGAAACATAATTGGTCACTTACCTTGGCAGTAAGGTCCTCCACATTCTTCTCGTGTTCCAAGCACCTGCAATATTAAAGAAGAATCACATCCAATTCGTTCAGGTGTATGTGGATATAATGACTACAATTCCTTTCGGAGTGTCTCCCCGGTGACTACTTGGTAGTGAGTGAGCATAGGTTGAATTTAGGGTTGATCCGAGCCTTAAATAGATCCCGAAAAAAAGTTCAGGATTTAATTTTTTATGGTCCAGAAACCAATCCTAAAACCTTCGAGTTTGGGGAATTTGGTTCATTGTCTAATCTATGTTCATGTGCATTGCGATTGTCAAATTGATACGCGGAATAATAGATAACAAAAATATGGATATGATGAATCCTACGATTAAATTTTTTTATTTGTAATTTTAAAAGTGGAGCTATTTCGGATGTTGGATCGAACCCGGCATAGAATTTCTAAGCCAAGAGACTGAACCACGTGTTTTTTAAAGTAATCCACAAACCCAATCCGATAATACTTTGGTAATTTGGATTAACCAGAACCCTGCTAACCCCTACTTCTTGGTGTAGCCTTTAGCAAAACAGTGCTAGCAGTTGACATTATGTTAGATCAGAGTTAGTCCACAATGGTGAGTTACCAGGACGGGTGAGTTAGCCACAAAAATAATTGAAAAAGAAGGGACTTACTTGGCACGGAGTTTTTTGTTTTCTTCAAGTAGACTGCTAGCTTCTTTGCCTCCCAAGTAACTAGCAGCACTAGCAGGCGATTGCTACAGAAAATATTGTAAAGCAAAGTAAATAACTGTCCATATATAATAATACAGAAAGCAAAAATGTCAACATGTATCATGAAAATGGCTAATGGAAAGGTATAACAGAAAACAAACACATGCCCATCTGGGGTTGGCAATGGAAGTTAATGGATAATATGAAAAATCACGTGGGACTTGATAGTTACAAAAATTTCATATTTTAGTCATAATTACATTTCTACATAAAAGTGCTAGATGATGGAGAAGTTTCTGAAAATGAAAGGCTTATTTCAGCAAAAGTACAAAAAAGCTCATTCAAGGACACATACCTTAGCAGTTGGACTCTGTTTGGCATCAGTCATATCGACATTTACTCCGGCCTTTTGTTTCACACTTCCAGGTTCTATTGGGTGATCTCGGTCTTTCCTTTTAAGTGGTACTAGTGGCACCAATAAGAAAATAAAAACATAAGTTTCAAGAATCAGACTTATATACTTTACATTTATATGTTAATTTAGCTGTATATATCGTGTGCAACTTGTAAGTCACTTTTTTGGCAAGCCACGTGAAAATTGGCATTGTTTTATCAAACTGGATTTCTTGGGAGAAAATTATATAAAAGAGGCGTTTTTTTGGACAGAGTATATAATAAGATTAGCATATTCAGGACCCTTGATTGAACCCATTCATACCTTGCTGAGAGTTATGATGAAAAGTTCTAGGTAGATTGCCAGGCCTTGAAGACACAAATACACCAGCAGTACTAGAAGGGTTTTTAGTCATAGACACAGCCTGATATGTACCATGCTTCTGACAAGATTCAGGTGTAACCTGTGAAAGTTTTGTTGCTGGAGGTTTTTTTGGTTGCACATAACCGATAAGTCCACAATGATAATCCCTGATATATAAAAAAAAGCACTATAGCTAAGTCCAAAACCGGGGAGACTGATGAAATTGAAGAGTGAAGAGCTTTAAAAAGTAATGGCTTTTACATAAAATGGACAAATTTGTCATTTAAAAATTGGCCAACATCTAATATAATTCTTTGTACATTTAACCATAAATGAAGTGAATTTAGCAACACACTTGATAAAAATGAATTCCAAATTGGCACACTTTTAATGAAGAAAGATTTAGTTACCAATACTCCAACGTCATTTCCTTCAGTCGAGCTTCAAGTTTTTGAAAAAGAGATGTTTTTTCGAAGTCTTGTTTATTGTGTGTTGGCTGGATGAAGTTTGCCTCTAGAACACCTGAAGGACCATTAAAACACTTAAGCAACTATTTTTAATTCAGACATAAATAACCATTCTTATATTAGGAAATATAAAAGAGAACTGGACGAGCGCTTCTTACCCACAACCCCTCTGCCTCTATTCTGATTATAGCTGACAACATGCCAAAATGGCTTCAAAAGAGTAGAGAAAATACATAAGATAAAAAGTTAACATGGAATCAATAACAAATTAAGACATAAACTGTAACCATTTGGAAGTTTTAAAAAATCAGTAGGAGAAACTCAATTTATAAATTAAAAAAACGAAAACATAGCATCTGAAAATAGAAAAATATACAGATTTAAAAGACTGTAATTCACTGTATTGTTTGTAATCAGCAGTAAGCCAAAGAAGTCACTCAAGAGGCTTGTTTTTATACCCCCGCGGCCCACCTACAAACACTTGTCAGTGTGAGCAATTTTCACTGACAATATGTGTAGGTGTCACACCATTGATAACACTTTTACGTGAAAAATGTACAAGTGTTGTAGGTGAAAAATATCTTGGTGTACCCCATGATGTAACGGTAACCCATGGTGTACCAAAGGATTTTTTGTTAAACAAATTCTCACTTTGATAATGGACGCAATGGGTAAGCATACATGGACTACCCAGACTATGTGCCAACAAGGCATGCTAACAAGAGGCATATATCCAAAATTGAAATTCGGCAATAAAATCTGTGAAATTTGAAATTAATTGCTAAACTTTTAACAGTTGATTTAGATAAACATTTACTGCTTTAAGTTTCATGCGGATGACCTAAAAATAGTTGGGTTTTAGATAGTGGCTATGATGGAAAATCAGTTTTACTTACTGGATAACAGAGTATCAAAATAAAACTTCAGGCGTATGACAATGTTGCTTACCAATATTAATCGGTTTTTGTGGTAGACATTGAAACCATGGTGATTCACCAATGGAGCTTCTTTTAGGAATCCAATTGTAGTAATGATTTCACCCTACGGAAGGACAGTATCGCAATTAAATTTGTCGAAAGAAAAACCCCAAAATTATTTTGAGAACATTAGTTGCACAAGGAAGATTAGAAAGTGCTCCAAATTTAAATAGGAAAGATTCTTTAATGGGAAATCATTGGCTATACATTTATGGTTGCAAATTTAGGGTAAGCCTATGATTCAACGACCATTATGTAGGTCCATCATATTCCTATTATGCATGTGCTCGCAGAAAGTAGCCATTAGATTATTATCAAATATTCATAGAGCCAAGATTGTCGCTATCACTCCAGCCTACCTAACAGTGGCAATTGTCCACCGGCGAGCCTTTTCAACAATCACTCAAGTTCAACATTAATATAGTAGCATTTTAAATATAAAGAGAGTAAGTTTCTACCTCAGAAACTCCACCACTTGCTGGTTTATACAAGATACACTGTCGATATTTCAGTTCACTAGCAATATTATGATACTCAACTACACTCCCACATAGCACAATCCAAAAGTTTGCAGGAACTTGCAAATACAATATTGATAGGTATGCCTGTTCATTGTAAGAAATAAAGGTTAAGTACCAATGTGCTTGCACGGGCTAGAGATTATGGACGAGTGGCAAACTGGCACTGAACAAGCTTACCCGCATCGAAAAACGGAGACGGTTGCAAAGATGGTCATCAGTTACAGATACACGTGCACCTTTCTCCATATTGTTATTTGTATAATTTCTAAGACGAATATCCTTTGATGGATGAGACAAATAAGCAATGCAGCTTCAAATAAATTTGCAACAACTTCAAGAAAGCTAGAAATATAGTGTGAGAAACTAACCTCAGGATCAGAGTCAAAATCAAGCTCTGTTTTTCCTTCATCATTCAACCATAAATTGTAGATAATAATCTTTGTACCATGTTCACCAATGTCACGAAACTATACATTGAAGAGAAAAAATTGGCAAGAAAAAAGTATTAACGGTTCTTACATTTGAAAATATGCAGCATCACAACACCAAAAAAAACACACAAGGTTGATGCTAACGGTAATTCGCATGCATCAGAACATAGTTATGTTTTACATCATGTTCCAAGAAATACACTCCAGATTAGTTTGTTTGTGGAGGATACGGCACATAAGGCAGAATAATAGAAGAAAACAAGTCACACATCAATTGTTTCATTTGGGGTTTTGGGGACATGCCACTAATACATCTCTCTTCTTCAACAACCGAAACAAGTAACCAGAGCAGAAATTTATCCTAGCAGTTCAGATATCCTAGCAACTGGAAGTTTTTAGAAAAACTAACAAAGTGCTGCATTCCATAATCCATACAGGTACAGAGCTTCTAAAAATCATTTGAATGTGAAATGTTGATCCTGAACTAGAGCAATATACAAACTTATCAGCTGATCCCCCTGATGCCACTGGAGCTAACAAGACAGAGATTTCAAATGTGGGTATAATTGAATGTAACAAGTCTCCTCATTATTTCATAGAGACGATTGAAAAAGAAAGATGTCCTGTTTACCCACTCAAGTCACCCACTACTTGCTACAAAATGTGTCACTATGCCAAATGCTTAAAAAAAAGGAAAAAGGTTTTTATTTATTATGCTGAATATTGGAATATTAAAGTCTTTAGGGGAGTTAAAAGGTCATCACATGCTTGGAGTGGAAGCACGAATAAGGTGAATATGCAGAAATTAGAACAAAGGTATTGAAAATTGATACCCCATCCTGAAAAAATGTTCCACATTTCCTTTTGTTTGACCCAAAATAAGGTATCACTTTCCTTTTAAAAGAAATGATTAACATCATTTCTCTCTCCTATGCACAACTGAAGCATTCAATGTCCCTTTCTTAATAATTGTGTCTGGTCAAAATGTGGAATTTTAATTCTAGACGGAGGGAGTATTACAATATAGGAAATGATACAGAATATGAAAAGAGTACACATTTATAGGTTTAATACATGCTAGGGAGGTGTTGTGTGTGTAGAGAGGGATAATTTGTAAACAAAAGGGGATGCAGTTGTATCCTAATAATTCAACACACAATAAAGTCGAAACATCTTAAATTTCAAATATGAATTGATGAAAAATTATAAAATCTTCTCAGAGATAATACGAGAGGGCAACTGACTAGCACGTCAGCCTAAGGCAGAAAGTCCTATAGTCAAGGCAGGCTTTGTCAGAAGTCTTGCACCGGTCACGGACACGGCAGCATTTTATAGCAATTTCCTTGCATTTTCCATTTTAATTAATTCTTATTAGATCTTTTGCCAACAGATCAAATTAAAAGCATTCCAGATAATGTTTTGATATGTTAGGGGTTTTTAAAAGAGAATGATGTTTTCAAATAGTTGATTTGATAATTTTATGTTGTTGGGATATGAGTAGATTTAATTACAATATTTGAAAATAGTTACAACATTTTCAAGCCGAGAGTTTCTTGTAAACTGCCTCTCTACTTTCAAGTAGGGGTAAGGTCTACATACACAATTACACACCCACTCTTTCTGGGATCAAATTGGGTTGGTATTGATGTTGTTAATTACAATATTTGTATATTTAGTTTATTTTAATTACTTTGTAATGTTGTATGTTTTGCCTATAAATAGGCTTGTAATTCTCATTTGTAAGACATGTCATGATGAATGAAAGTATTCTAGTGTTAGAAAATTCTTGAGAGAATTTTAATTTGAAACATGAGAGTTTCTTTAAGTTGTTTAGTTTAGTCACCAAGGTTAATTGTTTTGGAGATTAAATAACTCCACTCTTTCTGTTGCTACGTTCAAGTAATGTAGAGGTGTACTGTGAGGAGTTTATCCTTATCCGTGATTCAGAAAGCCCTGGAAAAACCTTGTTAATTGTACACACCGGTAACAACACTTCTGCCCGCATATCACATTAACTAACAGGTAAGATATTTGATAGATCCAATTTAAATTCAATCGCATTGTCAAGGGGACATTGGGTTAAACATACTTGAGAAAGAAGATCCTCCTCTTTTGAAAATGGAGACCACTTCAATAGCAGAGACAGATTAGTCGCAAAACTTTGTTCACTGCGTATTGAATTCCATGTGTCAGTTGCTGAATCGAATTCATAGTCAACCTGCAGGAATAAACAAAAATAGAAACCATTAGGAACAAATGCTGGGACAGAACAGGAATTTAGTACATGGATCAGAAACTAGTTCACATTAGTTCTATGTGCTTGTTTGGCTTAGATTTTATTGTCTTGTTTAAATTATTGACTTGAAGAAGCCATTTGGCCTCATATCTACCTCAGGAGGCCACTCAAATTACTTCCAAGGAACTGAAAGAGAGGATAAGAGCCCAGGTTCAGATAAGATAAAAGGCAGTCAGTAACTTAACCAAAATGATGACGGCTAACTTGAAGTGAAACCCTGTAGAAACATGATCTAGATAAATAACAAACTGCAACACTCGTGGTCACAATATTGTGGTTGGGTCCAAAATGATGACTGCTAACTTGAAGTGAAACCCTGTAGAAACATGATCTAGAGTAGGATTTTAAATAACGAACTGCAACACTCGTGGTCACAATATTGTGGTTGGGTTGATGCCTACTACTGCATTATCCGGGAATTTCAGTGTGAAATTAAGTTACACGTTACAACATTGTAGCACTTTGAATTAGGCATCATCATACCGCATCTCAAAAATTAATTTATTTAATTACAAAAATTATTTAGTGTTTTCTCAATTTGTAAAAACGTAAAGAAGTGTTTCACATCACACCACAACAGCTGCAATCACAGAAACCTCAGTTTAAAACCATAGTTCATATCATCATAAGTATGATAATCTGTACAAATGTGAATGAAAAAAAGATATTGAATGGGAACAGGCATATCATGTTGTTGGGTTTCAAGGGTGCCCAGCAATATCTTTGTCAGAGTGGTAGGTGAATAGATTGTACTCTGATACAGTTAAACTTTTTCTCTCATGCCTCAATTAGAGCGTTTCTTTGATGAATGAGTGACAGATGTCTGATGTCTTCCAAACAGTTTTAGAACACTTCTCATAGAAGATTCTTTTCATAAATTTTTGAAACCATGTAGCCTTTGCATCTTATATCCTTGAGCCAAACAAACAAATGAAGCACTATCCTGTTAAGTATAGCAAAATTAAAACCACCATCCAACATAAGGGACAAAAGGAAAAATCTTTTGCAAGTGTTTGACCGTAGCAGCAAACGTTGGAGAAAGGGTTCATTCTTTTACTGTCCCATGGCAGAAAACAGGAGAGTGGAAAACTATGGTGTATCATGTTTAGACCATTTTCTGTAATACAATACAATGGATAAGACATGCACAAAATTGAAACCCATTGAATAAGTTGTACTCTTTAAAGTGAAATGTCGAAAGTGTATAATGCTTGACCAATGTCTAGATTTAGATAGTTTACATGGGAAAACTCACCATTGGAACCACTATTCTATCAAGGCCAGATTGTGCCAAAAATGTGTAAGATAAAAGTCCAATGCTTCGTGTCTTTTTTCTGATGCAAATAGATGGAATAATAAGATCAGTGTGTTTGAATATTAATATTAAAGCAATGGATATTTATTTAAATAAGGGAAAAACGACCCCCCCCCAAAAAAAAAAACAAATATGATTCAAGCATAGTAATGCTCAGGTACGGGTCATTTAACAAAAAATGGTATAATATGAAATGAATATATTACCAGGGCACAAAATTCTAATAGAAAATGTATTAGGTTTACTGAACAGATGTTTGTAACAATTTAACAAAAATTATTGGAAAAAAGATTGTCAAGGAAAATAAGAATATATCCAAAATAATGGAAAGTCCAAGCATCCTCAAACCAATGGTTTCCTATATCTATGGTATATCATATTACGAGAAAAGATGTAAAATTGAGAGGGTTGATATCTGGTGTTGCATTTTTAGATTCTGAAAGTTTCTATTTGATATTAAAAAAATACTCTTGCTGGCATAAGCCCGATATCCTAGGTTGCATGGGTTCGCCTCTTTGGTGCCGTTTGCCGTCCCATGAGCATTGCAGGGACACCATTGGAGGCGGTGGGAGACAAACGGAAAGCTCTCAGGTTCGATTTGGAACTGACATGTAGGGAGACAAAAGGGACATACTGGGTTTAGATCTGCACTTCGAGCCGCGCACTCACGCCCTAAATTTTTGTACGACTATTAGACTATTAGGTTGAAATGCGACTTTTTTATTCTTTATAACAGAAAACAAGATAATGTGTTGACAAGGAGTGTTGTTTTTTATTGAAGATTCCAAAAACTAAGTTTATTTCTTTGTTATATTTCAAAATATGATACATTTGCCGGTACTAGTATTTAATGATTCACCATTTCTTCGTATTACATATGACATTGGATTGTTATGTGCTATTTAAGAATTGTTTTTTACATTTAAAATTCTATTTCTAATATTTTACAGAGTACTATTTATTGTTTGTTTGTTTGTTTTCTAATATTTTACAGAGTACTATTTATTGTTGTTGTATCCTTGCAATACCCGTAATTTTCAAAAATATTGTTTTCCGTCACCGTCCCCGTATATGCACCCACACTTGTCCCTGTGCAACCTAGTCTATATCTACTTCTCCAATACTTGCTGCTAATTAGGAAGGGGAACTTATCCTAGAACAGAAAAACCAATGTTCCGTTTTCCACAGCAAACAATCTTTTGATATCACTCCTAAAGACCATACCTGATCAGATAACTATATTTGCTGAACTAGTAAATCAAGATTGATTATATGACAACACAAACAAGCATGGTCACTAAAGAAAACAGTACAGCATTGTGAGCATGGGAGTATGGGACTAGTACTTACAACAAGCAAGATAAATTGAAAGCATAACTTTACAAGGTACCCCAAAGAAAAGGCAAATGCAACCCCCTTAACTATAACTACTGATGAGCTAGGTTGCACATGAGGGACATGTGCATATACAGGGGCGGAAAATGACATTTTAAAAAATAAAGGATATGAGTACTGCAAACATATAGCAACGAAAAATAATAAAATACTAGAAACAGAGTTTTAAATGTTATTTTTAGAAAGGCTAGGATGCCTAACAAGTGGAGGGAGAGTGTGCGGGTCCCACTCTTTAATAGCAGGGTTCATATTCAAAGTTGCAAGAATTATAGAGGCATCACACTTTTGGCAACACCATGAAGGTCTGTGAGCATATCATTGAGTATAACCTGCAAAAGGGGGTGTGCATCTTCGAGAACCAGTTTGGGTTCATGCCAAACCACGGAAGCCATTCACCTCCTACGAAGGCTGAGGGAAGAGTAGGGCTACGAAAAAGGACCTACATCTTGTGTTTATTGACCTCAAGAAGACGTACTACAAGGTGTCGGAAGGGTTCCAATCGCATACATTCGTGCAATCAGAGATATGTACGACGAGGAAAGGACTAAGGTAAAGATTGTCAGTGGTAAGCCTGAGCCATTCAATGTAGACGTGGGGTTACACCAAGGGTCTACTTAACCCCATCGTGTTTGCTCTGGTGATGGACATGTGGTCACAAAGAGTTCGGGGGGAGGTCATTGATGCGTGTTGTTTGCTCACGATATTGTGTGGATCAATGACACCCGTGAGGGACTAAATGACATGTTGGAACTTTGGCGCCTTTTCCTGGAATCTAAAGTTTCAAACTGAGGACTAAGAAAATGCTCTTAAGGTCTCATCTGATCTAATTGTAGTTATATTTAAAGTTGTTCCTCATCTAACTTGATCGAACGAATATGGCTTGTTCTGATTCGAATAAGAAAAAGCAATAAAAATAAGTAAGTTGATGAGAACATGCCCTAAGACTCAATACATGAAATGTTGCTTTAAAGGTCAAGTGATGAAATCATAGGTGGAAGTTAGGATTCATTCCTGCCCAATGCCCAAAGGTTGACAAGTTTCGATATCATGGTTTTGATCTGATTCCAATAATAATAAGTAATAAATAATAAGAATAAGTTGAAGAGAACGTGCCCTGAGACTGAATAGAGAATACATTGAATGTTGCTTTAGTGGCCAGGTGACAAACCCAAAGGTGGAAGTTAGGATTCTTTGATTTCATTCCCACCCAATGCCCAAGGTTGATAAGTTTCAATATCTTAGTTTAGTCCTTCATGCGGATGGGGAGTTAGACAGTGATGTTGCACACTAGGTTGGAGCAACTTAGGCAAAGTGGAGGTTGGCTTCAGGGGTTTTGTGCGACAAAGATTTCAGATGATGAAAGTAAGTACTACCAATCTGTAGTCAGATCAACTATGTTGTACAGTGCGGAGTACTCGCCTGTTAAGAAGATCCATAGTAGTCTTGAGAGATGTGAATGCTGCAATGGATGAGTAAAATCATAAGGCGAGATAGGATTTAGAACGAGGTTGTTTGAGGACGAGTAGGAACAGCACTAATAGAGGATAAGGTGCGGGGGAAAAAGGTGAGGTAGTTTGGCCATGCGATAGAGTGATGAGGCCCCATTACGGAGGTGCGAGAGTAACGATGGTGAGTGAGAATAAGGGCAGGGGTAAACCTAGAAAGAATTGGGAGGTGATTAGATATGACATAAAACTTTTGGACCTTACTGAGGATATGATAGATAGAAACATTTAGAGAGCTAAAATTAGGGTAGTTGGGTAGGCGTCTTGGTCTTGGTGGTACTTTTCCTTGTTGTGCTTTCTCTTCGTGTGCTTTTCTGATGTTATTTTTAGTTGTTTGCTTTTTTGTGCTCTATGCGTTTATGTCGTTTTGGTGGTTGGGAGGCAGAATAGAGGGCGGAAGTTAGAATTGATGCTCACTTAGTGCCCAAGGTAGACAAGTTTCGGTATCTTGGCTTGCTCATTCAAGAGGATGAGGAGTTGGACGAAGAAGTTGTGCATCGTGTTGGATGAGCGTGGGCTAAGTGGAGGTTGGCTTCAGGGGTGCTGTGCAATAAGACAATTCAAGTTTCGGTGTCTTGGCTCGATCATTCGAGAGGATGAGAGTTGGAGGGGGATATTGTGCATTGTGTTGGAGTAGCATGGGCTAAGTGGAGGTTGGCTTCAAGGGTGCTGTGCGATAAGAAGATTTCGACTAGGACCAAAGGTAAGTTCTACCAATCCGTAGTCGGACCAGCTATGTTGTATGGGGCAGAGTGTTAGGCGATTAAGAAAACCCACATTCATCCACTGCATGTTGCGAAAATGCGGATGTTACGATGTCTATGTGCAAAGGCAAGGTTGGATAGAATTCTAAATGAGTATATCCAAAGTTGGGTGGGCATGGCTCCTGTGAAAGATAAGTTGCGGGAAGCTAGGCTGAGGAGGTTTGGGCATGTGAGACGGCAGAATGCTAATGCCCGGTGCAGAGATGCGAGAAGCTTATGTTGGTGGGGGAGTAGGGGAAGGGGTCAACCTAGGAAGGCTTTAGGATATGGCCTTAGAAAAGAACATTTGGAGAGCTCAGAGCTAGGATTAAAGTAATTGGATAGGCACCTTGGTTAAGGGTAGTTTTCTGTACTTGTTCTTGTGTGCCTTGTTTGACTCGTATGTTTGGTGCTTTTGTATTGCAGTGTTGTTCCTTCTTTAACAATAGTTCGTTATTTGCCTTTGTGTGCTTGTTGCTATCTATGCTTTCTCTGCTTTATGTACATACTGTGACCTTTTTACCCATGCAGCTTGACTCTGAGGTCTCATGAAAATAGCCTCTCTACTTTGGAGTAGGGCAAGGTCTGTGTAGCCACCCTCCCAAGACCCTATTTTCGTGGGATCCAACTAGGCTGCTGTTGTTACGTATGCTTTCTCTACTATATGTTCCCTCTTTGAAGCTATATGCGCCTTCTTTGAGCTTGTGTTATACTTGAACCGGGGTCTATTTGAAACAGACTCCCTTCTTTTGAGTAGGGTTAAATGTATAAAAACTGCTTTATGTCATATGTGATACAACAAAATGGCAAATCATTGAATACTAGTGCTAGCAAAATATCATATTTTAAAACTATAAAAAAAAAAATAAACCGACTTTTTGAAATCCTCGATAAAGAACATCACTCCTTGTCAACACAGCCTTTTTTAAAATCAGTACTTTAGCCGGAGAACTGTCCAAAATTTAACAAAAGTCATTTCAAAATATATTACTTTTGAACTTTTCATTATTATATTTTTGATAAATTTTTGCATGAATTAATACAAAACAAAATACGAAGTAGTAAAAAACAAAAAATTTAAAAGTACGGAGTACTTAGTAACTACTCGTAAAAAATAACTAAACAGGAACTAAGAGTAGATTGAATAAGAATAAGCCAATACGGAAAAGAAAACTGATGCAGAACAAAATTGTTTAACAAATTAAAATTAAAATTTGTGGTAGAACTTGAGAGAAACTTGTGTATGGTAGGGGAATCTCCGAGACTGCTAGGTTTTAGTGCTTTATACGAAGTAAAAAATCAAATTTCAACCTAATGGGCTAAACGGCGTAAAAAAACTTAGGGCGTGAGTTGTCGGGTCAAAGTGCCTGGTGCCATCCCGTTTTGGCCTCGGTACATGTCAGCACTGATCCGATCAAACCTGAGCACTTCTAGTTCCTCTCCTGCCGCCCGCAATGGCATCCCCACAACACTCTTGGAACAGAAAACAACACCGAATATGCAAACCCGTGCAACCTAGCTTATGAGCAAGTGATATGCATGCCCCGTTATAAGAATGATTGTTTAATTGAAGACAGTTTTATGTCTTTACCAATAGATATACACCCAATTTTTCCCAATGATCTCACAAATATGATAATGATGAGGAGCGTTCACACACACGAGGTCAAGTGGCACACCGACAAACAGAATAAAGCATACTCTCCTATCCTGAATTAATCGTCCCAATTTGACTTCACGGAACTTAAAAAAAGTGTTGAAAAATAAGAGTGATTGAAATTTGATTAGATAAAAGAGAAAGATTTTGGACCACATACTCTTTACTTTATTAAGACAGTGAAGGAGTGGGACAATTATCTTGTGACGGACTAAAAAGGAAAGTGAGATGAATAATTCAGGACGAAGGGAGTAAATGTAAACAACAGCTCTCAAAGTGTCATACCCTTTCACTGAGCGGCTGAAGACAATAGCATCTGCTCCAAGTCTCATGGTACTCGTTTTAAAACCATTTCCATCTAAAAATCAGACAGTTAGCAATTTGCAATTAATTGAAAAATGACAGGTAATGGCAGGTTACAGGATGCATACATTGTCCAATTGCAGATTTTGACTTCTTATCTGAAAAGCCAAAACTCATACAATGACGCATTGCTTCAGGGTCCATTCCACCGCCATCATCTATGCCCAGTTCAGCAAAGCATACAATTTAATAATTAAAATTCCCTCAAAACCAGAAGATAGTTACATTTAGTATTAACTAAACTGAAAATATATACAATACCTTGAATTAACAAAGCAGGGCTTCCATCCCTTCGATTAATTGTTCTGTCTACTATAACAAATGTGCCCCCATTTTGTATCTAATCGACAATCAAACACAAGAGAATGTGAGATATAGTCATTCATAACCACACGCTTGTTAGATTAATCGTATTGTTTAATTCCTGGTTAGAAGTTAGTTAGTTTAGATTTAAATTTTAAAAATAAAAGGGGCAGTTATGGGTAGTTATTTCTAGAAGTTATAGGTAGTTATTTCTAGAAGTTGTATTAGTTAGTAATAGATGTGTTTATTAGTACCAATAGTTGTGTTGGTTGCTGTCTATAAATACTCCAGGAACATAGAATTCCTGAATGTAGTTCACAATTAAAAAAATCAGAATTTTATTCTGCATTTCATTTGTTCTTCCTATCATTTTTCTAACAACGCTTGACTGGCAAAATTTATTTCTCAAGACGTGAAATGGGTGCATAAAAGTTGACGACACTATGGCCATTCTTGTGAAAACTCCCATCAGAATAAGACGGAAGACTTCATCACTACAGTTACATTTTTGTAGTTTATAGTACCTTGAAGAGTACAGAGATTAGTCTTAACCCCTGTGTGGCTAGAAATCATATCACTAATCCCTAGGGGTATTTTATTTATTTCCAAATATACATTTTTATAAAAACTCTCCTTAAGTTTAGTAAAACTTCCACTATATGTCATGTCTTTAAACATCTCACACTGCCATTCACAGCTTTGGGGGGTCATCACTTAACCAGCATCTCTACTCCCACAAGTAGTGGTAACTAAGAGATTTGTAAGAGTCTCCCATCTGCATGCATCTTACCCACCTCAGACCCTATATTCCAGAACACACATGGTAACTTGGTTTGTCCGGTGTTAGTAGAGAAATTTACTTGGATCATATAAGTCTAAGCAAAGGTTTTCATTTCTAAGTTCTAAGGCCCTCTCCATTCCTCAATTTCAGCAGCCTAGGTAGCTCATTATGTCATTATGTGGCAAATTGCAAAACAACTTAAATAAATGACAATCTAACTCATGAAAGGTCTAATTCAAGAAGTCGGTTCTTTTATCTTTGGGATAGCACAAAGTTAGGAAATAACTTGATTATTTTACTGTATGGTAAAAGAGAAGTTAGAACCTAGACCTTAGTTATTAAAGGCACAATGTGCACCAATGCACCAAGGGGTCTGGAGCCTCGATGTGTGATGCGCCAAAAATGTGTGCACATCACGAACATGAGGCACAAGTTATGGAGTAGTAGCATAGTAGCTCTAAATTTAGTAAATTAGCAACAATACATACATAATTACATATACATGTGTGTGTGTTATTGTGAAAGACATACGCGTAATAAAATTTGAGAAAACAACCAAGAATCAAAGTCACATGCAGTACCATTAACATAAAAAAAACCTGAAGTTCAAAGAACAAAAGCAGCCACTGGCAAAAAAATATGCCACAAACAAACAATTAGTTACGGTCTTGCAAAACATCAAACAATGAAAGCATGTTCTTTAGGGCTTAAACTCTTAATTTCCAGTTTCTTTCAATTCCTTCTAGTTCCTTTCAGTTCCTTCTAATCCCTTCAAGGTCCTTCCAGTTTCTTCCAACTATTCTCATTTTCTTCAAACTCTTTTTACTCACCAACCAATTACTCTAAAAACGTAATATTTTTAATGTGATTATTATTATTATTACAACTATTATATTCATAACTATAGTTTATAATTATTATTTTAATCTCACTATTTTTACGATTCACACTCATTATTATTTTTTCTTCAACTTTTTAATATGAATGAGACAATTTTTTGTATATTAATCTACATGATAAAATAGGAAAACATCAATATTTTAAACTATATTACTACCTCCGTCCCAGAGTATTTGTCCACTTTCATTTTTACACACTATCCAATGCACTTCTTTAATCCATTTTATCTTGTAATTTGTATATTAAAAAATTATAGAAATTATATATTAATAATCTATATGTTAAGACAAATCAAACAAGATCACACATGACTATATTTAGACTTACACATTGAGAGAATTTGATGAGTCAAAGTGCTTAGATGAACAGTTCCAAAAGTCAAAACTGGACGAATACTCCAGGACAGAGGGAGTAAAAATTATGGAAAAAATAATTACATAGAATGTTTTATTAATCTAACTCCAAATAAGACCTCTCACCTTTCTCTTTATTACTCAATTTTTTCTCATTTTTATTTAGTTCAAAATTTAATTTTGTTTTTCATTTTTATGATTTTTATATATAAAAAGATTCAAAGTCAAAATATTTTAGAGAAAATGACTAAAATAGGAGTAAAACATAAAAATATATACAAAAATAAAATTTGTCTTTATTCCAAAAATAGAAGTTACAATAAATATAAAATGTGAATCATAAAAGAAAAAATAGGTTTGATTACATAATGTGACATGTCTGATATTTAAAACAAAATCTTGTAATATATAAAGTATAATTACAAATATATTATTTTATAATAAATACTGCATAAAATAATTTAGGTGCAACATAACCACAATAACTTTTTAAAAATTTAACATTTTGATATTTATTCTAACTTTATATTATAATTATTTTTTTTGGAAATGTAGTTTTTTTGTGTATGAAAAATAATGATACTTTTTTTATCTTAAATACATTCATGAAGATAACATGATGATAATGATGATGATGATGATGATGATGATAATAATAATAATAATACTAATAATAATTTATAACAACAAGAATTAGAATGTGAATAATATAAAAATACACTAAAATAAATTTTTTTAAAGTTTTTTTAGGTTTTCCAATTTTTAAAAGTTTTTCTAGTTCTTTCCAGTTTCTTTCAGATTCTTCCAACATCTAGCTCTTTTTTTCCAGTACTAGAACAGGCTCTGAGTGAAGCCTCAAATGTCATCCTCATCAACAATGTTGAGCCAGTCTCCTCCATCAAAATAGTGTATATGAAGGGAAAGAAATAAAATTAAGTGATAAACAAAAAAGGGGATACGTCATGATTAAAAAATTAAAGAACCCATTTACTTACTAAGCTTAAACGCACCAGCAACAGAGTCAAAATAGAGCCACGTATAAACAGGAAGAAACAAAACCAAAGAGACAAGGAAAAAAGGGGAAGCCTCACGAATAAAAAAATGAAAAAAAAGAAACTGAAATGTGAAGCAAGCAAATAGAGAGTCCCAAAAGAGCAGAAGCAAAATCAATGCGTGGAGGAAACAAAGTTGATCCACGTAGAAGCCCTAGTGATAAAGTGGCAAAAGAAACAAAACCGCAAAGAGAAAGCGAAAGTTTTGGCTAAGTCAACCCTAAAAAAATTATAAATAGAAAAACTTAATCCATGTTCGCGATGCGCGTATTTTATTGCATCCAGACTCATTGCTTATTGCGCCGATGCGCAGGTATGCACTCGCATAACAAACATTGCTTGCATCACCAGGAAGAATGCACAAGAATGCACAGAGCCCTGCGCCTCAGGCGCGTTTTTCACAATTATGACTTGGACACAAAGAGGGTCTGAGCTTATATACCATTAAGCTTGTGTTTGGTTGAACTGTTGAAGAGAAAATTGGAGAGGTGAAAACATGGGGTTTGAAGTGTTTTATTAAATTTGGATGGAGAAGAAAAGAGAAAGGAAAAAATGGAAGGCCCACACAAACATTTTCTCTCCACACATGAGAAGATAATGGCACAGAGAAGCCATTCTATTTTCTTTCTTTTCTTTTTATTTTCCTTTTTCACCATTTCTAACATTTTTTCTTCATTTTATCTCAATTTTCTTCTCATCCAAACAATAATCATTTTCTTTCTTCTCATTTCACTTTTCCCATTCTCTCTCCTCATCCAAACAAAAAATAAGAGTTCTAACATAGTGCTGAGACAGGTTATAGAGTAAATTTATTACTCTGTATTCAAGAATAGTGAAGACCAGTTCATTAAAAACACATAATTGCAAAGTATTACACTAGATGTCCACCCCGTTACAACTTTTACGAAGTAAATATTGAGATAAAAATATCCAAACATGAACATCATTACTTTTTTAACATTTGCAATCTGGCAGGAAAAATATCATGAAGTGGCAATGAATTGAGATTGTTGCTATTATTTGTCTTGATGTCCAATTACAGGATTGATATTGTAAAACCAACTTGTATATCATGGAGCATCACCTAATTTTATTCTTTTTTATCACGTATGAAAATTCTTTCCTTTATACAACATCAACCATTCCATACGCCCAATTAGGCGTCCACAAACCCTCGCCCAGACGCCTATGCGTCGCCTAGGCGACGCCTTGATAACTATGGTTGTATGTTTCACGGATGCACTTTCAGCATTATTTGCTGCTCAATGACTTTAAGTTATGGATGATTTTTTTGTAATCCCTTAAGATAAATGCACGCAAATCCCTAATCTTTCAAATGTTACTCCTAAACTCCACATCTTCAAAAGCATATTTTTATAAATTATATGCTAAGAGATTAGTGAAACTCATTCCTACCAAGTCCTTGTGAATCGCATAGTTCATGTTACTCTTGGTTAGACTAATAGGCAGCTTCCACAGTAAGGGCTCATTTGATTCAGAGTTCAAAGAAGACAATTGGGGAGAAAGTTAAGCGCAACTTTCTTAAATATCAGTTCTATAAAATTGGCATGATCCCATTTTAATGTTTTATGTTTTTTTAATTGTAAATGAAAAGCACTGCCTCAATTTTATTCATGAACTGACAGCTAGGGTGTGTGAGTAATTTCTAAACAGCAGTAGTTTAAACCTAGTTTTCTAAAATCCTAGAGGAGTAACAATACAGAGCAACATGCAGAAGCTGACCTCATCGATGGAATTGTCCAGCAGCTCTGCTATAGCTGCAAACATGAGAAAAGAAGTGGAAATGGCATCATGTGCTCCATTATAAAAATAAAATACGGAGTATATGTGTACTTCTGGCAGAAAACTTGCATACCACCAAATGCCCATTTGTGTGATGTAGCATTTGAATGTAAAAACTTTGGATGCACATGTAAGTGATTGGAACCATCTGCAACCAAAATAGAACTAGCTGGGTAACATGTGAATAGATAAACAAGTGAATACATGATTACTTTATGGGTATGTAATTGGAGTCAACTGGCTGATCAGCCAAACTAAGGAGATCTAAGTAGCCTATGTCATGTATCCAGTTTAAAAAACAAGAAATCATACAATTTGAATTTTTCAAGTTCGGCTATACAGTAGAAACCAAGAACAACAGCAACAACAACAACAAACCCAGTAAATTCGCACAAAAGTAGGGTCTGTGTAGATGCGACTATGTAGACCTTACTCCTACTCAAAAGTAGAGAGATACAGTAGAAACCTTCTATCAATAATATAACTACAGAAGCAGTCATTAAAAGATAATTTTAAAAACCATAAAACTAAAGATAGTGAGCTTTAACCCCTAAGAGAAATTGAAATATGATACTCCTATATTTTTTTCAGAGAAAGAAATGATCATGATTTTGAAGATGGTTTACTTTTATGGGTGGGCTTAGAAGCAAGTCCCCCGTCATAGTTTCCAGCTTTCCAAAACTGCCGAACAAGAGGTGCTGGACATATGGGAGAGATGGAGCAGAGACCAGAGTCATCTACAGCAGACTGCTCTTCAGCACATTCGCTTCTAAAATCCGGTGGTCTATGCATAGCACTGGATGCTTGGTTCTCTCCAGAATTCAATTTAGACAGCATTACATCACTTTTAACATATTCCTTCTGTGATATTGGCCTTCCAAAACAATTGGGCTCGAGTTTAACAGATCTTGTATGCCCTCTGAGATCTCCATCTCTACATGAGTCAACAATATTTGTTGAACTCATCATAGTGACTGAAAAAGAATTAAATAAAGAAAAATAAGTAGCAAATTCCACCCAAATTAGTTGTGATTGGTTACTAATAGTTCAAAAAGAAAAGGACCAAACATGATTTAAGAAGAGGATAGAAACAGAGCAACAAACAGCAAAATCAATCTAATAGTTTAATAAAAGTATTAGGGTTTTAAAAGAAATAAACAAAATCAGAATTGTTGCAAATCAATTTAGATTGGTGAGTCGGGAGCTCTACCATTTACCCTCCATCCAAACAAAAGCATGCTCTAAAAGTTAATTTCTTGCATATGGAAAAAAATTAGTGGATTTAGGCCTTAATTGGAGATTATTGAATAAGAACACCTAAATATACCATGTTTTAGAGGCCTCTTTCTCTTGTTATTTCTCTTGTTCGTGCTTAGATTATACTTACAACCTATACCCTTGAGCAATCTCTTGTTACTATTGGTCCAGCCATCCATGACACTGAACATTCCAATCAGTTTTTTTGAGTAAAAAACGGGGCAACTAAGAGTCATCCTATCCAATGGTTCAGAACTCATAATATTCTTCTGTCGAAAACTCGTGGTTCAGATTTTAAAAAAAAAGTTGAAATCTACAAGTAAGAACGAACAGCTGTATGAAAATTGTATAGTTCATAGTTAACCATCAATTTGCACATTCTATTTACTCATCAACACTATGATGCACATACGCTTCGATTCACTCTGATACTTGCTCTATAAGAACCACTTGAAATGAACTTTATCATTTTATTCCAAAAGAGAACCACTTGAAATGAACTTTATCATTTTATTCCGAAAGAGAACCACTTGAAATGAACTTTATCATTTTATTCCGAATGAGAACCACTTGAAATGAACTTTATCATTTTTTTCCAAATGAGAACCACTTGAAATGAACTTTATCATTGTATTCCGTACACGTATACCCATTAAAACAGAGCAAAACTCACCAAAGCAATGAAGAGTGTATGGTCAACACTCAGCACAAGCCGCCGACTATGGAGAAGCATAGACAACCAAACCTGCAGAGAAATGGCTATGCAGACACTCCAAGTGGAGTTTAGCTTTCCGGATAGCCTCGGACACGGCCGGGAAAAGGAGAAGATAGCACGGGCGGTGCTTGAAGACAAATGTGCTGAGTTTATGGTGGAAAAATCTCAGGCGGCCGGAATTTTTATTCCGATGAAGTGTCCGGCGGCGATGGTGGGCTGCGGGATGCTTTTTCCGAGCAGGCGTTGGGAGGGATAGAAGGGATGCTAGAAGAAGGAAGCTTCACAGAATCACAGTCTGTGAAGGTGGTAGTCAGAGTCTCTCAGATCCGTTTGGTAGGGGAGATTGTTTTCATCATAGCTTTTCCATTTGGGGCTAGGGTTCTACTCCCTACCCTAAGAGCATCTCAAAAAATAATATTCTCTCTACAAATAATTTTTCTACTTTCCTTTTTCATCCCTTTAATATTAACATTTTTATTTCTTTTTTTAGAATAACTTTTTACACTAAAAGGACTAAACTACCCTCACCCACTCATATTTCTTCTTTTCTTTTTCTTTCTCTTTTTCCTTCTTTTATGGTCCACGAGCATTTGATATGATCTCTTTTTTTGTTTTTCTGCTTTATTTTCTTTCTTCTTCTTCATATTTCTTTCTTTCTTCTTCATATTTCTTTCTTCTTCTTCTTCTTCTTCTTCTTCTTCTTCTTCTTCTTCTTCTTCTTCTTCTTCTTCTTCTTCTTTGGTGACAACAATTTGTATGTTCCTAATGAAATTGATGACATTTGATGCCGCATCTTTTCCCTCCTATGTCGAATCGATCATCATAGCTTTGAATCTCATAGAAAAGAGAGCTTCTTTCCTTTGTTTCATCATCTTCTCAATGTTACAATACATATTTAATAAGAAATATTAAAAATGAACTTCTCCAAATCAATCATCTCACAATGGCAATCCCCACTTCTCCTTAAGATGTTTCACATAATTTATATGCCACTCTCTTATTTTCTCATCTAGAATCGACATTGGATCCTTCATTATCACCTTCATATCAGTCTTATACTCGCTGGCTTTGCGTTTATTTTCAAGTGCTTCAATTTTTTCACGTTGTGCTTTCATTTTGCCTCATGAATTTGCACTTGCTTCTCTTGATAATCTTTAATTGCAACCGCCATTTCTGAAAGTGGAGCCAAACTTGCTACATCGAAAGATAATTTAGTAACCACAGATGATGAAGGTGCTTTACCTTTTTGTTTAGTGGCCTTGATTCCTTCAGGTCGAGCTGGGGATTGGGCTTCATCAGCTTCTTTTTGTTGGGTGCCTTCTCCATTTGAAGATGACGAATATGCTCCTTCTACATTTATTTTACTTCTTTTGTTGACACCACTGGTGGAATTTGTTTGTTGGCGCCATGCTCTCCATTTTGGTTGGTCACGAAGCAACCTTTCCCAGTGCTTTTTGTTTTTTGTACTGTTTACTAAGGCGACCCTTAAACTTGGATTCAGAAATTTGACATGCATAATTGTCAATATCCACCTCATTCCAACCACTTTGTGCATTTCGTTGTGCTTCCCCATAGCAAGAACCCCATGCATTAGCCGATGAACTAATCAGCTCAAACCGTTTACGTAGCGCTTCGGTCGTGTGAGATGACAAGTGTGGCATAGTTTCAATCACATATGCTCTGATTCTACTCCAAAATGTAACACGAGTTTGGTTCGTGTTTGTGACAAGATCAAGGGAAGTATTCAACCATGCACTAAACAAACATGAATCTTCTTCCCATGTCCAATTCTTCTTTTTTCTACTACTTTTCTCCACTTGACTTTGGTCATGGATTTCAGCTTCATTAATACTCTCCCCAATCTTGGGAGAGTGTGAAGGAGGACTACCCATGGGGTGTGGCATAGGTTTTTGCGAGAATTGAAAAAGATTATTGTAGGGATGCATGGGCATTGGGGAATATGATTGTAAATAGTTTGGATTCGTCGGTAATTGAGTGCAGAAATTTAGATTGGTAGGAATTTGTTGGGGTAAATTAGGATTTTGGTTTGGATAATTGTGTTGGAACCATTGGATGAAATCGGATTCATTTCGATCCATTCTACACAAAAAAAAGTGAAAGTACATAATAGTAGATAGAAGAATATGTAGAAGAAGAAGAAGAAGCAATGAAGTCAATTTTGATAGTGCACATAAATTATGATTGCTGAATTCTTTTTACACCACGGTTCCCATGACATTGGAAATCAATGTCATGGGATGACCCGATGTCTCTACGGTGCTCCGTTCGAAAAATTGATTGTTCCTACCCCCTATAAACCCCTCCAACTCGGCCCGACCCGAACCAATCCATCCTCCCCCGTCAATTGCACCCCACAAGATGTAGTTGACTTTGGAGTCAAATTTTGACTCCAAAGTCAACTACATTTTGTGAGGTGCAATTGACGGGGGAGGAGGGGTTGGTTCAGGTCGGGCCGAGTTGGGGGGGTTTATAGGGGGGGTTAGAAGGGGTAGGAATAATCAATTTTCGAACGGAGCTCCGTAGGGACTTCAAACGGAGCTAATGTCATAGGATGACATTAGGGGTTAATGTCACTAGAACCTTGCCCTTCTTTTTATAGAGGAAAAATAGTAAAGTAATTTCAACACAACAATGTGAAGATCAATGATAGCCCTACAAAAAAAAAGATGATAGTTCACATCATACTTAATTTTTTTTGACTAAAACAATACCATGTGAAATTATAAACTTTTTGTAGTAAATTTCACATCATACTTTTGTAAAAAAAAGTTGATATTTCACATCATACTTATTTTTTTGACTAAGACAATACCCATGTGAAATTTTAAACTTTTTTGTAATAAATTTCACATCATAATTTTGCAAAAGAAAAATATTTAATTATGGTAAATATTTAGAAGAAAAATAAAGAAAGAGTAGGTGTTTAAAAAGAAAGAAAGAAAAGTACTCCCTCCGTCCCTAAATTGATTACAATTTTTTTTTCTCTCCTCTCGATAACTTTTGTTTGTTTACGCGATTTCATTAAGTATTTGATAAAATAAAATATTATTGTCACCTCTTATTTTGTAGAACTTTTGACGTAGTTTTTTTATAGATAATTTTTATATTTTATTGATATACCAATTTGTAAATAAAATGATTTTAAAAAGTAGGAAATTTTACTCCGTAACCCGCAAATTGTAATCAAATTGAGGACAGAGGGATTATGTTTTTTCAAAAGTAAAAGGGAAAGGCGATTGCTTTTTTCTCTTCAAATTAATTCAAACCATTCATTTTTTTTTTGGTTCAATTCCACCGGAAAAAAACTTTTTCTACAGCCCAATATTATTACTCCGTATAGAAAAAGAAAAGGAAAAGAAAAAGTGACACATGTCATGTAGGGATTGGCCATTTCCTATCTCACTTCCTTCTACTCCGCGGTGGAGTAGTAGTAAGAGCATTGGCAGGGGCGAATAAAAAAACTGCCTCGCCCTGCAACGAGAGGAGAGCCGCTTTTTGTAGCGGCGTGGGAAGAGAGAGGAGGAGTTTCCATGCGTGTCTGCTTTGCGAGGCACCCTGCTTTGCGAGTCATCCGCGAGGCAATTCCAAAGCCCTCCGCCACCGTTAGATCTGCAACCCCAGATCTGCAACCCTAGATCTGCCCCTCCGCCATCGGCGATCTCCAATTTTGCCGTGACTTGCCATTGCAAACCATGGAATGCTACACTCTTTGCACGCTTGATTTGATTGGTTGGAAGGTAACACGTCATCCCATGACATTCCATTACAATACTCGCCATTGTCAATGCTCTAACTAGTAAGGGGCTGTTTGACAACTTCTGAATGGGTAAGTGCTGAACCAGTAAGAGGTCTGAACCATTAAGTGCCGAACCAGTATCTCCAGACTTGGTAATTCTCGATCATATAACAAATTGATAAGTCTCCATTTACAGACTAGTTAAGTCTATTCTCGAGAATTGGTAAGTCTGAGACATATTATGAATTGGTAAGTCTCGGTTTAGAGAATTGGTAAGTCTGTAGACTTGGTAATTCTCTGACTTTGTTTGTCAGACTTGGTAATTCACGAGAATCATTCGGACATCTGAATCGAAACAAACAGCCCACTCCTTTTTCTTCTGGAAATTCGGGAGGAGAAAAGCCCTCGTTTAACCTCTACAACTCCTCCTTCGCCTGAGTAATCGCGGAAAATGTCGAACCTTCCCTCTGACCTCCGCCGGGAAATACTCCTCTGCCTTCCGGCGGACTCACTTTTCCGCTCCAGGAGCGTCTGCAAGGACTGGAAGCGAGCAATAGACGATCCATCGTTCATCAGAGACCACATGAAGAACCAAATCAGGTCAAATACCGTTCTCATCTCGATTTGTTATGGAGGACTTTGTCGATTTGGTGGTGATGACTGCGTTGAGGATGATGGCAGCACTGGGCATAGAGAATGGAGACATGCCAGCACTTACTCAAGCAGGTCCAAGCTCTCTCTAAGAGTTCTCCCCCATGGCAAGATTTCAATAGTTTGAGTTCTGCAGTTCTCCTCTGCTCTGATCCATCATCTCCTCTGCTACTCTGGTGACTACATTGCTGGATTGCCATCTCATCGATTGTTGATTCTCTAGACTTCTGCTGCAAAAGTAGTTTGAATTCTGCAATTCTCCTCTGCACTGATCCATCATCGATTATTGATTATTTTCCATTCAAAACTGGTATATTTTAAACTCAAGTTAAATAAAAATGATACGGAGTATTAGATATTGATACAAAAGTAGTTTTATTAGATTTACAATATAAAATATTTTTAAAATATCATTTTATCTAATTAATATTCAATACATATTTTATTTAATTATAGGTCAAAGTATGAAAACATTTTATCGAAAAATATCGACAAATACTAATGGGATGGAGATAGTATGATTTTCTTGGTTACATTATTAATTTTGGTGGTTGATGCTCGTTAACAACAAAGCCGCAAAATATTTGCATAAATCACGTCGTATGATAAACGAGGGAGTGTGAATCATAGCTCTCATACCATAATAAAAAATTGAAATAGTTGTATTACACACAAAATAATGAAATACGTGGTAGAGTATATACAAAAAAATAACAAACACAACTAAGAATAGAAAACCAATAAAAACAAACTAACAAAAACACAAAGTCTGCCATAACTCATAAGTAATATTGAATACTCTATGTTATTATTTCCTAACAAACATGTTATTGTCAATTACTTACTCCAATCCTTGTTAGGGAACGTGGTTTAGGAAGTGAACAACTGAACATGGCCAAGTTTTTTTTTACATCCATTGAGATTATGTTAGTACAATTTACATATTAAAAATTCTTATTTCTCACTTTGAATTGGACTATATTAAAAAGGTTATGTTAAAAAATAAAAATATTACATTTGAAATAAATTTTAGTAATAAAGTTAGAGTAATTTTAAGTATAAGAAAAAAATTAAAAATTATATTATAATATTATATTAAACAATTTTAAAAAAAGCGAGGACTGAAGACTGGACCAAAAAGGAACTGGTCCAGCTTGTCCGGGTTTCGGGTCGGTCCGGCTGTCCGGGCCCGAACCAAATAATGCACACCCTTTTATTCACCTCTCAACTCTTATTTTGGCATTGTGAATTGTGTATTTTTAGGGGACGATCCATAGGATGTGCAATATGTACACCCGCATAGGCCTCCCCACTTTTCATTGGTCCAATATGTTTAGGCTCTGTTCCGTTCAACTTATTTTTTCTGATCTGATCTGATTTTTTGTAGTTCTGATCTGATCTGATATGGTCTGATCTGATTTGATTGGATTTGATCGAATCTGATCTGATTGGATCTGATCTGATCTGATCTGATTGCATCTGATCTGATCTGGTCTGATCTAATTGGATCTGATCTAATCAATTATGAGTTGATTTAAAATTCAAATCAATAATTTAATTTGAGTTTATAATAATGTTTGGAAATTGTAATGATAATTCATATTATAATATAATTAATATTTTTTATTTTATATTAATAGAATAAAATTAGTTAATTTATATATTAGAATAATCATTCATATTTTAATGTTATAATATTTTTTATTTTATGATTATTGTTTGTGAAATAAGAATATTGATTTAATATTTTAATAATTAGTTCATACAATCATACATACATTAGAATGAATATTTAATTTATATATATTCAATATAGAGAAGAGATAGTATTTTTATTAAAATATCTCATCCTTATAAAAGATCAAAACTTTAGAAACGCAAATTAAAGGTAGCAATAAAAATGTATTTTAAAAGTAGAATTAGATTGACATTGTAAATGTATTTTGAAAATATTTTTTTGACATCTACTCCGTAATAATTAAGGATTAATTTCTCAGTTTTCTATTTAACTTGTTTCTAAAGTTTATTCTTTTTCATTTTTAAGAAGAAGAAGAAGAAGAAGAAGAAGAAGAAGAAGAATAAAAATAATAATAATAATAATAATAATAATAATAATAAGAACAACAACAACAACAACAACAACAACAACAATAATAATAATAATAATAATAATAATAATAATAATAATAATAATAATTCTTTATGGGATCTGATCTGGTCTGATTGGATCTGATATGATCATGATTTTTTCTGATCTGATTTGATTTAATCTGATCTGATCTGATCTGATTTTAATAAGAATAAGAAATAATAAGAAAAAATAAGTTGAACGGAACAGTGCCTTAGACATGTTTGTTTTAAATATTAAATTTTTAAAACTTTTTTCATATGTATAAATATATTTTTTAGGGCTTGGTTCGCTTGACATTAGAAACTAATGTCATGGGATGACCCAATGGTGCTCTGGTGCCCCATTTATAAAATTGACGATTCCTACACCCCCTAACCCCTGGTAAACCTCCCCTCCCAGCCCCGACCCGAACACACCCCTCACCTCATTCAATTCCACCCCCAAGTTAATTTTGACTTTGGAGTCAAAATTTACTCCAAAGTCAAAATTAACTTGGGGGTGCAATTGAAGGGGGTGGGGAGGTGTGTGTTTGGGTCGGGGCGGGGTGAGAAGTTAGGGGGCGTAAGAACCACCAATTTTACGAATGGAGCCTTGGAGCATCCCGGGTCATCCCATGACATTGATTTCCAATGTCATGGAAACCAAACCCTTTTTTTTAATAGTTAAAGTTTTGCTTAATTGAACATGAAAAATCAAAATTAGCATCAATTTAAAAATCAAGTACTCCACTTAGAGCTGGCAAATCGGTCGATCAGGTCGAGTTCGGGTTCGGTCACTTCGAGTTCAGGTTACTTTGGGTTCAGGTCAATTCGGGTTCGAGTTGAGATCTGTATATTCATGACTCAGTGTCATCGGGTTTGGATCGACCCAACGAGTTATGACTTTAGTTTTAAAATATTTAAATTTACATTGACACTTGCGTTTTGTATTGAATAAAATTAAAACATCAAAAAACATGCATTAGATCTATTAAATTATTTGTATTGAATAAAATTAAAACATCAAAAAACATGCATTTGATCTATTAAATTATTTTATTTTAAAACATATATATTTTCACACGCCTTTTTTTTTCTTTTCTAATTTCATGACCGATTCTATGCATATTGCACCCAACAAAGTTGAAAGATTGGATTATTTCATCTACCTTTCCTCATACACTTTTGTTCTTAGAAACAATTTCACACTTATATTTTTTTGGAATGTCTAATATAATAACCAACTTTTACATTTCTCTACTTTCTTTGTTAGGAAACAACATGTAGAAATGTGAAATTGTGAGAGATCTTTAGTCACATAAAGGCTCCTTGACTAGAAGATCCATCTTCTCATGAAGAAACTCAAGAACATCTTTCCTATCTTCCTTCAAAAGCAAATGTCTCAACTTCCCAAACGTCTCCCTATCGGGTCGCATTCCTTTGTCGATCATCTCCTCCATCAGCTTACACGCCCTTCGCGTGTCCCCATCATCGCACATCCCGTTGATGAGCACGGAGAACGTGTGCATCCCGGGAACAAATTGGTTCGCCTTCATATACTTCCATATCTTGCGCGCGGTTCGAATCTCCTTCCTCGCGCAGAACATTTTTATCACCATGGTATAGGTGTCCGCGTCCGCGTCGCAAATCTTGACCATCTTCCGGAACACTCTGAAAGCCTCGTCGGTCTCGCCCTCGCTGATCAAACCGCTCAGTATGACATTACAAGTCCTAGAGTTTGGGGGCACCCCTACACGGTCCATCTCGGCTAGGACCTTATAAGCGTTTTTGTACCTCTTCACTTTACAAAAAGCGCCGATTAGGGAATTGTAGACGGCCACGTCGGGGTGGAGCCCGCTTTTTTGCATTTCGCGAAACGCGTCGATCGCGTCTTCGATTCGGTTGTATATGCCGTATGTATGGATTAGGACACTATAAATAAAGGAAGTTGGCTTGCATCCACCCAACTCCATCTCATTGACAATGCCAACTGCTTCGTCGACCCTACCGGCCTTGCAGAGGATATCGACCATGATACCGTAGGTCACTGTATCGGGAGCGCAAATCTCCTTGTAAATCTCTCTCGCCTTTGGAAGATTTGGCTCCCGTCCCCACCCCTCGAGCAATATGCTATACGTTTTCACGTTGGGGGCAAATCGGTCTTTCATTCCGTCGAAGATTTCTTGGGCTTTCCTCACGTTTTTTGATTTGCAAAGGGCACTCAAAAGTCCGTTAAAAGCGGAGAGATTGGGAGGAACGTCGTATTTCTTCATGACATTGAACGTGTACACCGCCTCCTCGACCTTCTTTGCTCGGGCATACTTCCTCATGATTATACAAAATGTCTCGACGTTTAGCAAACCCTTTCCTTTCATGACGTTCACGAGATCCCACATGACTTGGTATTGTCTTATCTTGGCGAGGGATTCGATCATGGCGTGGTAAGCTTTGACACTGTGATCATAGTGTCGTTGTCTGCCTGCCCATTCGAAGAACCGGTGGGCCAACATTCCGGCATTCTCAAATCTCTTGATCACTTCTTCCACTAGCTCTTTCGATGGCCTAATCCCGCTCTGGTCCAGCTCGGTGTCGAGACCTGATTTGGGGCAAGACATCAAAATGTCGCAAACCTTTTTCATGGGATCAAACATAGGTTGCGTCGTGTCTTTTGAACAGTACATTCTGGTGACTGACACCATCTGTATCAGACGCGGTCTGTTGGGGCAGTAGCATAATGTGATCATTTTGTGAAAGAAAAATCAGCATGCCAATGTGTGCCTGGTGAATGTGGAAATGGTCATTAATCAGCATTCTTAAACATGACAGCGTTTATATTCTTACGCATGATAATCTATGCCCAGTTCAGCAAACCATACAATTTTTTTTTGAATGCTATTGACTCTATTACAAGGTAGTATCTGTTCATACTATTCTCAAGCTAATGACGCACAAAGAGCCAATGCTACTGCCTTCGCTGGGGCTCGAACCTGGGTGAACTTCCCCATGAAAATATATAGAATTTATTTTAGGGGTAACTAAAAGATATGTAAGAGTCTCCCATCGGCATGCGTCTTACCCTCCTTAGACCGTATGAACACACAGGGTAATTTGGTTTGCTTTGGTTTCAGAAGAGAAGTATACTTGGATCATAAAAGTCTAAGCAAAGGTTTTCACTTCTAAGTTCTAAGGCCCTCTCCGTTCCTCAATTTCTGCAGCCTAAGTGGCTCATTATGTTGCAATTTGCAAAACAATTTAAATAAATGACAATCTAACCTATTAAAGAACAAATTCAAGGTATCAGTTCTTTCGTTTCTGGGATAGCAAAAAGTTAGGAAATAACTTGATTATTTTAGTGTAGGGTAAAAAAAAGTTGGAACCTGGACAAAAAGAGGGTTTGAGTTTATAAAATCAGTGTGCCTCTAGGCCCTCAACTGGTCATTATCAAGGCGCCTCTCTTTCTTAACACTAAAAGCCATGACATGTCCAACGTTAAACTGTATTTAGATTTTAAGGCAGCTTATTGACTATGGTCTTATATCATTAAGTTTGTGTTTGGTTGAAGAGAAAATGAAGAGAGAAAATTGGAGAGGAGAAAACACGGGGTTCAAAGTGTTTTAGCTTGTTTGGATGGAGAACAGAAGGGAGAGAAGAAAAAATGTGGTGGGTACACACAAACATTTTCTCTCCACACATGAGAAGATAATGGCACGGAGAAGCCATTCTATTTTCTTTCTTTTCTTTGCTTTTTACCTTTTTCACCATTTCTCCACATGTCCTCTTTATTTTCACTCCATTTTTTCTACTCATCCAAACAATACTCATTCTCTCATTTTCTCTTCTCATCAAAACAAAGCATAAGATTTCAAACTTCACATGAATAAATCAGATACTATGAGGGTGTTTGAGAGTGATTAACTTGTGAATAAAGTGATTTTTATAAAAGCTGAAAACATAAGCACTTTATATCTACTTCTCCTAAATAGTGTTTTGTGTGCAAAATGGTGATTAAAAAAATCAAAGTTTACATGCCAAACATAGTAAAACAACTACCCCCCAAAGCAGAAGCTAATTTTTTTAAAGCAACGCATTGCCAAACACCCTCTATATCATCATCACCGCAACACCTTAAGACTAACAATCTTGGTGTCAATAAAATGGCAGTTATAGAGTAAATTTATTATTCAAGAATAGTGAAGACTAGTTCATAAAGAAGCACATAATTGCAAAGTATTAAAACAGAGTTCCACCCTGTTACAACTTTTAGGAAGTAAATAATGAGATAAAATTATATTATCATCGTTACTTTTTTAACACTTGAAAGAAAAATATCATGAGGTGGTAATGGATTGCGATTGTTGCTATTATTTGATTCGACTCAACATTAGTTGCTACTCGATGAATTTAAATTATTGATGATTTTTTCTAATCCCTTAAGAAAGATGAACGCACGTCACCATAAATGAAACCGTTTTCTGATTCGTCATTGAACCCAAATGGTTATCATCAACTAATGTTTTATTCTCTTCTTTTCCTTCAGATTCTCAAAAAGTTCACATAAAGTAAGAAGCAAAAGAAGTTCAATGCTCCCTTCTGAAACACATTATGTACACTGAACTTCATATTGTTTCTCTATACTCGGGCCTTAATTTTCCAATTTATTCTCGGACCTTAATTTTGAAACGGAGGAAGAAACTATTAATCTATTGTGATGATTGCTAGAATTAGGGTATCCATTTGCATATCAATTTCTATGCAATGAAGATTGTGATTTTTACAAGTACTGAGTACCGTATAGGTTTGCTCGTATTGGCATTTCATCGAACATCTAGAGGCCTGGATCAGTGAGAAACAAACGGGCATGAACTTAACTTAAGACGTCTCCATTAAAGAAGAATTACTGACCTTGACCGGACTGTGGTTGGATTTAGACAGCTGGAGAATTCACTGTGCTGGTGGATGATGGTGGAAGATGGAGATTGAGCTCTTCTCCACAGGTTTCTTCTCTACGGAAGATTTGAGGAGTGAGAGTGTCTAAGAGGTTTTTTTTAGAGCCATACTATATTAATGCCACTTTAATCCAAATAATAATACTCCGTACTAATAATATTAATAATAATAATAATAATTTATAATAACAAGAATTAAAATGAGAATAATATAAAAAAATACAGAGTACCAAAAAAAATTAAATTTTTTTAGATTTTTTAATTTTTTTAGTTTCTATTAATTTTTTCTAATTCTTTCCATTTTTTTAGTTTCTTACTATCTTTTTTTAATTCTTTCCATTTTTTTAATTTCTTACTTTCTTTCAGTTGTAGTTTTTTCCAGTTTTTTATAACATCTAATTCTTTTTTTGTGTTCTAAAGAACAGATTCTTTGTTGATATATTCCGTATTATTTTATTATATTGTGTGATTATAAATTGTTCGAGAATAATCCTATAGGAAAAAAATCATTGTAAAAAAATTATTTTGACTCGAATGAAAAAAGATTTTTTTTGGGGATAGGGGGGAATATGGCCACCACCTATATACGGACGGTTAAGGGAGTATATAAACAGAGCGGCGCAGATGGGATCGCCGCTGAGTACGAACAAGATGGCGAGTAACGAAGCGGCGGAGAAGGCTCTTGCCAAAGCCCAGGAGATCGTTTCCTCTCACCCCGTCGTCGTCTTCAGGTCAAACTCTTCTTCTTCTTCTTCTTCCCTCAGTTCCTTCCAAATTTACAGATCCTCTTGCTTTCCGTGATTGTCTGATTTCATATTTTTTTTTTATATATTGTGGAGTTTTGTTTGAGATCATGTCTTATTTCAGATTCAAATTTTGATGTTTTAGCTGTACATGCTTGATGATCCGGTTTGATTTTGTGAGCCGTGCAACATATTCAAGTTCAAATCTTCAATCATAGATTTAGTGTTTTTTTATAAATACGGAGTAAGAATATCATGCTATGCATCTTGAGTTTCCGAGCGAAATGAAGAAGGGGAAAGTATTAAGAAGAGCAACCCATTTATTATTTGGCCTTGATCATTGCTCCCTATGTCCAAAGTATCCGACTAGTTTGATTTTTTCCCAAAATTTAATCATTAATTACATGAAAATTGTATTGCATATGCATAGTAATGTGTCATAGTAATTTTTTGGAAGTTTCATCTAAGATAGATCTAGGGAAATCAATTTTTTCAAGTATGTTCAATTTTTATTTAGTTAATGATCAAAATTCGTCAAGATTGACTCGAAACATTCAAGCTTGACAAATATTCTAGGACGGAGGTAGTACCAAAATCTAAATGCTTTTCCAAGATAAAGGTTAAAGTTATCTATTTATTTTTGTAAAAGAGTTTCAATTTGGTTATTTAGTTTCATAATTGACCAAGACTTTTACTCAACATTGGCCTACATTTGACAAGCGTACATCTTTCTCTAAATAATAAAATAAAGATAAACACATGAATATTTAAAGATTTTTATTCAACCTAAAGTTCAAAGTCAAGATTTGACATTATTTAAAGAATTGAGACCCGGTCTACAACTAAATGAGGATATGATTTTATAGAAGAAGATCTGGAGATATCGGACTTGAGCAATTGATACTATAGTAGTTAGGAAGACCTTTGGTCCTTTGTTTGTACTTTATGCTGGTACGTTTTCCCCTTAGTTTGTAGCCCATGCATGTGTGCCTTTTATGCTCGGGTCTCGTTGTTAGTGTTTCTTGTCTATGTGCTCTTAATTTGTTTGTCCTACTGTATTTACTTTGACTATGCTACTATGTTTGAGGCTTTGAGTCGGGGTCTCTTGGAAATAACCTCTCTACTCCCAAGTAGGGGTAAAATCTGCATTCACGGCTACACACTCTCCTCAAACCTTACTCTTATGGAATTTTAACGACTTTGTTGTTCTCACGTTGTAAAATTGCTATTCCACAGTGCACACAATGGAATTCTAGATACTTGCATCCAGCATCTCATTAGAACAAAATTGAATGATTGATCATAATAATGCTGATATGAATTATTTTTGCTCGCTTCTTATACGCAGCAAGACATATTGTGGATTTTGCAAGACAGTGAAGAAGCTTCTTTCTGATCTTGGTGCTGCTCAAGAAGTCATTGAACTTGATGAAGAAAGTATGCCCTTTGCTCCAATCCTCTTATAATTTCACTAATGTTTTTGGGCTCTTCCTCTAGCCTTGGTCGGAACAGACCATTATGCTGTGTATGTTAAAAAGTCCTACTTCGAACAACAAGATTAGAGACGATTAGTGTATAAGAATATGAGTTCTTAATCCCATTGTCAATTGGTTTTGGAATGAAATCTCACAATTTTACATGATAACATAGTCAATGCTTAGGAGCTCACAAGACTGTATTAAGTGGCACTTGAGGGGATGTTTATGATATAAACAAGTAAACAACTCAAGCTAGAAACAACTAATATATAAGTATATGAGTTCCCTTTCATTGACAATTGGTTTTGAGATAGAATCTTACAATTGTACATGGTAACAAAAACAAGATTTAGGAGCTCAAAAAATCGTGAGCCAATGCTTAACAACTCAAAGAAGAAGCACATGTTTATTCAAGCAAGGGACTACTTTGAGACAAAAACACCCAAGTTGCACATGAGGAGGGTGTTGAGGTTATAATGTACCACATCGAGTACTGAGGCCAGAAACGACTAATATATAAGAACATGAGTTTTTTCTCTCATTGTCAATTAGTTTTGGGATGAACAACAACATTACCCCAGTTCCTCAAAGGCTCCTGCCCATTGTGGCAATAGGGGGGGGGGGGATGTACGCATCCTGAACCATGTGTTTAAAACATAGAGCAACCGTTTCCAGATGACCCATGGCGAGCGTCAAAAGTTGCATTGACTAACTGCTACTTCACCATAAATAGAAACGCATACCGTTTAATGAATCATTTTTCTCTATTCCATTTTACCCAAAGCCAAAAAATAGTGAATCTTTGGTTCCATCGGAGATGAAGGAAAAATGTTTTGGGATGAAATTTTATAATATTGCATGCTAACAAAATTAAGACCTAGGAGCTCAAAAAACTAACTTGATTAAAAAGACTCAATTTGCACTTATAGGGATGTTGAGGATATAAAGTATTACATCGAATACCTAGGTTTGAAACGACTAATATATAAGACTATGAGTTCCTCATCCTTCTGCCAATTTGTGTCAAAATGAAATCTTATAAATTTTCTATTTGTTTGAAGGTGATGGGGCTGCTATTCAGGATGCACTACATGCATGGACTAAGCAGAGGAGTGTGCCGAATGTTTTTATTGGAGGGAAGCATGTCGGCGGCTGTGATGGTACGCTCCTTAATCCTTATCCTTTTAGGTTTTCCTCCCTCTTGCTTGTTTTCATTAACAAAATACTGCACTTTGTTCATAAATACTCCCTCTGTCCCCAATGAATTACATTGTTTGACTTCTGTAGTTTAAGAAGTGTGTGGATAGTATTTGTGTACAGGAGAGAAAATTGTGGGCAGTCACTTGTTTTCTTTTTAAGGAAAGAAAAGTAGTGGGTAATTTATATTGAAACAGAAAATGAAAGTGCATAATGGCCTAACTTTGGAGAAAAGGAAAGTGCATAATTCATTAAGGGACAGAGGGAGTACAAAATTAGGGCCGGTTTTGAGAGTCCACCCGCACACAGCCCTCTAAATTTGAATGGCCTAACTTTTTTAAGATTTTAAAATTGATTTTCACATATTTTAAAATGATTTTTCATAGATTACTTTTTAAAAGAATGATTTTTCATATATTAAAAAAATAGATATACTAATATAGTGAGTACAAAATTAGGGCCGGTTTTGAGAGCCTACCCGCACAGAACCCTCTAATTTTGAATGGCCTAACTTTTATAAGATTTTAAAATTGATTTTCACATATTCTAAAATGATTTTTCATTGATTACCTTTAAATTTCAATCATCTCTGATGGAGCCAAAATTTCACCATTTTTTGGCTTTGGGGTGTGATGGAATAAATCAAAATGGATCTCTAAACTGTCTGCGCTTCTTTAATTAATGAAGTAGCAGTTAGTCAAGCAATGCAACTTTCGACGTTGAGCCAGGGGTCTCTTTGGAAACAGCCTCTCTACTTTCGAGTAGGGGCAAGGTCTGCGTACACACACCCTCCCCAGACCCTACTCTTGTGGGATTTAACTGGGTTGTTGTTGTTTTGTATTGATTACCTTTAAAAAATGATTTTTCATATATTAAAAAATAGATATACTAATATAGTCAAATACTCAAAGTGGTGCGTTAAAGTTGAGGCTAAGTTCTTAAGTTTTGTCAATATCAAACTCAACCCATAAAGATGATTTAGAGGGGAGGAGTAATAAACTACTAACTACTCCTATAGCCTCCTTTTACGTCTATTACGAAATAAATGTTTCACCTCTTCCATTTCCTTTGCTTGGAAGGATTATGGGAAACATTTCTCGTACTTTTCACTTTTCTTGAACTCCGTAAAATTTTAAGCTCAAAATTGTTGGGGACGAAGGGAGTATATGTGTGTGTATTATATAATGTATATGTATGCTTGAGCCATTCTGGAACCCTTAAGTGTTCCATTTGGTCAAGAACGGGGTCCTAAAAGAGCACTGTACCCCCCCGAAATGGCTCGGCACTGAGTGTCTGATGCCAAAAGATCTAAGGCCCCGTTTGGTACATGGAATTCAAACTATGGAATTGGAATTGAGGACTTCAATTCCAATTCTGGTGTTTGGTAGCACAAAAATTATGTGGATTTGGAATTGATAATGCAAAAAATGAATTGGAGTGGGTGAATTCAATTCAATGGAATTGAATCCCATGGAATTTTAATTCCAATTCAATTCCAATTCCATCAATTCCGTGTACCAAACGGACCCTAAACTGATTCGTGGAGGGCTTATACGTAGAGCAATGACTGAATGTGTGTGTTTCTTGGTTCATAGACACTCAGAAGTTGCACAGAGAAGGGAAGCTTGTCCCCATGCTGGAAGAAGCAAAGGTAAAAGACGCTGGTGCCCTTGCCACCGAGGACCCTGCTCAGCCTTCCAAGGACAATGACGACATTTCCGGCAAGGCACCTGCTCTTCTGTAGAAGCAACTGAGTGTGACAGGTCATAACTCCTACTAGTGGACTTCAGAGATCCAAGAAAAACTGATATGGAAAAAGGGTTATGCTATATATAGTAATCCAAAGATGATACCAAATGTGATATGATTAGTGAGTGTCTATGTCAACCTTGGAGTTTTAAGTTCTTTTTTTAAGTTTTAAATAAAATCTTGGTTGCATTTGTGCTATATAGCCAAATGATCCTTTTTTAATATTTTCTCTTTTCTATAATTCCTATTGATCATATTTGATAGAATAACGTAGTGATGTTTTTTTTTGTGTTTTGTAGAAATTATCTTAAATAATGTTATCTTTTTTTTGCGGTCCGGCAAAATTAATCTCACTTTTTCGTGTTATGTAAAATAATCCCACATTTTTTGAAGAGTTACATATTCTATGCCACTGTTCCATGGGGATATGATGGAGAAAGGAATGGACAATTAAATCGAAGAAGAGAGGAAGAAAACTAAAGGGGGTAATATAGAAGAAGGTTAGAAAGGAAGATGACAAAAAGGTTCCGGTAAAAAATTAAGGAAGACATACTTCCCTGCAATTGACGTGGTTGGAGCGGTGGGTTGAATTATCAATTTTGTGAGCGTGACATTGTAGGTGCTCCAACTTGTTCAGTGGCTTCCGAAGCCACTGAAAATCAATGGCTATAGAACCCCTTGTTTATAGAATTGTTCAAATTGAGTTGTATTAGCATTCACATTGTCTCTTGATTATAAGTAGAGACTTAATTCTTGCAATTTTCACCAAGTTTTAGTAGCAAGAAGAATAAGAAATCTCATATATCAAAAAAAGATGCTCATTTCGTCTCAATTTATATTGCTTGTATCGGTTTACGATGTTTGACTGAAATTATTTTTAAATCATTTTATATAAAAAATGGTGTAGAATTAAAAATTTAAAAATTACATATTGAAATACTACATCAAAAGATCTATAAAACTAGTGGTGACAAATGACAAACGAAAATTGAGAAAGAAAGTGAATGAAATTTGACTCTACAAATAATAAACATATAATTTAATTTAGGACAGAGGAAGTACAACTTTGTGATGTTCTTTCTGAAAATGTAAAGAATTATAGAAAACATTAGTGCTTAAAAAACTGCAAAACAAAAAAGAGTAGTGAAACCACAATACCAATATATTAGTTTCAACTTTTTCAAATTTCACTCAACTTTTTATGTACTTGTTTTTTACAAGAGTAAACTTCATAAATAGTCCTACATAACAAAGAGCTTTTCGATCTATAGATTCTATAATGAGTCATTTGACCCAAACATTTTTTTCCACGTATAGAGCGTATTTGACAGTGCGTTGTTTTTAAAATTTTAACTTCTGCTTTAGGTGGTAGTTTTATTCTCTTTGGCATATCAATTTTTGTTTTTATCTACTATCAATTTGCACATAAAATACCATTTCAGAGAAGTAAATATAAGATGTTTGCTTTCAGCTTTTGTACCCATAAAATCGGTTTTCCACAAGTTAATCACTATCAAATACTCTCATAGGCCTTAAAGGACTAGTTATTGAATAAATCTCAAATATCGAGGACCGCCGATGTAATTTTAGAATAGATGATTATACATGAAACCCCTTTTTATGATGGATTATTTATGAAAATTTCTCTTTTTCCAATTCCTTCCAACCTCTTCATATCTCAAACAATTGCATCCAATTTCTTGTAAATGCTTTCAATTCAACACCAAAGACCAGAGCAAAGTTTGAACTTCCAAGAAGCAAGAGACTATATATATAGGAAGACTAACAAACCATTTATTAAAGTTTCACGTGTGTTCATTTTTACAATCACTGCACTGAAATGTTTTTTCTTTACAAAAGAATACAAATGGCCAAGAAAACAAAAGCCAAAACATGTAAAGTTTTTTATATGGCATCAGCCCCAAATAATATGTATGGAGCTATCAAAAATGCCAAGACAAGCCACCCCCCAAAAAAAACAATACACAATGCTACAAGCAAACAATCACTAAGGGGTAAACCAACCCAAAAACAAAAGAAATCACCCCAAATAGGAGTAAAACATACTCCGTATCATTTATCCTCAAAATAAGAGTTAAATGTTTTTATCCTCAAAATAAGATTTTGCACTGTTATGACACTGTATAATGTCATGCCACTGTATTTTTTGGTACTATATATTGGCATCATTGACATTGTACTCCTATTATGATATTGTATAATAGCATCCCGCTGTACCTTTTGGTATTATATATTGGCACTGTACTCCTATTTTGGGGATAAAAAACATAGAGCTCCATCTTAGTACTTTCTCCATGTTTTACTCCTAATTTAGTCATTTCCCCACAAACAAACCCCATGCATCCCACTCACGAGTAGCGTCTCGGAGGAACTTTTCTTTTCGGAATTTTACAGAGGATTTGGGTGGTGGGATGCTTCCAAGTACCCCAAACAGGGACATTTCGGGGACAGGAAGGGGGGAAGAATCCGTGCAAAATAGACAATGAACAGAGAGGCATTCAGAGGGTGTTGCTTGGTAATGAACCCATCAAGATAACATTATCTTGTTCTCTACTACTATGGGAAGAAGACTTTGATGGCTTTACCTTTGGGAATAATGCAGAGAGAAAGCGCTTACTCCCATTGTCATGTACAATGCCCGAGTTCCTCTCTGGTTTCGGCTTCAGTTGAACGCCACAAGGACAATCTGATATCTTTTTGAAGCAATTTCTATGGAAAGCCGTCTTGCAAGATTTGCACCTTTCTATCTCTCCTTCCTGTAAGGGACAAAGGTCTGATCGGGTCAGCAATGTCAACACTTTTCCCAGTGTAGCGTAAAGAATATGGAATTTTATTTGGAAAATAGAATTTGCTGCAAATTCAAGGCACGAATAAGAACTACTTGGTCCGTCCCTGAGTGTTTGTCCACTTTTGACTTTTGGAATTGTTCATCTAAACACTTTGACTCATCAAATTCTCTCAATGTGTAAGCCTAAAAATAGTCATGTGTGATCTTGTTTGATTCGTCTTAACATATAGATTATTAATATATAATTTTTATAATTTTTTAATATACAAATTACAAGATAAAATGGATTAAAGAAGTGCATTGGATGGTGTGCAAAAATGAAAGTGGACAAACACTCAAGGACGGAGGGAGTAGTATCTTTGTCGTGATAAAAAAACATCATTTCAATAAGGTACCTTTGTTTAGTACGGTACTCCTTTTTTTTTAATCGTGTTCTCCTTCCGAGTTCTGTCCCACAAAAGTTTTCAAATTTTTTTCATCAATCCCAAAAAAGTTTCACTTTTTCTTTCCCTTTTTGGAAAAGGATATGTGGCCCTAAATACTCTTCTCTCTTCTAAACAAAACTCTAACCACTAACTTTTCACTTTTCAACATTTTATCAACAGTTTTTCAACAGTTCTCCTAATCTCCGTGAAGTCAAGGTGGGAAAACTAAGTTGGAAGAGAGAGTGTGTCCCTTAGCTTCTTTTTTTAGAAATTTACACTAAAAATACTCCGCATAATGAAGTTAACTACTATGTATTAGAAACAAATAGGACTATTCTTGGGAGGAAAATACATTTTCAAACAAGACTCTTTTACCGTGATAAAAGGGAGTACTTCATATAAATGAAAAAAAAAAGATTGCGCAAAAGAGCATTAGTTTAAAGATTTGACAACCAACAATTACGCCTATTTGGTTCGCATATATGTGAATTTCAACAGAAGGTTGAAAAGAAAATAAAAGGGCCCACATATTACAAGAATACAATCCCTTGTAATGATTTTGGAGTGCAGAAACTTGTGTTAAACTGTTCCATGGCGACATGGCAATACTTTTTGGTAAATTTCCATGCAATTTCCTGCTCAGTTTCACCAGGTAAGCAGTGGGAAAGGACCAAAATGTCAAGAAATCCATGGTCGTGCACCAAAATTGAAAAAATTAAAATTGGAGACCAAAAGCGGAATGACCCAATACAAGTGGCACCAAAAGTGGAAAGTTTCCATGTTGGAATCTAGCAAACTCTTTACCGATTCGGTCATGGATTTCTAATTTGATCAAAATTATTGCCAAAATAAGGCAAAATGCAATGATTCTAATTTAAGTTTCTCATTTGGCGAACATGTATAATCCCCAAATATTTGGCTCAACTTTGGAAAGGATTGAACATTAGCTGGAATTTTATCAAAATTGAAATTCTTGGCCTCAGCCTCACTAGCATTTTTTGAAGAATTGACTAATCATTAATGTCCATACTTCACCTAAAGAGTTGATTGTCTAGTAATATTTAATTAGGCAAAAAAAAAGAAGAAGCAAAGAAAGTTGAGATTAAAGTGTCTACCTGGAAAGGGAAAATGAGAGAAGACAAGTCCTCACAGTGCTGCCGAGCATTACAGGGGATACCCACATCACAACATATGAGGCATTGTTCAGCAATATGCTCTGTTATTTTTCTTGAAATAGTCTCTACCATCACAGGCAGTGCTGCATTAAAATGGGATAACTTCATAAGTACACCAAATGTGGAGGTTACACTGATTCATTTATTTAAATAAAAAAACAAGTTTGATCAATAACAATAAAAAGGCCACGCCTAATAATGCACAAGGGTCCTGCTACAAACAGGGTTCCGTGAAGGTCCAAACAAATGCAAACTTAGCCTTCTAAGGTGTAATGAGTTTCAAAAAATGACAGAATGAGCTGGTTTTGTAGTAATTTTTTTCCTCTACTTGTCCTCCCCCTCCATTAATACTTCTCGTGAAGATAGTCTAACCAATGAGCAGGGGTAATTCTCCTTCTCTCGTTATAATATGAGTAGATTGCAACATGAAGAAGTAGAGAGCAGCTATAGACTGAGAGGGGCTTTTGTGAACCTTGAGTACACTAGAGAATGAAAATTGAGTTGAAAATAGTAGAAAAGAAAGTGGGAGTTAAAATTTTTTATTTTGTAATTTTTTTGGTGGGGGGGGGGATAAAGAATACACTCAAACTCAAGTTTATTTTAGAAAATTGTTCAAGCTCATTATATATATAATATACATATTTTTTTTAGAAATACACTCATTATACTTATTTAGACAGAAATAAAAAATAGTCATATTTCATTTTTCTTTGCATTTCTCAAGGTAAAACCAAACATAAGAAAATAACTTCCCTCGCCAATTTCCCCTCTTAGCATTTTCCATGACCCAAACATACCTTAAGTGCAACATGATAACTAGAATCACACTATAGCATGGTTCCTCACTTGAGGTTAGAAAGTGTGATTGATAATCAGAGGTGTTCCTCATTATACATTATTACATAATACAACATGACTATATATACATAAGAAGGGTGCTAATATAAGGAAACTAAATCTCCCATATTAATGCCTAAATCACCCATATTAATGGCCAGATCAGATCCTGCCATATTCTCAGGACTTAACTAAAATACTAATATTATTACTAATAACACTCCCCCTCAAGTTGGAGCATATATATTTATCANATCCCTTCTGTATTTTCTCCCGAACAAAGTGACAATCTACTTCGATATGTTTTGTCCTTTCGTGAAAAACTGGTTTGGATGCAATATGAAGAGCAGCTTGGTTATCACACCATAGTTTCGCAGGGATGGGAGCTTTGAAACCAGTTTCATTCAGGAGGTGATATATCCATATTATTTCACACGCAGCTTGTGCCATGGCTCTATATTCAGACTCAGCACTAGAACGAGAGCCAACGTTCTGCTTCTTGCTCTTCCACGAAATCAGATTCCCACCCACAAAGACACAATAACCGGAGGTGGACCTACGATCATCCTTCGACCCTGCATAATCTGCATCTGCATAACTTTCAATGTTCATGTGACCGTGATTTGAATAGACAATACCACGACCGGGAGTTCCTTTCAAGTAACACGGAATATGTTCCACTGCAGCCCAATGATCAATTGTTGGGGATGCCATAAACTGACTTACCACGCTAACAGGATAAGCAATGTCTGGACGGGTCACAACCAAGTAGTTCAGTTTACCCACTAATCTTCTGTACCTCTCTGGATCACTGAATGATTCACCGTCTTTCGTTAATTGCATGTTAGGAACCATAGGTGTATTACATGGTTTGGATGCGAGCTTTCCTGTCTCAG